AGGTCCTTCTGGGCAGGCTTGCCCCTACATAAAATTGTGATATTTTGATAGGTTGGGATGTAAGGAATAATTTAAGATAGGATTTTTTTAGGGGCACCCCTGCCCTAGGGTCGAAATTCACAAAAAACCTACAAAAAATAAGTAAACCTGATTTTGACTATCTGCTTCAAATTTATACCCATTAATCTTATAGTCAGAATAGCTCAGTTGATATATGAGCTGACTATTACATCGTGGGTACTTTCTTTTTAAAGTCGGGAGTTCGAATCCACCTGGTGCCACACTTTTATAGTGTTAAATTTTCGCCTTTTCAAAGACTATTCTAAAAATTTTTAAAGGCTTGTTTATTTTTCTTCAATTATCTATCCTTTATGCATTCCCATTCTTGACATAAGAAACACTGTGCTACTAGTGCTTGTCTGGGTTACATGTAGTATGTTACGTATTGCTTGAATTATTTGAGCTTAATATATATATTTAGAATAACGTACAAGTACTTTTGTTTTCAGTCAATGTTCTAAGATCTTAAGTTTTGAAACAGTAGGGCTACATATATCAGTAACTGTACTTCCTTGGATTTCATTTAGGCCTATATAATTTGCACACATTAATGGCATGTTTTTATTATATCCACGGAAATATGTTGTAAAATAAATAGTCTAGATATGAAGAATAGAATTCCAGAGACAGTGGATATTACCATTATGTACAATTAGAAGTAAAGAAAAAATATCAATTATTACATTTGAAGATAACAAACTCAGAATATCAATGAAAGTGTTCCTCCTACCTCTACTTACTGAAATAAAGATTTATGAAAAACAAATTGTTACATGTATTCAGCCTAATGTCATTAATCGGAACGAAAATCGATAAGCTTTTTGTAGAGAAAAAAACCAAGCCCGGCCCTATAGGTCAGATCTATTTATATAGAAGTGAACCTTTACCCTTGACCTTATGACCTCAATATGAAAAGAAGGCATCTATATAAGGAGGATTATGAACCAGTGTATTAAGATTAAATGCCAGCCAAAGGGTTCTCAAAATCAGGCCCGTATAGCTAACGTTTCCAAAGTGAAAAGGTTGATAAATTGTTATTACTAGTATTAAATTATTATACCATGCATTTGTATATTGTTTATGATTGAAATCTAACTCATAACAGGTACCGCTAAATCACATCTGATTCCGATAACTCATCTCATGTTTTTTGTTGTTTTTTTTCCATTCCTAACTATTGATCTGATGAAGAAAGAAGAACGTTTATAGGAACATATGTTTTATTATCTTTTAGGGTCATAATGAAATAAATAAAATACATAACATATTCGCTTGGCAGCTTTGTTTCAGCGGATCTTAGTTTTGCGTGACGAAACTCACAGAAAAAAAAATCTAGCGTCTTTTCAACAATAATTTCAGTCCTAACAGTTCACAGTGAGGCAATATGGCAATATCTAAATAAAAGGGGTCGAATCTCATTCTTTGTTTTGTAAAAAAAAAAAAAAAAAAAAAAAAAAAAAACGGTCAAAATACAAGAAAGAGAGCTCAACTTACCTCCGAAGCTAATGCAAAAAGTCCCTCCAACGCATATCCGGAAGTCCCGATAAAATCCTTTTCGTATTATTTGGATCTGAGTTAGAGCGATTGGTGGCCGTGCTATAACCCCAAAACCAAGAACCCATTTTTGACTAGGGTTCTCCCTGGGAGATGCAGACAGACCTTGGTCGACGACTGGCATTCCCAGCTATGATATAGACAGACCTTCACTCCGATATCTTGTTATGGTCTTATGTATCCAGCAGATGAAGTATGCAGCAAAGAAGGAATCATCTTTGAAATGAGGAATTATCTTTGAAACGATTTTCTGAAAATGCATTATACACGGTAGAATTTGTAAACAAAAATCTATACTTCACAATTTACAGTAACACTTTATAAGGAAATAATTAATACTTTTAAGTACATTACATTAACGTGTATGATTTCTCAGTTGCTTCGTTACACGACAAATATTACCCATGCATTGCAATTACATGTGGAAAAAATAACTGCCAAAGCATGGACATTTTTGCGTGCATATTTTCGACATATTATGATGTTTATATCGTGAAGACTACCTTACCTTAAAAGATCATCACATTCTTGTGCAGCACGGATGTCTGCGTCATCAGTTTTGGTGAGGACTACATTACCTTAAAAGAAGATCATCACATTCTTGTGTAGTACGATTGTCTACGTCATCAGTTCTGGTGAAGACTACCTTACTTACCTTGAAATAACTTCACATTTTCACGTTTTCCCCAGTTTTGCACACATTCGATAATTGGCATAAAACAATAGGTATGAGTTATGTTTCGTAATAATTACAGTCTTCATTCTACTAGTACCTGTATTTTACCATGTATTTGAAAAAAAAAGAGAATTTATTGAATATTGTTTTTCAAATAACAGATAAAGAACAGACCAAATAATGACTAAATAAATAATTTTATGAAATAAGAAAATCAAAGATAAAATAAAGTGTAATAAAACTACAAATTAATTGCTTGCAATGGATTTACTACACAAGTACTCCTCCTTCCACCTACCGGTATTCTGTGCCATCTTTAAAATAATATTTGTTTGCCCTCTCCCAAATCAGGGTAAATATTGAGTCGGTAGGTAGGTGGAAAATCTTTTTCCTAGAAAAATTTCAATATATTTATTGACGGGATAAGAGGAAAAAAAGAACAAAAAATATCATGCCCTTGAATATATATTAAAAAAATTGAATCAGGCCATTTTAGTCAGTCGGCGGGAGAGGGCAACCAAACAATTTTTCAAAGATGGCCTTGGTTTATTACAATTTGACCTTTTTAATTTTTTCATTAACTGTATATCTTGTCATAATCTTAAAAATAGTGGGCGTGTCCTTGGTCAGTGTGCACATCGAAGCGATAACTGCAGGTCTGTAATAGGGATGGGGAAAACTTTACAAAATATATTTGACAAGCAAAAAAAAAAAAAAAAAAAAAAGGAAACTAATTAAACGTTGAGGCGTTACTGATATATTACTAGTACCTTTGCGTGCCCCCTTATCGGAGATTCGGGGGCATAAAAGTTTTTGCTCTTTCCGTTCTTATGTCTGTCTGCTTGTCTACAAAAAACTTTAACCTTGCTCATATAACATTTGATAGGTTGGAGCTCTGGCTTTCAGATTTCACACGTGTATACCTTGTCAATGTGACAAGTTCTTACTTTGGGTGCAAACTGACCTCTTGAACTTAAAGTTTGACCAACTTTTGCAAAATTTTACCTCAATTTAACCATGGTCATAACTTTTGAACGGTTAGTGCTAGGGCTTTCATACTTCACAGGTATATTCCATAAGCCCAAAACCTTTTAAAAAAAAAACTTTTGAAAGTTGATGCCAGGCTTTTCATATTTCACAGGTGTATTTGTTATGCCGCCCGTTCCCAACATTTCAAAACGATACTTGCGTGCTTGCTAATGTTTTTATTAATCACAAACCTATACACCATATGATTATGATGCTTGCAATTTGAATTGTCTACTTATCCTTGTCCTGATTCCCATTTCTCAGAAGTTTTAAAAATATATTTATGATGTTCCTTTTTTATACTGAATGCAAAATTATCTAACACCCCCCCCCAAACCCCGGCAGAATTGAGGTGACGATGGACTAATTTAAAGATAAATTATGGGGTGGGGGCGGGGGTACTTGCATGTCAGTGTAACAATCTTGAAAATTTATTGTCGCAACTTCCCTTGAGAATATGAATTAAGCGGAATTAAAAATCACTGCAATAGGATTATGTATATGATTGTAACCCAGATGTTCTTAAAAAGATTTTTAAAGACTTAATTAAGACCCGTTATAAGATTTTTTTTTCTTGGTCTAATGTGAAATTTTAAACAAAAGTTGCGGCCCAACAATGATCTTAGGGAAGGTGAGGTAAATAATCTTCAAGCTACAGTACAAAACGTGTTTATACGAGTTTTCTTACCCCGAAATTAAACTTGAATTTTTCCTATATTATTTTATGTATAACTGTGGCTTGAGTTATTGCTTATATATGGTTACTCCTTTAGTCAAATCATAACCGTAGGAATCATACAAAAGTTATTGCTATTCTGGTCCGGTGTGTCTCTGTATAACCCACCCTTTTCATCAGTAGGTGTGATCCTCCCAACATTTGTCAAGCTGTGTTTATTTTGTTCTGGTGTTTGTGTACGATGACAATGCTTACCTCAGTTATCTTTCTCTTACGGACAGATGAATATGCAGATAAAGGACACCCTCTTTTGATTATAATTTACAATAAACTGATGCTGGAAGTGGACTAGTGAGCCTACAAGATGTCAAATTGTAACCTTTTTGTTCTTGCAGAAGTTTATATACTTTCTTGCTAAAACCTTGCGTCCTTGATCCCACTCCAGCATGGGGCAATTATTTAAAATAAAAAGATGGACACTACATAAGGGTGCCTGCATTATATAACTTATTGTGACGATGTTTCTTGGGAGTGAGAATTCTGCTCTAGAGGGAGGAATTCTGTCATATCTAGGCTTAGCAGCACTGGCGATGAAAAAAATTGTAAAGGATATCTTCGATCAGAGTGAAAGACTCTCGTGAAGCAGGCGGGTTGAAATAAACACATTCCTCACAATTTTGTAGCACGTCTTCATCGACTTTACAGTGAATTATAAATAGCGAATTCCTAATCAGTCATAAAGTGCATGTTGAGCACTTACATTCTTCCAGAAAAACAAGACTACACATTCAGTATATCACGTCTACATCCAATGTTTTCCTGTTTATTGTATCGCTTTTCTGTCACAAACTGGTTTCCCTTTGGACACATTTTACTCACCGAAAGATAACAGAAAAGAAACCTCTTTCAAACATCAAATAAGATGGCCCTGCCCTTATGTATTTTGTAACAGACTTGTTAATTTTGATAAAACACCAAATGCAATTTATTAATCACCAAGCTGCATTTATGTTCACAACTTTTTCTTTATTTCACCATCACTTTTACACCATATTGCACCAAAACACACGTAAAGCAACATGTGCTCCATCTCCTACATCACATGAAGGAAGATAATGAATTCCACTTCAGAATTGTTGCAATGTGCACAAATTATTATGAATTTTGATTGCAAAAACTGTGTATTTGGAGCTTTCATGCAACACTAGAACTTTAAATTTTAATGCCACAAGCACAGCACATAACAATGAAACAGAATGCATTCCTAGGAATCTTCCATATACTTTAGCAACAATACTGAAATGCCTGATTTCACCACTACTCTGCACTTTTTCAACAGCGTATCTGAAAAACAATGGTTTTGTTTATTTTCACATGGTTTATTTCTTGCTACCAACTATACTATATGGGTTTAAGATAAATTCACACAAAACACATCACTGAAATCATCATTTTGCAGATTTAAACAAAACAGGATATATATTCCAAAACATGGTGTCCTTCAGATCAAGAATTTTGAACTGAATATGTTGATAGGCTAAAAATGTTACACTTCTCATCAGTTCTTCCAACACAATTTCCGATTATTTGGAATTCACTTGAAAACATCATCAAAATTATTCTAAAAATCCCCTCTCCTCCAATCTCCATTCCTGCTGTTGATCTGCATTTCACTTAAAAACATGTTATCTATTCACAACGCACACTCATCATTCACATTAGATATTTTGTATTAAGTCAAATGTCAACTTATTGCACATTTTTGGACCACAAAGCTACACAGATTCCAGTGTTCTTAATCCACATTTTATTTCCTCATCAACTTGGATTTCTCTGAAACCAAAAACAAAGAATCTTTATTAAAACTTCTTTCTTAATATTAGAATATTATATTTATATAACTAACTTACTTACAAATGAAAAGCAGACAACAATTCATACATACCTGTTTAAAGAATCTTCTCTTCAATAATAATGCTGTAGAGAAAACAATTCACAACAAACTGGTAATGTAATTAATTTAGGTTTTGATTGAAAAGCATAATTAAGATCTAATGATTAAAAAAAATTCCAAAGATGCACCTAAATTTTAATTAAAAAATATTGAAGTAATATGCACTTTCTTTTTTCATTATTTTTTTAATATCACAATTATGCGAGGATCCTGCATGTACAAAAATGTGCAAGTTTACATGTTACTAATTTCACACTGTAAGAAAAAAAATAACTGCACGGAAGAGGATATACATTTATGACCAATTATCAAAATATTTACTTTGAAATTGAATTTACTTTGCACAATTATAAACTACTGACATTTAAATCTACTATTTTACATTAGTCCAGAAAAAATAATCTGTAGTTTCTCAGGCAAAGCATCAGGTCAAACACTATCACATTGAGTAATCTTATTAAAAATTTCCATTTTAGGAAAATTTATTTTTCAAGTTGAAAAAGAAAATTAAATTATGATGTTTTACATACATGCTGAAAAGACTTTTTTATGTACACAGTATTCATCTTGCTAAAATGGTATTTTATGAATTAACTTTTCATAAAACTGTTTGGAATAACATTAGTCAAACTTGAGTACAATGTATTTTATAACTTATAGTATAAGAAAAATTAAGAATTAGTTGATATAATTTTGTTGACGGATACAAGAGAAAAAGAGTCCTACTTCACCAAAGAAGAAAAAAACCCGCTCGTCACAAGGAAATTCTGAAATTTTGCCTGAGATACTTAAGATTTTTTTTTGTCTTAAAACTAGTGAGGAAGTACAAATTGTATAGGTTGAAGGATTGACAATTATTTACATTAATTAATAAAAATGTCTTGTTCTTCCAAATAAGTCCTCATTCAATAGTACACTGTACATGTACCAAGTTGACAATTATAAAATCTTTTTTGTATTAATTTTTTTTTTCTTCACATTTTTGATGTAATTTAAGTCAATGAAAAAATTCCACTTTTTTTCATCAATAAGAAAAAAAGTTATGAACAAAGTAATAAGCTTTCAGTGCATACAACAAAGATTTCACATGAACATGATGGAAAAGAAAATCTCACAAAGTTAAAAAATTCAAATTGTTCTTGATCTAACATGAGACTTCACCATCTTCAATCAGGAATTTACCTCAAAGCATAAAATGCCTAATATGTTATTTAGGCCATATGGTTTTCTGCTAAATACAAAGAATGCAATGTTTAAAAATGGTGGTATTTATAACTTAAATCATTAGTCTCACAAAAAAATATTCTAAAATTTTCTATAAACAAATAATTATTTAATTTAAAAATCAGTTCTATTACATCCATTACAATACATATTTGATTTACACAGTTCCTCTTATAACAACAACAATCAAGTAATCATCTTGAATTGGTTCTTGAGGCAGTCGAGGGGCTGCTTTCAGTAAAAAATCATACCCAAATGAACATGGTGGAAAAGCATAAAGAACTCCCACATTTTCTTTGTCTTTTGTCTCGTAAGGTGGAAGAGATATAACTCCAGCTGCTTCCTTTTGTCGAAGGTAAGTCACCAAATTCTTCAGAGGTCTTTGCTGAATAGCAGAATCATCCCAGTTTGGGAGTGTACTTGGCATAGCTAGGAGAATACAATGGCCATTTCGACCTGCTGCCAATACTCTTCTTCCTACATCATCTAATTTTGGTGGATCAAGGCGCAGCCTTTGCTTTATTTTCAGCATTGGTGTTTCAGTGGTTGTTGGATCTCTCATCAATGTATCAACAATTGTGACGTCCCCACTAACAACATGCATCCTTCCAGGGAATGCACTGTTTTTTAAGAGAATACCACCATTCCATGCCACTGGAAGACATTTCACCATTTCATTTATGTTCTCAACTTCTTCCAAATCAGAATACTCTTTTTCAACTGATAATCTCCGGGCATCTCGTCTGCATCCTTCTAGTTCAAAGTCATCATCCGAATTTCTGCCCACTTTTCTATTATCTCTGTTTTGCAGTTGCAAGTCATATTTATCAGAGCTTCTTCTGCGTCTTCGATCCTCTGAACCTTCTGGTGTTCTCGGTCTCCTGTACTGTACATCAGGAACTCTAACATCAAAGTCTTCATAACGTCGGCGATCATCTCGATGGTCTGAACTTTTAAAGGTACCATCTATACTTCTAGCATCATCTCTCCTTTCATGTGGTGGCTTCCAGTTGCTTCCTTGATACCCTCTACCACTTTCATTTGTTTTAATTTCCAAAGGTTTTGGTGTGTTTGTTATGTGACTGACATCAGCAAAATCAATGCGCAAACGTCTGTCTTGTCCTCCAAGTGGAGCCCCTCTCATTTCTGAACATGCAGCCTGAGCAGCATCTATGTTATCATACAGTACATAAGCATAACTTTTTCCTTGTGGCCATTCTATCCGTTCAATTATACCAAACCTATCAAATTCACGCTCAAGCATTTGATGAGTCACCCATGGACCTAATCCTCCAACCCAAATACAAGTACTTGGAGTTACTTTGCCGTATCCAATTTTACACTGAAATCGACCAATATATTGTCCCGACATCTCTACTTTAGCTCTGTGTGCATAGTCAAGGTTCATGAATTTAATAAATGCATATGCATTACCTTGACCCCGCTGGGGTCTCTTAATATCTATTTCTTCAAGAAACCCATACTTTGTGAAGACCTCTTTTAATTCTTCATCAGTAATGTTGTAATCAAGATTTCCGACAAAAAGAGTTCTTGTTGCCTTGTCATCATCTTCTGGTGGTACATGATCCAGATGATAAGGAAACTTTTCGTTTGGGGCTCTTCTGGTACCCCCTCCCCCAGGTGTACTATAACTTGAAGTAAATTCTTTCCGTGGTGGCAAATCAATATCAGGAGATCGCATTTGGTGGTAGTTTCTCCTTGGTTGAAATGGGGGAGAGCTTCTCCTGCTACTGCTGCTACTAGGGTAACTAAACATTTCGCTTGAACGACCGTAGTTGGAAGTGGGCATTGTCCCTGGTGTTGTGTGGTGCTTTTTAGGATAAACTGAATCAATAACTACAATTCTTTCAAAAAGTATCATCTTGTTTTGCTTTGCATGTTTTGCTTCCCTAGCATCCTCAGGATAGCGAAAATTGATGTAAGCTACACGCATTTCACCACTGTAAGTAATGTTTACATTGAATTCGCCATATTTTTTAAATTCTCTGTACAAGGCGTCTTTCAACACATGATCTGGAATTTTACTTGAAATATTACTTAAGCAAAGAGATCTATATTCAGGAGTTTTCACCTCTGTCCTACTTATTGGATAATCATCTTCACGGTATCTTGTTCTTACTTCATCGTGATAGTACTTAAGTTTCATGTCACGGCTTCTAGGTGGACTGCATCGAAGATCCCTTCGGTCGTATTCAGTCATTGGAGATTTTTCTCTCATGATTTCGTACTCAGGACCTGGATATCGTGACCTCTTCAGGGCTCTTGGTGACAAATCTCGTTCTTGGGAACGTTTCATATTAATTTAGTTCATATAACTACCAAAATATGAAAGTACAAATAGACCACGATCGTGGAACCGACGCCATTAAAACAATGCAACGCACCTGTTATTGCTGACGGTTTCAGGTCAATCCGCCAATAAGGTATTTAAACCCGATGCGTCGATTTACCCAAAAGGACACAAAAGAACCCAAAAGGAACCCAAAAAGACCCAAAAGAAACCCAAAAGGACCCAAAAGAAATTAATAGCAACCCAAAAGGACTAGAAATAAAGGGGATAACTGGATATTCAATGAACACTATCAGACTTTATTGAAAATAAAACAGTACTTGGGGGGGGGGAGTCCCCCCCTATACTATATGCCTAGAACAAGTCGTTAAAATAAAACTTATTGCTTCATTATATATCAAATAGTAAGACATGGTAAAAAAAGAAGGGGAAATATAATAATACTTTGTTGTTTTCAGCTCAAATAAATCAAAGCATATCTAACCAGATTTAGTGTTTGACGTGTTATATAAGGCGTTATGTTATTTCTCAAAAAAAATGCAACAGTATAAATTTATGTTTTTGCCAACTTTTATGTAAACTTATAATGTAATATTTTTTATTCAATTCAAATTATTAATTTTCAGTATATCACAGTGTATTCATTTTGAGTCCTTTTGGGTTCCTTTTGGGTTCTTTTGGGTCCTTTTGGGTAAATCGACACGCCCATTTAAACCTAATGCCACCTTTAAATCATAAAATATGCTCTATCAGCTTCATATGAAAAAAGTGATTTTTTTTAATTTACGGTGCAATTCACATTCGCAGGACTGTTTCGTAGGGTCAGCATGGTCAAAGGCTATTTCATAACGCTACAGGGTGTCCAGTCACTTCGTACACAAACCGAGTCGTACACAAACAAACTCTTATACAAAAAGTCAAGTCGTACACAAAAACCAGAAGTCAACTCGTACACAACATTTATATACAATAGTTATGATTTAATTTTATACAAATAATGTTTGATAACACGAAGTGTTACTTTTCTTTAAGTTTTTAAAGTATTTTTCCCTAAATATTTAAATAATTCAACTTCCCTGATAGGATAGGAACATCAAAGACATCAAAGAAGTATTGTTAAACCAACACCCGCGCGGTGGTTTCTTGGATCTGCGACAAACGCTAATTACGAGATGCTCATAATTCGGTATCCTTTAATTATGAGATACTATATGTATCGAAAACGTCTCCAAGTTTCTTCATTCCTTATACTTCACCATGGTTCGAGAGAGTTGTCTTTCCTCCAGCAAGACGGTAAGTTTTTAAAACTTTTTTCATTTAAGTGCAAGAAAAATGTGTTATACAGTATACCATTAAATTCTTACCATGTATTTAGATCGAATTTACTATCTACACTATATGTCTATTTAACATAATAAATTAGGATGCTATAAAATATTATATTCTACATCAACATGCATTACTTGCATAACAGAAAACTTTTTAGAAATATAAAAACTACGTATATCAATCTGTTGACAATTAGAAATCCATTTGAATTAAGTTTTTCAACTACATATTTAACAAATAAAATATTTAAATTACAATATAAGAATTATTTAAGATAATTCCGTTTATTTAAGAATTAATTTAAGGATTATGAAATCAATGAATTTGACAATCTTGATTTAGTTAACTCATGTGCCAAAATGTTGATACAATTAGAGAATATGTTATAGTTAAGCAATGTGTCTTTGATGTGTATAGCCAATTAAGATTAAAATCTATAAATATATATATACCATTTTTGTTTACAGTATTATTTCAATATTACTGTTATATCTTGTCAACAAATCAATCTGCGCATCACATCGCGCATATGGTACAGTACCGACCAGACACAACCTAACACCAGAGCGAACCCAAAGCGGACCCCGGGTTCGCTTTCTGGGTTCGCTCTGGGTCCGCTTTCAGAAATTTTGGGTTCGCTCTGGGTTCGCTTTGGGTGCGCTTCGGGTTCGCTCGGGGTCAGCTCTGGGTCCGCTAGAGCGAACCCGGCGTTCGCTTTCTGGGTTCGCTTTACGCACTCATGCGTGAAGCGGACACCGCTTTAATCTTGCCGCCAGTAAGCCCCACCCCTTGTATATTCCAAATACTGTAGCGAAATCGATCATTGTTGTTTCTGAGGCGATCGATACATGTGCATGTACAATGGCTGCAACGTTATTGTTGATAACATATAGGAACGATCACGTTACACGAACGATTTCGCAAGATTAATCCTTCAATCACACGATTCTTCATGTTACACGATCATTCACGACTGTTACCGCAAACGCACGATTTTTGTACGCAAAATAGTTAAAAATATTTAGGAGTGGATATTTTTAAGACGAAATAAGACTTAATTTATTTAATAGATATTTTAGATTAGAAATATTTACTGGTGAAATTCATCGACTTTATAAAACTGAAAGAAAAAATAAAATATTTAGAAATGAATATTTTTGAAACTACATGTAAATAAGACTTAATAGTCATTTTAGATTACAAATGATTATTTGTGTAAATCTCAGACTTAGGAAAATTGTTTTTTTATGTTTTTGACATGTAAACATGTAATATATGATCGAATGCTGCATTTTCTATCACATGATATACATGTACATGTAGGTTGGTCGTGAATTTTGATTCAATAGGATTTTATGATATGCAGTAAGGGGGTAGATTTTTAAAAATGGCCTAAAAATGAATTATACTATAATCATCTTTCCATTTATGAATTTCAAAAATCAGCAGTCTGTTTTAAAAAAAATCATTCATTTGCAGAAATGATATATAAAAAAAATAATAACAAGTATCAGGGATGAAAAGTAACCCCGACAATCATGTCGTGTACATTTGCCGACTAAATATATGTAAGTATCGGGATTTGTTTTCTTTTTTCTTTCTTTCTTTTTTTTTTTAAATATAAATTTTTGATGTATTGATATAAAAATACCATGACTACAATTAGCTGTTAACATGATTAACATCAGAGAAAAATCGTTAAACATCTTAAATACGCTTTATCAGTAAAAGTTACGATATTTTAAGAGAATACAATATTGTACGACTTACTATTTTGCTTAGTTACTCCGATAATTAGTTCGTTCAATTATGTAAATCGCGCTTCATTTTTCTTTTTATTTCCGTTTTAAAAAAAAAGCTAAATCAAGCCTAACATTATTTTTTGTAAAAGATTAATCAAATTAGTACCATAATGTAGTAGTTTGCGATTGGACATATTTGTACATGCACATTTATGCTGTACATTCATTTTTTTTTTCAATTAAGAAGATCAATTATTTTGATGTTGATCTGGATTTAAACGAAAATGTACATTAGAATTATAAAAATAAAATAATTAAATAAAAGCACGTACATATACATAATCTTGTACAGTATCTTGAGATGATGAAATGCTATAATTTATCAGAAACCATTTTTTTTTTGTTTTTAGTGACAATTGTAATAACCATTGCTTTCTTTTTTTATTTCTTTTATACATTAGGGTATGTTTTGTCTGATAAATTTACGCAATGTATATTAATGGATTTTGAAAATGAAAAATAAATAAATAAATGTGTAAATATAATATGCTACCTGGATAATTAAAATATATTAATTTAGTTTTTTTTGATAATGTTTAAATAGTTTCACACTGTACATTAACACGCTTTGCTTGAATAATGTTTTATTTACATCGAATGACAAACTGACATGCTGATTGGTCGACCCGCTGATTGGTTAACACGTTTTATCGCTAATCCTGATTGACAGCTCTGTTACGCAACACCGAACGCACGTTCGCTCTCTGGGTTCGCTACTGAATTTGGGGATCGCTTTCGGCGTTCGCTCTGGGTCCGCTGCGGGTTCGCTCGGGGTCCGCTGCGGGTTCGCTCCGGGTTCGCTATAGCGAACCCCAAGCGAACCCCAAGCGAACCCGGGGTGCGCTCTGGGTTCGCTTTCTGTTAGGTTGTGTTTGGTCGGTACTGTATATGGAAATTCAGAGGCATAAACTAGTTAAAATGTACAGAAAACACATTTGTGTACGAGTTGACTTCTCAATTTTTTTGGAAACTATGGCAAATATTACCTTAAATCACATAGGAAAACGTATGTATGAGTTGTGTACGAGTTGACTTCTGGTTTGTATACGAGTTGACTTTTTTTGTGTACGAGTTGACTTTTTGTAATCAAGTTGGTTTGTGTACGACTCGGTTTGTGTACGAAGTGACTGTAAATCCGCTACAGTTATGCAGCTAAGTTCCTTCGGCCATGTTCAGTCTCGGAAATCTATGCGTAACGCGGTTTGTGATAGAAAGCAAGTTTCCTAACGACTTACTATCATCCTTTCCGTGCCCACGAAAACGCATGAATCCGCCACTTTCGACAGTCAGCAACTAAATCTAATAAATGTTCCACCCTGTGAAATAAGCATTGCAGATCATGTATAGATTTCGGATTAATTCAACAGACATTCCAACAAACCCGTACATAGTAATTGTTTTAAATCAAAGGTGGTCTTAAAAAATGACAGGCAACTTGGATCTTTCTCTTAACTTTTTGTACATTATTTCCCAAATCCTGTAATTTGCCAGTGCTCGACCTTACAGCAAAAAAAAAAAGCAACAAAAAGTGGGGAAAGGGGAAGTAGCACCAAATGAAAATTCATAGCCAATAACTGTTTTCAGAAAAAGGGACCCCCCCCCTACCCGCGTTCTACGGGTCTGCTCAGTACAAACGTTGGCGCATAGGAGTCGGAACCGGGGAGGGGGGCTAGGGGGGCTTAGCCCCCCAACTTTTTAAATTTTTTTTTTCAAAGAACTGGTACTGAAAGAAGTTCGACACCCCCACCGTCACACACACACACGAAATAGGATTTCGGGTTTGGACAATTTTCAACCCCCCTTTCTTGGTCGTCAAGTTTTTCAGGTTTGAATTTTTTTCTCTTTCAATTAGCCCTACCCACCCCTCAATTTGCTTCCGACGCTATGTTGCATATCACTAAAATTTGTCTAAAACAATTGTAGAAGAGCGATACAAAATATTAGTAACTTTTAAGAGTGAATAAAAATGCATGAATAGATCCCGGCTAGATTTTTCTAGGTTTGAATGTCTCTGCAAACGAAAATTTTATAAACGTTTAATAAACAAACTCTATCTTTCACTGTGTCTTATATATATATATATATATATATATATATATATATATATATATATATATATATATATATATATATATATATATATATATATATATATATATATATGATTTTCATCTTTTTCACTAATAAAGTAATTTTTTCGTTCATTTCGAACATAATAAATAGTGAGAATGAAAAAATAAAACATGCAAAGAATTGAAGCTGAAAGTAAAATATTGTGCCTTAGTAGATCAATGTTCTATTCCCAATTATAAATACGGTGAGGACGAATTATGTGGAAACCGGTTGAATAGAGCAAACCAAAAATAAAAACTTTACTTACTACCTAAACAAAATAATAATAATTATCATCAGCATGAAAAATAATTTATCAACATGAAGGATTTAATTCGTAAGTAGTCCATTTTTAGAGAGAGTTTTTTTCATCCACGGAAAGGACCGAGTAGTGACTTTCTTTCCGTAAAGGGTAGTAACTCCTAAATTCATTTCCACTTCCGTGTTATGAGGAAGAAACATGGTGGGTGTTTTCTCCATTCGTAAATTTTGCTCTGAAAATGTTTTTATGATAATTTTGTGTAATTTTGTACTTTTAAGTCAGTGTATTTCAGTAGTCGGTGATTGAAGTAAATCCACAATATAATGTGCCCTACTGAGTTAGCTGTGGAGTATAGGCCTACTGTCACACTAATGTAAAGATGTAGGAAGTTGACATACTTGTTGTTTTAAGTAAAATATAGACTTGATAGTCGTATTTAAAATTATAAATGGAATAGTTTCAACAAAAGGCTAGTATGGAGCCACAATGGAGGATCAATGTTCTGCCCCAAAAATCCGCCCAATTAACATAGAATATACAAAATGTATACAACATATATAGACATCGCCAAGCTCCACTCTAAAATATTTTATTTTACCCAGGTTCTGACCAAGATTAACATTTCTTAAATAAATGACTTGTTAAATTTTCAACAATTTATTATTATAACTTTAATGCCCTGTTCACACAGAGAGTTTAATTCGAATTAAACGTAAGTTACTGCGAATTAAATTTGATCTGTGTGAACGCTCAGTGTAGCTAATTCGAATTAAACTTTGACACATTATTAAGGGCAGAATTTAGTCACAGACCACATGTCGATGGTCAAATATAGGTACTTGTGCTATTTTTGAGTGGAAAACAAAGGAAAGTTACGTTAATCACTAAAATGTGCACAAACAATATGACATTTTGTCAAATGTGTATCTGCTCTGCACAACATGAGGTGATTTGTAAATGATGTCATAATAGCCTCACTGAATAGCCTAGTTGTAGAAATAAAATTATAATTCGCATTAGTTTACTTATCATTAGCTGTCGTGTGGACGCAATTTAATTCGGATTAGTTTAATTCGCATCATTTTACTTCGCATTAATTTACTACGAATTAAACTCTCCGTCTGCACAGGGCATAAACATGCCATAATACTGAAAATTCATGTAATACCTGATTCAGGTGGAAAAGGTTGTCAACCCTAGTCTTTGAGTAGATACACTACTGATACTTTAAAGGTATGCTAGGGCTCGAAATAATTGATGGCCCGCTGGTCTGGGGCCATTAAATTGAATTGGACTAGTGCTTTGTAGAAAGTATGTGTCCTTGGGGCCAGTGATTATTTTATACATATCAAAATCAATTCACAGTCAGGCTAGTTAACTAGAAAGATTAGTGCGTCCAGGTTCTATTTGGATGGGAACAATTCCTTCTTTTGTTAGGTTGTACTATAAAATAACACAATATAAATTCAATATCATGCATATTTCTAAAAACAAATTTTCTTGAGGAGTATATTCTTAAACATTGTAATGTTTTCTAAATGCTGTTTCACCTTGGAGGAACAAGTTAACGATGTATTACAAAAACAAGAAATATGTGGAGTAAACAAGAGCTGTGCAGAATCTGAAAGTGGCACTACTAGAGTTGATTAAGAGTCAACAAGAGGCCCATGGGCCACATCACTCACCTGAGCACATTGGCTAGGCAAAAGCACAAATCAGTTCAGTATTGAAAAGATTAACGGGGTGGGGCAAGTTTTAATGGTGAAGAAATATGATTTTTTTAACTGTTGGTTATTAAATTCAGAAAATAAACTCACGGTGATGTTGAATATACCGTAGTCTGATTTTTATCCCCTCGAAACAGAGTTGGAGTGGATAAAGTAACGCGCCTGTGTGAGTGGGTGAGTGAGTGCGTGCTTAACGGAAGTTATGCAAGCAATAATTTATATTGGGATTGATGTGCTCTTTTGCTCCACCTTGCATGCCCTTGTTTAAGCACTGGTTTTGGGCCAGTCTTTTCCATACCTACTAGTCCAGTGGGACAGTGAAAGTTATCGATTGACCAGTAAAATTTTAAGTTGATAGCCCGAGTGACCAGTGAAAAAAAAAATTATTTCGAGCCCTGTATGTTATGATTTAAATAGTCAGAAGAATAAAAAAAAATTAAAAAGTGACCAATAAATACTTTTTATGCTTGATTGACGATTGGCCATCGATAGCCAAAATATATCTCTTGATAATTTAGGCTGTATTAAACTGAATACCTTCAATTCTGTGGAATGCCAAAAGTGAGCAGGGCCCTGATTAGTCATAATATGTTAGCAGTGCGACTTTTGGGGGGGGGGGGGGTGCAGTTGTTTAATCTACTATCTATCTGCATGATCCAATGAAGAAATTTAAATGATCAAGGTGAGTTTAGTTTTTTGGTGAGCTTTTGTTTGACCACGAGAACGTAGTTTGCAGTGAGATGCAAATGGCAAAGATTTTGGGGTTCAGAGATAACTGGTAAAAAAATCATTTGGATCAATGTGCAAAGTCCAAATTTTCTCTTTCCCTGGCATTGTTGTAAGAGCTCACAATGCAGACAGCGCTTTGCACCACCTGCTGTGCTCGATTTTAATGAACAAGCATTCTCAGGTAGTCCAGATTAAAGCTTAATTAAAACATGGCTACTGGGGGAAAAGAGGGGGGCTACTATAAGAAATTAAATTTTGACTTAAAATATGTTATCTTAATGACATGTGTCTGATGCCTTAACTGATCATTTCATATAACAAATATTAAGATTATTTTGTGGTTATTCATTCATCACTCCTGAATATCTAAGGGTTTTAAACTCTATTTTTTTTTTTACAGTCTTCCACACTGAAACCTTATTTGGATGCTATTAGGGGCACGTTGAATGCTGTGATCTGCCTGCAGAATTTTGATTCTCAAGTGGTTGAAAGGCATAACAAACCAGAGGTGGAAGTAAAGTAATTAAATAAGTATACGTCTAAAACTCACTCAATATGACTGTCACCCCCTAATGTTAACAGTCACAGTCAACAATTTCATCATAGGAATAATAGTTAACTAAGATCACTGTTATTCAGTAGAGCATTTACATGAGACAGCCACTATAAAGGCATTTCTGTAACAATACACAGACTCAAGTGTCACTGTAATACAATAAGATAAATTTGTATTAGACAGTGTTCAAATGTTTATTAATGTAGAGATATAAGAGTCTGAAAGAAAAGAAGTTCATAATTGTTAATTACTGTTTGGGAAATATGTCCTTTAAGTTTCAGTGCTGTGACCAAGATATAAAACTATCAAATAAATTTAAGAAGGATTCCTATTTTGTCAGCAACTTTGCAGATGGGCAGCTTCTGTAACCTTTAATATAACCATGCATTTGAGAAATATTTAATGTACTATTTGTTCTTATATAAATACTGCATGTAGTTGAGTGTAACATTGAAAATTTTCACCCCAAGAAAACCATTGTCAACCGAGGCGCAGCCGAGGTTGACAATGGTTTTCGAGGGGTGAAAATTTTCAATGTTACACTCAACTACATGCGGTATTTATTATATTATACTGAATGTTTTATACAAATACATATTACAGTGAACCTTGCGCGCATGAATTCTGCGCAGTCAATATTTTTTGGAATAACACCCGTCGTCAAGCAATGTTAACTGTTGCTACGCTGGTGGGCGTGGCTTCAATATTCAGCGGGTAATAGTGTTTTTTAACAAATGCTTCTCGGCGAATCAGATTAAACTAATTTACATGAAAGTATAATATAATGAATTACTAAACCATAGGAGAGGCACTTTCAAACATTAGGAATTGATTGAAAAATCATTTGAAATTTTTGTAGCAAGGTTGAAATGATTTTTTTCTTTGCACTCTAATCTATTTATGATAAATGAACAATATTTGACAGGCACATCATGTGCAAAGGCAGTTCACTTTATTTTACAACTGTAATCGGTGCAAGTGTCTAATTCAGTTTTCTATAATTGTATGAAAAAAATGTTTTAATGATGTTTGTTGATTGCTGCGTGTTTGATCGCTGTGTGTAAATTAAATTCATGTACAAAGTGTATTGCAAACAAATTCTTATTGCAAAGTATGTAATTCATTTTTCTAGATTCATTTCTCAACGAACAAAATAATTTATATAGTTAATCCCATAGTGTGCCCTTTAATGTACTTACAGGAGCAGCAAAGAACTTCTTCTTACACCTGTCACGATAAGCAGAAATGAGAAAGAAAAGGTTCTTATAGAGGGATCAATTAATTCTTTAAGGATTAGCATTATGATAAAACAGGTATAGTATCACTCTCACAAGATGAAAAAGATAACACACATTGAATGTATAAACAAAGTGTATCCTCACATTGTCAGGGGTCCTGAGTCAACCCCAGACTAACATGGAACGCAAGACTAACTTGAATTGATATTTTACAGGCTGGCTTCAGTGATGTCTTTCATGAAAATTACAAATCTTGATCACTTTTTTTTATATCTCAACCAATCACATGAAGCCTTTCCGTGATAATGAATGTGCATTAGTTCACTACAGTATTTATTGATATTATTTGAATTTTTATGTTTAAAAAATTGCTTCAATGCAATCTTTGTAAAGTACTTAAGTTCTGGGTGTAGTAAATCTGAAGAAGATTGAGACAACTGGTTTTTATCTATCAATGGAAAGCTAGGGGAGAAACATGGTGCAAGCAGTACATTACCCAGTCCCCATCTCTAGTTGAAAAAGAAAATTTGAGTACTATGTGATATACCCTCAGACATAGTTGTCTAATCATTAACTAAGACAGAGTAAAAGGAAAACCTATATGTCCCTTGTAAGAACATAATCACACACATTACGTAGGAAATATCTTTGAAATCTTCTTCTCAAGAACAACTAAGCCATTATTATTAGTCATATATATACAGAAGCAACCTTAGTGCGTCAGGCAGTATAAGGATTAATTTTTCCCTGGTCCGAAACTAAGCGGTCATTCTTAATGAACTAGATTTTGAGCAAGCTGATTTACATCAGAATTTGTTACCTGCATTTAAACAAATACAGTTTACAGAAGAAAGAATCATATTACTGATGCAAAATAATGATGTGTTTAATTCCTTCAGTTTTTTGCTTGCACATGTTTATTCTTTGTGATTCTTAGTATGGACATGTCCGTGTAACATTTTTTCTGCGTTTCTAAACTACTGGATCAGTCCATTTGCCTTCTACAAAAGAGGTGACACAATTATTTCGCGCCAAATGTCACATATAAATTATCTTCATGCCTATTTCTTGGATTGTTCTATGGAATGGGTGTGATAACTTCTATGGAAATAAATGAAGTTTATTCTTTAAACCTGATTCTTAAGCTTTAAATTTTTTATTAACAGTAAATTTTATCGCATTTTTTAAAAGAACACATTGTATATGGGCAGGCAACACTAAAATGATTATTCTTACTATTTATCCCATATTTAAGTGGACTAGTCCAATCATAAACAAACTCCCTCCACCTAGTAAATGGAACATCCCTTCTTGATTCAGTCTGTTTTCCACCTTTTCTTTCAATATTACATTTATCAATACAAAAATGTAATGTACGTTACAAGGTTAGGTTTTTAAAAAAAAAAGGCTTAGAAAGTCACCAGTAGCATATAAATTTATGCTTTGTGATGAACAATGGTTTCCTTTTAATACAGAGACAAGAGTGTAGGTCAGTACCCGTAAAAGAATGGGCTTCACTCCCGTAAGAATCAGCAAAATGAAGAAGACTTCATGATCTGTACTGGTTTTCACTTCATTAAAAAGTACTTTATTATAATTATGAGAAAGGTCCTGAAATCAATTGAAAAGGAAAACTAAACAATTTTAAAACTGTACATAAAGATGTACTAGCATTTTAAACTCATTTATAATACATGTACATGTATATGGTAAGACCATCATCGTGTGAGTTTTGTCTGGAGGGGGGGGAGGGTATTAGTATCTTGATTTGCTCTAGCTATAAAGTGTACCGGCCATTTACATGATTTACTTTGTGTCCTAGAGCAGCATTGAAGCATTTTTGTCTCAAACTTTCCCAGTTAAAACTGTTCATAATTTACTTTGTCATCAAGAACAACAGAAAACAGACCAGTCTATAAATAGAGGCCGTCTCATTTATCTATCACTGACCATATGAAGAAGCGCGCCCTCTAGTAAGAGAGTACATGTTATATGAATTTCTCTAAAATGAATCATCTAACTATTTTGCCCAGAATTATAATCTACCCTAGCGCACGTGCAGTTTCATCCCAATGTAACTAGTCAGCCCGTGGGATAACTAATAAATGACCAAAAAGTGGCATGTCTTAGATATTTGTTAATCTGTAGTATTAATTTTATATCTTGTGTAATGAAGTATCGCAACTATGTCGCTCCTTGATGACGGAAATGTTTAGCACCTCGATCTCTTGCTTATACGTTCCTTAGATATTGATTGATTAGTCAGGCAAGCTTTTTGAAAAGCTATTACTTGTAGAATCAAGTTTCTTCAAATCATGACCCCCCAGGGGTTGGGGCACAAGAAATGGTCAAAGTTTTGCATAAGAATATATAGGAATCATCTTTAAAAAATCTGCTGCTCAAGAACAGCAAAGCCATGATTAGTCATGTTATTATAGGAGCATCCACAGATAGTGTAGATTAAAATTTTTTCAAATTTACAGTGGGTAGGTTGGGGCCACAATGACCAATCAGAGTTTTACATAGGAATACATAGGAAAAAAATCTTTAAAATTCTTCTGTTTAAGAACCATAAGCCATGATTAGTAATATTGATATAGAAGCATCCTGAGGTAGTGTAAATTTAACTTTGCCTCCCCCATTAAAACATTTCAAAATACTTAACTAATTTCTGCTTCTTCCTAGCCAGTGTGCTCGGGTGAGCGATGTGGCCCATGGGCCTCTTGTTATGAAATACATGTGTATAACCTAACAATGGGTTGTGTTTTGGCTGACTTGTTTCATACCAATTGTTATCCCTTTGTTTTTGTACTAAATTTGACTACAGAATGTTACGTCCACTTGATCAATACATAAGGCTCATGGTGGGTTCTTGTGACTGGTCAGCAGGATGTTTACTCCTCCTAGGCACCTGATCTTACCTCTGGAATTTCCAGGAATCTGTTTTTATGCCCTATTCACAGATTTGTATTGTTTGAAGTTTTTATGAGATCAATCACTGTTCCCCGTCTTTACCCTTTTCTATGAATACTGTGAATGATTAAATGAATGATGAATAAATATGCTTATAACCTTCATTATGAGGAATAATTTATTTCTAGGCTGATGATATTGAAAAGATTTTATGTCACAAATTTATGCGCTTTATGATGATGAGAGCTGAGCATTTCACAGTGCTCCGAAGAAAACCAGTTGAGGTAATGCAACTGCAACAAAACTGATTACTTAATCTTTTAACCTTAAATAAAAGAATCTTCAGCATACATTCTATGTTAAAAAAGAACTTTGATGAAAGGTGTTTTTAAAATATTGATAAATTTCAGGGCTTTGACATCAGTTTCCTCATCACAAATACCCACACTGAGCAGATGTACAAACACAAGCTTGTAGATTTCATCATTCACTTCATGGAGGAAATAGACAAAGAAATAAGTGCTATGAAACTAGCTGTAAATTCTAGAGCCAGAATCAGTGCAGAAGAATTTCTCAAACGTTTTTAAACTACTTTCATTATCTATTTCATTTAATTTTACTAATTGTATTTGATACATGTAAGGCCACATTATCTGTGCTGGAAATAATATTCATTATGTTGTATACAATAACATCAGAAACCAGCCTAATACTTTTATAAGGGAATAACTTGTGAAAGTTTTAAAAGAATCAGATATATTATCCCTTTTGATATATAAGTAATGTATCATTACATGTATTCAACAAAAGTAATACAAAGCATGGAGTAAATATTTGTGTTTTTTTTAATAATAGTTGTATTTTGTAATAATAAAGGTACTGAATATCTTGAATACCTGTATACATGTATGTTCTTGTATTTAACATTTTAAAATATGCAATTAAAAAACAGCTATAATGAAGAGCAGGGAGATTTTCCTTATAAACATAAATCATTATATTTGTTAATTTAATAAATATGAACTAAAACTTTAAGGAATAAAATCCACTTTGTTGTAAGCTTGACAAAATTATAACCATGCTTACTGTAGTATCCAAGGGCTCTCTAAGGGGATGAGGCCAGAAAACCATGGATTGGGGTATTCTACCCCAGAGCAGTAATTGTTTAATATATAATAAACATGTTCTTAAAAAGCAAAAATATTAAAATTGCTTTCTTTTGTAGTAATTTATGTCTCATTTTGAGGTGTATATTTAATGAAGCACTCATTACATCATGAAAAATATGCCTCCTTGACAAGTCTGTATGTATACATCTTCTCTAGTCAAGGGTTTCTGAAAGAAAAAGGTTATTTTTACAGTCAACAAAATTTAAGTTAACTGGACTTGAAATTATTTTGAAACAAATAACAGATATTTAATTTTTCTTTAAATGTTTTAATTCGAAATACAAAAGAAAAATGCGATAGTAAAGTTGCTCTAAGAACTACCTCAGCTACTTTAAGATCTGGAAGTAAATCTCAAATCGCCTTGATAAATAGAATTGCCAGTAATGTTTGGATTTTTATTTACACGTACTCAGGTGTATGTACTTTTCCAATAATCAGCTAAAGGTAGATACGAGATGTTTAAAAATTACTATTGCTATCCTCCGAAATTGGAGACGTTATCCCACAAAGCATTTCAACTTTCCATATATGGTTAAAAAAATACATTACATTACATTAAACCGTGTTTGCTATCCTCGTAAAAGGAAGGCTGCCTCTTGTGGACCTATTCAATGATCTGTATTATATTGTGATACACAAATAGGGATTGGAAACAAGTTCTGTCAACTTTAAAGTTCCTCTCCTGGCAACTTACAAGTTCCTCTCCTGACAACTTACAAGTTCTTACAACTTACAAGTCCTGACAACTTACAAGTTCTGACAACTTACAAGTTCCTCTCCTGACAACTTACAAGTTCCTCTCCTGACAACTTACAAGTTCCTCTCCTGACAACTTATCGAAGACATCATCAAATATGTCTGTCCAAATTTATTTCACAGAGCTACAGTTGTGCAGTTGAATTAAGGTTTTTAATGTTTTTCTACAGAAAAGCAAGGATCCCAATAGTATTATACAATTATGGACTTTTTTGGTGGTGAATATGGTTTGTTATTCACCAGAAAAATATCAATATTGACCGAAGCGAAGCAGGGTCAATATTGATATTTTCCTGGTGAATAACAAACCATACTCACCACCGAAAGAGTCCATGATTGTTTTATTATATAGTCCGGATTTGAAGAAATAAGACATTGAAGGCTGCATGATGATACCTTTTTCATTAACGAACCTCTGTCTTAGAAAAATTTGAAAAAAAAAACATACAGATTACAACTTATATAACTTTCGTGATTTCATTTCGCTGTGAGTAAGACATCGAAATGTTTGGAAAATAATCCTGCGATACACTTGCCTAACATTTTTCCTGCTCAGATACACAGCCAAACTCCATACAGTGTCAATTCTCCGGGACTACTTTCCCTACGAATAATGATAAGGAGTTGTACATAGCGTAACGTAATACTGAGCTGTCTGGAGCTTGATACACAGCTGGCTCCGGCCGTTTTCAACGTTGGGGTATTGATTGTGACGTTACAATGCCGCTGCACGCGCACTGATCATGACTCTACGGTGAATAGTGAATACGGCTTCAAATCCAGTGAATATTATAGGTTAAACGTTCTTTTTTCAGAATTTATCGATGTAAACTCATGCCTTTGTACTCACAAACTGAATAAAAGTGCGAAGCACTTTTGTGTAAAGTTTGTGAGTACAAAGGCATGAGTTTACACATCGATAAATTCTGAAAAAGAACGTTTAATTCTTATAATTCCAATAACGAAGTTTTAAAATTATTTCTCTTTGAAGCCTCCATACAATCTGTTATTTCTGTACAGCGTTGGAATACTTTATGCCGCGATGTAGAAATGAATCGCAATCGAGATGAACGTTGATAAAGTTCAACTTTAATTGTCAAAACATTTAATAAAATAAGCTTATAAAAACTGTCAGAATATTGTTTAAGTCAACAAATATCGTAAATACAAGTAGACTTCCAAAGAATTCGTCCTTGACCATACATATAGGCCATGTTGACAATATAACGACAGACGCTCTAAAGCGAAAGTAGCAGACCGACGATAACCTTGATTTGCTCTGGTTTGTTCAAAGACGGGACACAATATAGGATGTAGAAAAATGAATTTGATGCTAATAAGGCAAGAGTCTAAGGTACGTTTCTCTTTCCTATCACAGCGCTACCGAGAAATGAGCTGATTTGTTTTGTAGGCCTATTAGGAACGTCGAGAATATGACTTCAGAGATATTGAAATTCACACTCTTGATCTGACGGTGACATAAACATAATATTCCCGTCTGTCAGTCCTGTATGTCGTCAGCTTTATTTTTATTTAATTTCAAGTTTCTGTAATTGTTTAGCTAAAACACAGAATAGAAGTAGGCCTAACGATTTGTTTTATTTTCTTTTTTACAATAAAAGCTAGATCGAGAAAGCCGTTCTGATTGAGAATTTATAGATGTGTAAACTTTTTCTTGAATTTGTTCTCGTCTAATCAAAACAAAGGCAATCAATAAATAAAATTAAGATTGGAATTATTATACATTTATAGCATGATCGTGAGGAAAATATGAAGATTTATTCAGCCAAGAAAAATCATATTCCACGAGGGCTTCACTTTGTGAAAGTGCAGGAATGTGTCGATCAAACGCGTCCCGAAATTCGTAATTTCAATAATTTCCAGATAAAATATGTTTTTATTATATTTGAACATTTCTATATGTGAAATTCTATAGCAACATATAAGTCATGATATTATACAGAAAATTTGAGAAAATATTTACTTCAAATCTGAGTCCAGGCCCCTTTAAAAAATGAATTGGCTACTGCGAAAATTAAGAGGGGACGAGTTGGCTACTGCTTAAAATGAAAGAGTAGTTAAAATATTAACGTACGCTGTCTACAGTACATCGTTCGAAATGATGTGCGAGGTGCACCTGCCATTAATTATGGTGTCCGGATAGGGCCATTTGCAAAATCTCAACAGCGCGTACAGAAAAACACGCCGTCGTGCTAACACATATTTTAAAATGTTATGTGTTTTTCTGAACGCGCTGTTGAGCTTTTGCAAATGGCCCTATCCGGACACCATAATTAATGGCAAGTTTTTGAACGATGTACTGTAGACAGGGTGCGTTAATATTTTTCAATGTATAAAATGTGTCCAATATTCACGCTGTTGATGCAATATCCAAGAAATTCCATCGAGTCATTTCAGTTTAGTTGTTTGAAGTCAAATCTGAGCCACTAATTAACAGCTAGAATAATAATGAAACGAAATGCGTATGAAAAAATTAAATTATTTAAAATAATAGTACTTTATTTTTTAAGACATCGCCCCTAAATAACATTAAATATATGTCTTATTAGATTTAGATCACAATATCAAGGAAAACAATTTAATTCTGCCTGAATTTAAAATATTACCCATTAACTTTCTGACATTCTCTCCCTCTCTCTTTCTCTCTCAAGAGAAATGTTACATTGTACTTCCATTTATATAAGAAGAAAAATATGAATGTATATATATATATATATATATATATATATATATATATATATATATATACATACCAGCCATTCCAGGATTCGAACCCATTCTCAGGTAAAAAGAATCTTCGTATAGGGTCGACACGCTTTACCACTAGACCAGCTCCGACACTGAAGTATCATGTTCTATTTTATGTGCACATTTTGTATTTGGGATGGATAATGATTTTTATTCAATTTTTGTGATTTTCAAAAATATGCCTCTTTGAAACAAAACTCGGAAATGGCAATTTTGAAGAAAAATCCTGTCTCTTTATGAGTATATCAAATCCATTCTGTTTCAAGGAGGCAATTTTTCAGAACAATGGGGATTCCATATTTGAAAAACAGAAAACTTGACTTATTTTGCTATGTGACCAATTTACACTTCATTTAATGGCAAATTGGAACTCGATGTTCAGTTTCTAAATATTGTTCTACATTGTGCTGAATATACTGTTTTATCTGGAAAAATTTAAGACCGTTTTCCGTTACTTAAATTTTTTTCTTTCAAACTGCTAGAATTTTAGGGAAAATAACAAAAGAATTGCAACACCCTCTTTGCAGAAATTAGCACACTTCGAAACGAAAATCTAGATGATATTATGTTGGAAAGAGGAGAATAAGTAATTTGATTCAAAAACACTATTTCGGGAAGGGGGGGGGGGGGGTCGTGAAGTTTTGGCCTTACTGTATTCATTCCATGTATTTAAATGCTTTATTACAAATATTTCAGAATAATGAATATCTTATCCTTATGATAATATCTTGAGAAATGATTTCAATACTTTGAAAATTATATTAAGCTGGCGCTGTAAAAAGTCTTTTTCATGCTTTCTAAGCAGTGATGACTTACGGAATGATTAATTCACTGCATGTAGTTAATATCAAAGCATGCAATTGACACCTAAACCAATTAAATAACATATAATTAAATAACATATAATTAGGGACATGATGAATAAAAGGCTTGCACGCGAGAGTGGAAAATAACACCAGACAAGTCAATGAAATTTAATATTCAAATACACGGCTTAAACACACATTTTCTGAGTTATCTTCAAAGTTTCAGGCTTTTAAACACAAGAAAGACGTCGTTTGGTTCAAGCTATTTATACTTAGAGCCGTATTTTCATGAATCGTTGTTTCAGTGAAGTGAAACGTAGTAGAAACGTAATAGAACACCCCCATGAAATGGAATAACCCTTTGGAAATAGATTGTTCTAAGGGTATATAAGTCAGTGCAGCGGGCAGCTGAGAGAGAATTGCTGGGAAGTTTGCAGAGTACGCTTGGAAGACAAAAAGAAAAGAAGACGTAGGGCTAGGGTAGGAATTTATAATAACTCACCAGCGGTAGTGGTATTTGGGGAATTAATTTGTGTTTCAGGAGGTAGTAGATCTTATTAGATCGAGGCGCCTGATTCACTATATTAATAGGAACCCTTATACCAAGAATACGCGGTGACGGGTTACCCAGTCACATTTAGTTCGTTAAAAATACTGTAGCACCTGGTAAAACCTCTGATAGTTTAATTGTCTTATAATTATATATACAGAATCATTATACTCAGGAAGAGTTAAGAAAAATTATTGTCTAATCATTTTTACTCAGACAGAGTACAAGGAAAATTAGATATCCCTTATAAAGAACCCTGATTAATATTTGTTCAGATAAACACGTTACATTTTGGTGGCAGCTGGTTAAGGGATAAAAATACTGATTTAATTTGATTCTGTAGGGAAATTAGTATTGTAGTATTGTTGTGCATTTTATTTTTACCAAGTTTAGAGACTGTGTATATTTTACCGGGTATATAGCTAGGCTTGCTGTAGTCTTGGTACTGTGTTTTACTTGGTAAAGTTTACCAAGTATATATACCTAGTGCAGTTATAGAATACAGAAAACTGGGTAACAAATAATATAAGAATGTGTGATAGAGGGGACGAATTGTTAGCTGACCACAGTGCTATAGATGCCAGAAGGGAAAAGCTCAGAGAAGAAATAGAAAAATTACGATCTACTCCGCAGACTACCAAGTCTTCAGTGGTACCAGATTCCGGAGTAGATGTTAGGTACAAAAATCCAGATAACAGTTTAGATGAATTAAATTACAGAACACCAAGTTACACAGGACATGCATTTGGACACATGAGATATCCAGAGCCTGGTTATACTCTGTATGAAGATAAACAGATCGTAGATCAAACTTAACAGAGGGATACAGAAATTAAGCTGCCGCGATTTGGTACAATAAGACAACCAGATTTTACCGAGACACATTTGACACCAAGCCCTTCCTTGAATATTAGGTGTGCGGTATCGTCATCAGCTTCCTCCACAGTTACTTGGTCAAACAACCAGAATCCAGTGCAGGAACCAGTATACAGACATTTACCTATTCTTGATTTGAGTAAGAATGATCCAAGTGCACGGCCCAAGGAGTATTCATACGGCAAAACAGTAATGAAACCTGCAACGTATGATGGATCTGGGTCTTGGATAGATTATAAGGCCCATTTTGAAGCATGTAGCGATATCAACTCCTGGAGCTTACAACAGAAAAGTTTGTACCTTGCAGCCTCTTTAAGAGGACAGGCTCAAACTGTCCTTGGCAATATGCGACCAGGTGCAAATAGAACCTATATGGAGCTGTGTGACGCATTAGAGTCAAGATTCTCACCTACAAATCAAACTGAACTCTATTGAGCTATGCTTAGAGAAAAACGTCAAAAACCAAGTGAATCTTTGCCAGAACTTGGTGAAAGCATTCGACGATTGGCACATCTCGCCTATCCAACGGCCCCCAGAGAAGTTACTGAGATGATAGCCAAAGATCAGTTTGTAGACGCATTGGCTGATTTTGACATGCGCCTTCGCATTCAGCAATCACGACCAAAGTCATTAAATGATGCTGTACGCTTCGCCGTGGAAATAAAGGCCTTCTGTAGAGCAGAACGCCAGAGAAGAGGAGACGGTGGATATGTCAGGAACACAAGCAATAACCAAGTGACACCTGATGTTCAACAAGACTCGAGTGTCAGGGAAGAACTAAGACAATTGAGAGATGAAATACAGGCTTCTATTAAAGATTTAGAAAAGAAAATATCAAATGTCTCGACAAAAGAAACATCTGCCACTTCAAGTAATTTATGCATGCAAGGCAAATTTCCTTTCAAATGCCACCATTGCGGAAGAAAAGGCCATATGATGAAAGATTGTTTTCTGAAAAACAATCAAAATGAAACTAAGGTGCGAAAATCAGACTTGAAGAATTCAACCAGTCTTAAAGAAAATACAGATTCCCAAAAGAAGAATGGTTCGATAGTTTCCAGCACAACCGCACTGAAAGTTGACCAAGACATCCAAGAATCTGGGTTGTTTATTAAGGCAATGGTAAATGGCACTCAGTGTAACCTATTGTTAGATACTGGGGCCACTCTGACTATTCTATCAGATCAACTGGATGCTGAACTATACAAAACGGGTAAAATTGGACTTTCACCAGTTACACAGAGAATTGTGGGTGCTGATGGTGCACCTCTTACTGTACAAGGGAAAGGATTATTCTACATTAGACTTGGTTCTCAAGAATTTACGACTCAGGCAGTAATAGCAAACATCAAAGCAGATGGCATTATAGGATTAGATTTCTTACAAAAAAACCAATGTCTTGTCGATGTATGTGAGACAAAGATGTATGTTCATGGGGTAGAACATGAATTAGAACTGCAAGGAAATATCGGTTGCTTTCGCGTGAGTCTGTGTGAAACCATATCCATTCCTTCTAGAAGCGAAATGGTATGTCCGGGACAAGTGTTGGACCTACCAAAACTACCACAGATACCATTGTTAATTGAACCTTATGCTAAGTTTCAGGATAGTGGAAGGGCCTTGGTAGCTAGATCCCTTGTCAATTCATCTGAGAAAATGGCCGTTAGACTGACGAACATATATAGTCAGTCCCAGACAATCTTCAAGAACACAGTGATAGGCTTGACATCCTCGGTAAAAGAAATAATTATGCCTGAAAAGGAAGGTATTGTTAATAATGTTATGCCTGGGGAAAGCAAAGAAACCCTTCCTGAGCATTTGAACGATTTATTTGATAGAACAAAAACTGATCTATCAGAGGAACAGGCGACTAAAGTAAAAGTATTCTTATCAAGTTCAGTCAATTTTTTTCAAAGAGCAAAGATGACTTTGGAAGAACATAATTGATAAAGCACCGTATTAATACAGAACGAGAAAAACCAACCAAAGACGAGTGGAGGAAACATCTATTAAACTGTGGTATGGAAGATATCAACAAGAAATTTGAATGTGATCACTGCGATCAAGCTTTTAGCAAGAAGATAGTGTTAGTGCGACATATTAAAAAATTACACCCAGGCCAAGAAACGACTGAAAAGAACGAAACCTCCTTGGAACAATCAAATGAGCAGTCTCCTTCAAGACGGGCTGATGATGAGAAAGATTGGCAGGAGGATCCTGGTGAACTTCTGTTTGAAGAAGTGGACATAGAAGCCAGAAGAACGTATCGAAAGAAGACGTCTCCAGTTTTACCAGGGATTAAGCGAAGAAATACTAGTGTCTCAGAAACCGTGATCAAAGACTTGCCTACAACTGAAGAGGTAGTGGAACCTAGCGACAGTGTTTCCAATGTCCAAAAGGTGCCTTTGGATGACCAACACTGTTTTTGCTGTAAGAAGAAAGCAAAGAAAGTCGATGCTGAAACGCAAACTGATGCAGCAGCTAAGGCAGGAAAGAGTCATCAGAAAATAATCAGGGTCACAAGAAAATTTCAGAAGGATAGTGAGATAGTAGAGCGTTTGGAAGAGAACATCTGGAATGATTAACTGATTGATTTTTGCACTTTTCACAATGACATACAGATGTTTGTTTGGTCTGGTCTGGAGTTGCATGTTTATTATGCAGGTTGTAACACATTGTTACTTTAAATATAGCTTGTAAATAAATAATAATAATAATAATAATAATAAAAATTTCTTATTGATTGATGTGCGGGACGCACGATATCAGAGGCGTGGGTAGTGAAACGTAGTAAAAACGTAGTAGAACACCCCCATGAAATGGAATAACCTGACACCCCTTAGGGAATAGATTGTTCTAAGGGTATATAAGTCAGTGCAGCGGGCAGCTGAGAGAGAATTGCTGTGAAGTTTGCAGAGTACGATTAGAAGACAAAAAGAAAAGAAGACGTAGGGCTAGGGTAGGAATTTATAATAACTCACCAGCGGTAGTGGTATTTGGGGAATTAATTTGTGTTTCAGGAGTTAGTAGATCTTATTAGATCGAGGCGCCTGATTCACTATATTAATAGGAACCCTTATACCAAGAATATGCGGTGACGGGTTACCCAGTCACATTTAGTCCTTTAGAAATACTGTAGCACCTGGTAAAACCTCTGATAGTTTAATTGTCTTATAATTATATATACAGAATCATTATACTCAGGAAGAGTTAAGAAAAATTATTGTCTAATCATTTTTACTCAGAGTACAAGGAAAATTAGATATCCCTTATATAGAACCCTGATTAATATATGTTCAGATAAACACGTTAATACAGAAGAAACACAGAATTATGATTTGTTTTCAAACAATTTAAAGTGTTGATTAATAACACAATTTTGGATATGAGTACAGTCCCTTTCCCTATTGCTGTCCCATCGATCTCAGCTATATATACCTACTCATCTGAAACATTATCATAAATATCCAGGATCAATTTTTACTCTGTATCATGGGAATGATATTGATTTTCTTGTTTCCAGAACTGACAGGGTATAGAATGGAATGCTCTACAAGGCTCATTTATTCCCGGGTAAGACTGGCTCTCTTCTATTACATCTCGTAGATGTAGAATATTTTTACTATTCTAAAATATTTTTTTTCTTAGAAACACCAATGTTTTTTTTTTCTTCAGTGAAGCAGTTTGACCAAAAATGTCGGCTGACTGTAGCACAACAGGCAGCTATAACAGATCAATATTGCTGGCACTGAATCTCATATAGTCTCAATGAAAAACTGTTCCCGGAAACATAATCAACTACAATTAATTATGTACTATAGTTGTAGAATGTTATCAAGATAAGCAGTAGTTTACACTTACTCGAAAAAAGCACGTGCCATTTTGATATAACTGTAAGACAGAGGGCTTGTAGTATATGAATAATGTATTCTTATTTTGGTGATACTGTAGGGAGATGAACATGGTAAATATAGATATATTTTTATAAGATTACTACTGGAGTTTATTGGATGCTTCAGAATCTAAGTAAGAACATGAAAATGGATGTAGAGCAGTATTCAAACCAATTCTAATATATTTAAACAGATATACCATGGTCTAGCAATATGGCGAACTAAATATCATTTGTTTCCAGAGTGAATCGGAAAAATATACATATTATATACTAGTAGTGTTCTCAGAAATTATTTTAAAAATATTTTTCAAAATAAGATATTTATAGTTTGGAATTAACTTCTTATTAAAGAACAAAAGCTGCTACTTTCTTATGTTACGTACCGTTTTCATGAATATTTTATCGTCTACTTCATATACTTCCTGTCGAATGCTATCATTCAAAAAGTGCTTTTAAAAACAGAGAATCTGTTGTAGATCTGTATTATCAAAGAATTGCAAAATTGATGATACTTCTGAAACACTAAGTATTCCAATGTCCACTTTTGTGTTTCTTGTGTGCCAAAATACCGGTATTGAAAAATGGAAAGGAATTCAACAAAGGGCAAGAACTGGTGGTAGGGTTAAGAAAGCAAACCCCATTTTTCTACACTTAGTGTTCTTATAACTGAGCAAATTTTCAAGCCTTCTGTGACCCGTAAATGTTAGTTTACTTGGTCTACTATCTCTTTTCCTTAACTGAATTCCTCTTCTTTTTCAATAATACAGAGTAGACAGTAAAATACCCAGTGTTTCAGAAATATCACTAGGTTTAAAAATCCCATTTAAATAAATATCTTATATGTAGACTTTCTGTTTTTCAAAAGCAGTAATTTTGAACAACACACAGCAGGGAGCCTGGGAACACTGGTGGTACATTTATAAAATGAAGTTTGAAAAATTATAGGCTAAGAATTATTTATTCATTTATTTATTTATTTTTATCATTTTCGTTTCAGTCATAACCAAAACTACCCGAGTAAGACCATAGTTACTGCGATATAGCCATGTCAAATAATAGGAAAGTTTACTTGTATACGAGTGTATCATCCACATACTTTGTCTTAACTATGCTTACAAATACACTTATTACCGAGGTTCAATTTAATTCATACATTACATTTTGGACTCTTTTAAGTTCACAATATTAATAAAACCGATATATTACCCCATGGGGAGGAGAAAGGAAGGAGAAATCTGAAGTAATGACAGATTTTTTTTTTCTGAACACTTGACCAAGAAAATCAATCATTTGTTTCTTTATTTTAGCTTTTGTTTCTTTATTTTAGTTAAAGGCTACAAACTTGTTTCAAAGTATTGAATAGCTGGGTGTCGATGTTCAAGTTCATCATAAAGAGAAACGGAGTAGCAAATTTACTGCAGAAACGGAGCTAATATCAAATGCTATGAATTTCTTACGGAGACGTTTTAGTTCGGGCGATCTCCAAGGCGAGCTGAAGGATCGAGAGGACAATGCTACTATTCTAAACTTCAAAAAAGGACCTTCGCCCAGCGCACCAAGTTCTCCCTCTCGATCTACAAGTGCAGGAATCTCTCACCCAAGTGTCAATAAACCACATTATAATAAAGATCGATGCAAGATTCTTTTGGTTGTGGATGATCCACACACAGACTGGTAAGTAGCACAGAGCTCCCAAAATGCTTCCATACATGTATGCGTATAATGGCAAAATCTATGTTTTTGCCATGAGAAAGCCCAAATGTCTGTTGAACCATAACATAAAATAGGAGGTGCATAATGGTACTATTTCAGAAAGATTCTGTGGAAGTCTCATTAAATTTATTCAATGGCATGGAAGGAGTAACGGATAAAAGATACGTATAGGTATAACACCCCCCCCCCCCCCCCCCCCAATATTACAGAAAGAATTACAGAGTAATATCAGTTCAATCGAACGAAAAATAGGTGCACAATGGCATTATGTAAGAAAGATTCTTCGAAGGTTTCAGAGGTAAAGAAGGGTTTGCCGATAAGAGATTTCCCCACGTCATAGAAAGAATGGCAGCAAACTCCAAATACATGTGTTACATTAAAAGTTTAAAATTTATCAATTTAAACTTATCTATAACATGTTTTTCTGAACACTTGAACAAGAAAATCAATCATTTGTTTCTTTATTTTATCTTTAAATTGATAAATTTTAAACTTTTAATGTAACACATGTCCGATTAAAAGGGACAAAAGGAGGTGCATAATGACACTAGGTAAGAAAAATTCTGTGAAAATCTCATTAAATTTTATTCAGTTGTATAGAAGGATCGAGTGGAGGATAAGAGATGGATGCCCCCAATATTATAGAAAGAATGGCAACGTCAGGTTTTGCTAAGGAAAACTACAAATATCTGTCCAATCGAAAAATTAATTAAAAGATGTACAATGGCTCTATGTAATAAAGGTTATTTGAAAACCTCATTAAATTCTATTCGGTGGTAAAGGGGAAGTTGCGGATAAGAGATGGGTCCCCCTCCCCCACTCAAATTATAGAGAGAACGGCAGTGTCCATATTTTGGTATGGGAAACTCAAACTACATACATACAGATGCACAATGGCATTATGTAGAAACAGATTCTGTGTAAGTCTGATTAAATTTTATTCAGTGGTATAGGAGTAGTTGTGGATAAGACATGGGTGCCCGCCAAGTGTTACGGGCGTACGGAAGGACCCCCCCCCCCCCATCGCTATATGACTCTGCTTTTAATGGGGGTGTTATTTGTCTTGTGGCGATTTTTTTCTTCGATTTACCACAACTTGGTCAAAGACAAAAAGTATTCGACAATTACAACCCCCCTTGAAATAACATGTATACAGTATATGATTTTTTTAAAGCGCTGATTTATTACAACATTCATAAATTGTACAGCTGCTTTTTCAATAAGAATGGAACTCGTAAACATACTTACCTTGTCATTGGTCATTTGCAAAATTATTTTGTTAAAAAACATAAGCACTCTGAAGTTGATACTAAACAAGCTAATTCAGAGAATTTGTGTTCCCCGCTCAAAGAAAAAGAAGAGCATGCGCGGATCTAGCGGGGGGGGGGGGACAAATAAAACTAGTTCTAATTGTAACGGAGACCGTTACAGATGTTCCCCAAACGCTCCCCATACTCCCTTTGGGGCCCATCCCCTATATGTTTCAACAAATTAAGCGAAATCTTTTTATTATAGACTTTAAGAACATATTTGCTAAAGTTTTTTTTTCAAGAAATAACAATGCAAATATAGTACAGTAAGCATAAGTATATCAGATTTAAGTAAACGTGCAAGCACATGGTTTCAAAAATAACCATTTACAGGTCCGTGTTTGCTCTGCTCCCGATTTGTATTGGTTAAATGGACTATGAGCTTGAATACTCTTCGTTATCTCCATATTTCATGAACAACAACTGATAGAATGCCATAATAAAAGGCTCCATTTTAAACTTCAAAGAATTTAACTGAAAACAGAGAAAGTTACAACATGAATATTAAGCAATCAGAAATCTGCGCGCGTGCATGCTTGTCCTTCATTTTTGATGATTGAATAATGTAGGAACTTGTATTATTTGTATATACTCTAAATTTCATCTTTCATTAACAAATAAGAATGTTATAAATACTAACAACCAGCCAATCAGATTTAAGCACAGGTGCTTCCGCGTAATTTCTAAATTTCTTACATGTATATTCTTATAGTGCCTTATAACATGTATGCCAAGGTCTTAGATTTCAAAGAATTACATTTAATAGTAAGAGAGATATAACCTTTAATGTATTAGCCAATCAGATTTCAGCACACGTGTATGCCTGTCCATGCATTCAGTTTTGATAGTGGCATAATATAGGAACCCATTATACATAACAATATTCTAAATTTCATTCTGTTTTCTTGAAGACTAAAGAAGTAATCATTTAAAGTTTTAGCCAATCAAATTGAAGAACACCTGCATGCGCATGATTTCAAGAATTTCGGTATATATCGTATTGTAGAACCTTATAATATATACCTATATCTTAAATTACAGAGTGTTTTGTCAAAAAACAAGGAAGATATTGAGATTTTAGTTTTAGCCAATCAGAACGAAGCGCATGTGCATTCGCGTGAGTTCTTGCTTTTTTGACCATGTCATCTTGTCTACACTTCTAATATATCTTTATGTTTTGAGTTTCAAGGCATAGTATCAAAAATATAAAAGTTATGGCTATATCAAATATATCAGTCATTTCACTCATTGCACGCACACGCACGTGCATGGATGTGCGTGCAAAATGACCTTCGTTCCGCACATCTACAAAACATGCCTGTTGGCCCTTAAAAGATTTCATCTCAATTGGATGAGTAGTTTCCGAGAGCACTCGCGGACAAAAAAGTACCGGAGAAAAAAAATTGAAAAAAGGAAATTAAAAATAGTATGTTCCCAAACTTCATGTGGGGAACATAAAAATGACTGAACCCACCCATTCCTCCCCAGAAAACATGGACCCCTGTTAAGAAAAAAAGTTGTTAACGGTTTGGAAAAAGGAGTTGGGGGGGGGGGTGTCAAGAAATTTCTGAGTTGGATATTGTAGCGTGAAACCTTATAATGTAATTATAAATAGCAGAGGCGGCTGAATTCCCCCAGTTAACTTTCTGAGGACCTGGCAGGTTCAAAATATACAAATATATGATCAAGCAATATATACAGATAAATGTTGAGACTACCTGTCTTTAATCAATTATATACAATAAATTAAAGTTATGCTGGCTCTTGGGCGATCGGCTCTTACAGCTCGGCTCTTATGGTTACCGGCTCTTACAGCTCGGCTCTTTCAATACCGGCTCCTACAGCTCTTTTCTTTAATACTGGCTCTTACAGCACAGTTCCTACAGTTCGGCTCTTCACAGCTCTTGCTGGCTCCCACAGTCACTTTCTTAATAACAAAATATATCTAAAGTCAGGAAAGACTTGTTCAGTCACGTCTAAAGCTTTAAATATTTATTTATTATCATTAACTAAACGTTACCTCTGGTCATTAATCTTGCCGCTTCAGCATCAACTTCGCAATTAACACAACTCTGCCGCTTCACTTGTATTTATACCCTATGTGACCAACAACGCCATCTAGCGGAAACATGACTAAAATACCGCTTGTACCGGAATAACTTTTCCCGGATTGTTTCAATATTTATTGACTGGGGCGGACACCCTAGAAAAAAATCCTGGATCCGCGCCTGGAAAAGGGTGAAAGAAATGGAAAAAAATTGTAGATGGAGAATTAAAAAAAAGGTTGACCTTTCAGGTTTGGACTTTAAGGCCACATAAGTTTAAAGTTAGATTTTCTTCTGTATGCTCCCGATTTCTATATATATTCTGGACTTTGAACTTGAATATCGTTTGTTATTTCCGTATTTCATACACCCAAGTTCGGAAATTTCTTCAACATTGTAAAATAAATAGGCTTGTCATACTCGATAATGATGACCAAATAATTGAATAAAGGTTCAACATCAATAGAAATCGAAACCATGTACTTATCTTGATACGCCTTAATTTTGTAGGTCTAAATATTTTGTCGGAAAGAAAATTTTTGGCGATTGGGATGTAAGAGTAGAGCAGGTAAGCATTGATATACCTATTGATATACTTACTGACTTATTGTATCGGGTCTAAGTAAAGTCGTCGATAATTTACTTGATAAAAAATCTTGCATATGCTAAATAAAAAAAACACACAAGCATCGAGTACCTAATTCATATTGTAATTCCCTGTTCTGTTGCAGGCGGAATTTAGTGAAATCAATTTAGCATCCTACACAGATACTGGAACCATGGTAGATATCAAAGTCACAAGGAATGGAACAAAGGTCGTCAGGTAGGACCAATGACCTAAAAGTATATATAGGAACATACAGTATAACCTACAACCTAAAAGTATATATAGAACATTACGTATTAGCAGCAACCATTGAAAAGATATGGAAATGGTTAAAAGTTTTTCAAAAGTAAGTCAAACATCAAGGTCAAGGTCAAATGGTAAGAATTAATGGTGCACAAGGAAAATCCCTCTCACAAAGAATACACACGTGAAATATGAAATCCCTTGCACCAAACAGTTCAGAAGTTATAACCAAGATTAAAGTATTCCAAAAGTAGGTCAAACTCCAAGGTCAAAGTCAAAGAGTATAAGTGGTTGGTATCCAAATAAAGGTCTTTTCACAAGGATTACATATGTGAAGTATAAAAGCCCTAACAGCAACCGTTCAAAAGTTATGGCCAAGGTTAAACTTTAACATTGGCCATATCTTTTAAACGGTTGGTGCTAAGGCTTCCATTCTTCACATATGTAATCCTTGTGAAAAGACCTTTATTTGGATACCAACCACTTATACTCTTTGACTTTGACCTTGGAGTTTGACCTACTTTTGGAATACTTTAATCTTGGCCATAACTTTTGAACAATTGCTGCTAGGGCTTTCATTCCTCTTATGTGTAATCCTTGTGACAAGTCCTTTCTTTGGAAAGCAACAATTATAGCCAATTGACCTTGACCTTGGAACTTGACCTACTTTTGGAAAACTTTAGCCTTGGTCATTTCTTTTGAATATTTGTTGCTAGGGCTTTCATGCTTCACATGTGCAATTCTTGTGACAAGCCCTTCATGTGGTAGGCTAATCATAGAAGTAGCCTCACATAAGTGTGTGATAGTAAACCTTACATCTGAACCTTCCTACCTAAAAAAGATATAAAATAACAGCGGTGAAGTGTTTAGTTGCTTTATAAATCAAGCAAAGCGATTAAATAATATAGGTTAAAAACTGTAGCCTCAAATAAGTGTGTGATAGACTATCATGGAAGTAGCCTCACAAAAGTGTGTGATAGGCTATCATGGAAGTAGCCTCACATTAGTGTGTGATAAGCTATCATGGAAGTGGCTTCACATAAGTGTGATAGGCTATCATGGAAGTAGCTTCACATAAGTGTGTGATAGGCTATCATGGAAGTAGCCTCACTTAAGTGTGTGATAGGCTATCATAGAAGTAGCTTCACATAAGTGTGTGATAGTAAACCTTACATCTGAACCTTTGTACCTAAAAAAGATATAAAATAACAGCGGTGAAGTGTTTAGTTGCTTTATAAACCATGCGAAGCGATAAAATGTATAGGTAAAGAACTGGGGACAGGTGTATCGATCAAAAGATTAATACAGACTGTTAAGGAAAAGACGCTAGATCACCCTCCAGACATATCGGCTTGGCCAAGATTAGGTGCCCATGTTGGTTGCAGATTAACAAAAAAATGAAGTCAAACGAAATGTGTTTCAAATATGTTCTATGTAACACTACATCCTTTTGGCAGATTGTCTGAAATTTCTGTCCATTTCTGTCAAGCGGTTAAAAAGATTTCACTCTTAATATAGCAGAGACCCAAGTGGGCTACGGACTATACATATTCAGGTATAACATTTATCTTTATCATATTCAACTAAACAAAAAAAGTATAATTCAAATACAAACTCTTCACAAAACATTGTCTGAGTAAGAAAAATCGCATAACTCATTTCCATTAAAATGTTATAGTATATAAAGGACATGGGTAAATTTGTTAATCTTTGGGAGTTTTTCTACTCTTATTATTTGGACATCTGAAGTAAAAATACATTAAAGTACTTTCAATTTTTCTAAAGATATTGTATGTGGGGATGAAAATTTCAAACTTATTTGGTAATATTCAGAGAAAAACTGTGTCAAACATTTTTTGATTGACTATTTTGGGCTACGGACTATACATACAGTATTTTTCATTTATTGAGAGGCCATAGAAAAATACCTGTTTGTATCAGTAAATATTTGTTAAAATTGTCATCATGGAGTTCACACCTGTTAAATAAATCCTTTCATTTGGATATTAAATCAATTTATACAAAATTCCCGTGAAATTTAACAAAATAAAACGAAAAACTTCAAATAAATTCACAATACAAGTAAAATATAAATTGTCAGAACAAAATAATACACGTCAGAATTACATGTAATTGGTGTTTTGATAACAAAATATAGTCCAAGACCATCTGGAGACCAAGAATGGGCTTTAATTTAGCATCTATGAAGGCTGGATTTCATGTGAGCACTGGGGCTACGGACTATACCGTTAAACATCTCTATTGTTTACAATCTACTTAAAGAAAATATAATTATATAATTAAATTCTGGGCAATTTTTTTTAATTATTTGGCATTCTATAAAAGTTCACGCTACTGAGTTTGAGTATTCAAAATACCATATTTAAAAATCAAGTGTCTACTGTACTGTATTTAAATCAAGGCATGATTTTTTTTTTGGGGGGGGGGGGGGGTTACAGACAATATAACTTCATATTTTTTTTATTTTAATGTAATACATGGAGCTCAAGGTGGTCATTCAAAAGGTGTATCGGTATATAATTTCTCATGATCATATGGTGTTACAAAAGTTACAAAACATGATTGATCATTTGAAGTAAAAACATGATTAGTACAATATTTATCCATCAAGAATCAATGCTTTTTTTTTTAAATTAACATTTCAGTGACAAGTAGATTGGGTGGCACAATTATAAGAGTGAAGGTCTCACTTTGTACTAAATTGCAAAGTAAGGAGTTGATCCTTATGTTTTGGGATCAAATCCCACTATGGAATGTTAAGACTGGTTGATGAGAAGTAATAAACCATTGAAGCCCAATTTTGCAGTAGATGCAGGCAGGAAAAAAAATCTTACTAATACAGAAGTGCGGTTATATGGTCTGTAAATTTGCTAAATTTATTTGTAGAGTCCGTACCCCTTTTGTGAGTAGGATTTTTGTGGCTAAATATCCTTTTAAAAATATTACAATGCAAATTATTCTAAATGGAATGATAGTATGTATCACAAGAAGGAAAACTTTATCATGTATATTTAGAAATATGTTGTGATCACAAACATAACAGGACAGACTACAGAAGCAAGCCTTTAGTTAAAAATGTTAATTTTCAGACATTTTATCTTTAATTATAGTGGTATTTGTATTTTAAAAACATTGCTTTTGTTTGAATAAAGATATTATTGTATTGTAGTTATTGTATCAATAATGTATATGACTTTTTCTGGAAGTTATTTTATTAGGGCTACGGACTATACAGGGCTACGGACACCAATCATTCTTTGATAATTTCTTTTGGTGTTAGCGCAAAAGCTATACATTACTGTTTTTTAATTTGACTGGTAACTGTGAAAATATCAAACAAGAGCATGATTAATTCTACATTCTTTTGTTGAACACAAACTATAATGAAATATGGGGCTACGAACTATACAAAAACTTTGACCAGTATGGGAAAAAAATTACAAAATGTGCACGCATTTTACCATATAACCACTACATTTTTCTCATAGTACTTTTTTTCTTAAGTAAAATAAAAAAAAATTAAACACATTATATTTGCTCTTTTTTGCTAAAAATTATACATTTATTCCAACATTGATAAATCTTAAATTATATAACAAAGGTATATCTGCACACATTTATTCATAATTTCCACAATTTTTATCCTTTTTCTTTTCTGTAAAAAATAAACTAAACCAGATTGATTTTTCTATAATTAAGTATATTTATTTTTAAATGTTTCATTCAAAATAATTTTAATTAACCATTTTTTTAAAATGTAAAAAATCAAGTGCAACAGCATAACACTTCGAAAATTATGAATCTTTGACTTTATTCTGTTGTTTTTTCAAAGACGCAGATACTATATATATGATATTATATACCAATGGAAAGCTCTCATTCTGCTCTTTGCAATGCAACAAAAGACATTAAGATTAGATGTAACTATTAAGAGTTACATCTATATAACATCATTTAGTTGGAAATGGGCACCTGATCTTGGCCAAGCCGATATGTCTTATTTGCTATTTCGGCAGCATTTTCACAGGATTCCAAAATATCACAATAATAACGAATATGTAGAAAGATATTTCCAAATTACTTCCCATGCTAAAGATTATGTGCAAAGAGTATTAATCCTTTATACATGTGAATTATATAAATGCCGTTTCAGAACGTCTTTACGAGCTAAGTCTTCTCCTTGCATACTTTCAGGTCATTCAAACCAGACTTCCTGCTCATCAGACAGAGTGTAAGAGATGCATGTGAGGACTGGAAGAACATTCTCTTAGGATTTCAGTACGGCGGAATTCCGAGTATTAACTCTTTACATTCTATTTATAACTTCCAGGACAGACCATGGGTGGTAGGCTACAAAATATTTCATCATACTAGACTTCATTTGTCAGATAGAATGTATATCAAATATCTAGATATATCTTTATCTATTAAAAGTAAGCTGAAATAAACTTTAAAAACAGCGCAAGGATTTCATTTGAGGAACGTAGTAGATCTGTTTGCATGCTATATATTAGAAGAACATTTTTGTGAATTCTCAGGTTGGGCTTTTGAACTTGCTTTTAATGTTATGTGCTCTGCATTTTTTCACACCCGTATTACGCGGGATAGAGGAGTTCCTTTTTTTAAAGTAGTCTTTTGCTGGAGTTTTAATATGTTAATTTGATTTGGATACTGTTCCCAAACGTTTTGTTGCTGTATGGTCAAATATAGACAAATTCCAGCATTTAAAAAGAAAACTGTATCAAAATGTAAGGGAAAGCTTCATCCCCCCTCCCCCATCACGAAATGGGATTTAAGGCTTTGCCCAGTATGGGTTCTTTGTTTGTCAACTTTTTTCGGAGGATGTTCTTTTGAAAAACGTTGTTACGGACCTGTTTTTCTTGAATTTCTCGAATAAAAAAAGGTTTTTATCGTGAAATTAATCTACTGATCAATTATACAGTTAAATGTTTTTTTCATTAATATTATTATTTTCAAATCCCTTACAATGATAGTAAAGGTATTGATTAAATTAATCCGCATTGAAATGTGTAAATTATCGATTCGGATAGATAAAAAATATACAAACATGTACTGGCTCGCGACCAATTCTTAACTATGCGATAATATAAAAAGAGTACTTTTAAGCTCACCTTAACGAATATTGGGGAACTTGTGTAATACCGTCGGTGTCCCGGGTTTAAGTTTCTTGTGCAGTTTTCTTTCAGAATTTTTCTACGCCCTATGTTTATCTTGGTTGCATGACTGATGTATCTAGTATGTTTTGCTATACCGGTTAGGTTTCAGAAGCTGTATTTTCAGACAATATTTTCTATTAGAATGACTAGGTTATTATTTTTGGAGCAGGTTAATTTTTTTTGTTCCCAATTGCAAGTTACCGTAAATTGGAACAGGTTAATTTTTTTGGTTCCCAAGTTACCGTAAGCCTTATCTGGACAAACTTGCAGGGATGATGTATCTAAGGACGTACATTTCCAGATTTGCTTCGAATACTAGCTCATTTTACTACGGAGGCCTACGGAAGCCGATCTGGCGGCCGCCAAATAATTATCTGGCGGCCGCCACATAAATAACTGGCGGCCGCCAGAAAATTATTTGGCGGCCGCCATATAATTTCTGGCGGCTGCGAGATAAATATTTGGCGGCCACCATATAAGTTTCTGGCGGCCGCCATATAAGTTATGTGGTGGCCGACAGATCTTTTTATCTGGCGGCTTCCAGAAAATTATCTGGCGGCCGCCAGATAAAATATTTTTTCTACCTGGTACCAACCGGCTTCCCTATTTTACGGATGAGTTAACTCATCCGGATGAGTTAACAGGTTTAATTTTTTGAGGAAGGTTCATTCAATTAAACCCCTGTGGTGACCAAACTTGCATGAAAGATGCATCGACCTTAGAGATACATAGTACAAGACATGCTTCAGACGCTGGATCAAACGTATATTTTCCAGATGAGTAAACAGAGTAAAGACTTTGGAATAGGTCCATTGTCAGAAAATATTTAGCCCTACCTGGACCAACTTTGCATGAATGATTCATGAAGGGATGAAAGCTTCCATTCTTGCTTCAGATGCTCGATCTTACCTTTTTTTATCTGGACAAACTTGCAGGGATGATGCATCTTGGGATGTACACTTCCAGATTTGCTTCGGATACTGGCTCATTTTGCACACAAATGAACAGGCTAAGGTTTTTTGACCTGGATCATTCTAGAGAACCTATAAGCCCTTTCGTGACCCAGCTTCCATGAACTTTGCATATAGGTTTGTACTCTACCATATATGCTGCGGATGCTGGATCTAACCTAATTTTCCAAATTAGTGAATAGATTAAAGTTTTTGGAGCAGGTCCATTTAGAAAGTAACTTCAAATCCCCACCTAAATCAAACTTACATTATTGAATCAAGTAGGAATGAAACCTACCAGACTTTCTTCGGATGCTGGATCTGATCTATATTTTCCAAGTGAGTGAACATGTTAAACGTTTGTTGACAGGTTCATTCCAAAGAAACAATAAACCTTTTGGTGATAAAACTTATTATCTAGGGATGCACACTACCAGATATGCTTCAGATGCTAGATCTGACCTCTATATTCCAGATGAATTCACATCTTAAAGTTTTTGGAGCAGGAAAATTCCCAAGTAACTTTTAGCCCTACCTGGCTCAAAATTACAAAGATGATTCTTGTAGGAATGAAAGCAAACAAACTTGCTTCATATGCTCCATCTGTCCTATATATTCCAGATGAGTTTTTTGTGCATGTTCATTCTTGTATAAACTGTTCCTGGTCCAAACATGAATAAATTAATGCATCTTCCAGACTTGCTTCAGATACTGGATCTGACCTTCATTATACAGTTGAATGAACAGGTGAAAGCTTTTGGAGCAGGTCTGTTCCCAAGTGACTCTATGTTTCAGCCTTATGTTGACTTATTTTGCATGAATGATGTATGTAGGGATGAAACCTTTCAGAAATGCATCTGACGTACATTTTCTGGAGGATTGTCCTGATATAAGTTTTTCTTAGCTCATCCGAGCCGAAGGCTCAAGTGAGCTTTTCTGATCAAAAGTTTTCCATTGTCTGTCGTCCTTACAATTTCATCTTCTTCAGAACCACTTGACCTTTTTCAACCAAACTTGGCACAGAGTATCTTCAGGCAATGGGGGTTCAAATTTGTTCAAATGAAGGGCCTCTATCTCTTACAATGGGAAATAATGAAGAATTCGTGAAAACTTGGTGGTGTCTTTTAAAAACCCTCTTCTCAAGAACTGCTGGGCAGAAAAGAAAAAAAAACATATGTGAGAGCTTCTTTACATACTGTACATTCAAATTTGTTCACATCATGACCCCAGGACGTAGGGCAGGGCAACAATAGGGGGTCAAAGCTTTACATAGGAAAATATAGGAAATATCTTTAAAAATCTTCTTTTCAAGAATAGCAAAACCACTATTAGTCATATTAAAATAGAAGCATCCTTAGGTAGTTTGAATTCGTGTTTCTTCAAAGTTTGACCCCTTGGGGTAGGGCAGGACCACAACAGGAGATAAAAGTTTTACGGAATATTTATGAAACAAGTTTCAAAAAATATTTTCAAGAACAGCAAAGCCATGATAAGTCATACTAATAAAGAGGTATCCTCAGGTAATAAATATTCAAGATTGTTCAAATCGTGACCCTTGGGGGTAGTATGGGGCCAAAAACAGGGGATCCAAGTTATACATAGAAATATACAGAAAATATCTTTTAAGATCTTCTTCTCTAAAAGATCAGTCATATTCATATGGAATTATCTTCAGGTAGTGTAGATTGAAGTTCGTTCAAATCATGACCTCTGGAGTAGAGTGGGGGCAGATATGGGGGATCAAAGTTTGCAAAGGAAAATATAGGTGAAATCCTTTTAAAAAAAATTCCCAGGAACAGCAAAGCCATGATTAGTCATATTTAGATGGAAGCATAAACAGGTACAGTTGTATTGTAGATTCAAATTTGTTAAAAACATGACCCAAAGGAGTAGTTTGGGGTCACAATGGGCGATCAAAGTTTTGCAGAAGAATAAATTGGAAAAAAAATCTTTAAAAATCTTCTTCTCAAAAACAGCAAACCCATGATTAGTCATATTGATATGGAAACATCTCAGGTTGTGTAGGTTGAAGTTTGTTCAAATCATGATCCCCTGAGGTAGGAGGGGACCATTAGAAGTTTTACGTAAGAATATGTAGGGAAAAAATCTGATGATGAAGAACAGAAGAACCAGTTACTCAGGTGAGCATTGTGGCCCCTTGGCCTCTTGTTAAGATGTTCATTCCCAGGGTCCTATTAGACTATAAGTACTTCTCTGGCCAAACTTATATGGATGATCTAGGATTGCACACTACCAGACTTGGTCAGATAATGAATTTTACATTTTCCAGAAGAGAAAGTATTTGAAGGCAAGTCAAGTCATTTCTAAGTAAGTAAAAATCCTACCCAGGTCAACCTTTCATAAATTTTGCATCTATGGGTGCAAACTACCAGAATATTTGATTGTTCTGAGACTTTGCCCAACTTGAAGACAGCATTCGTTGAGGCGAGCTTTGTAATCTTTGATTACCTATATGTTCCGCATCACAGACACGTAAGTACATGTATAAGACTGAGAATATTTTCTTGTCATATGAGGTCTGAATACAGTTCTTAGATATCCATGAGCTAGGACTGGTTGATAACTAACATATCAAAGTGATAGTAATTGTTCTCTGACATTCAATGTTTCCTTAACAGTTCATTTTTAGAGGGATGTACACTTGTTCTTTTCATAAGACTTTTTCATGTCGATGAATTTTTAACATACATGTATAATGAATATTTATTTTAATTTTATTATCCTTTAGTTTGCTCAGTTGATTCGAATACAGAAGAAGCTTGGGAAAGAGAATTTTCCTTTGGTTGAACAGGCCTACTACCCAAACCACCGTGAAATGGTAAGTAGCTAAAAGTTTCTTTCTCCACACAACTGAATCAGTTACCCTTTTCCATTGAACCCTGTCTGAATATTTTGCATCATTGGATCAAAATGAGTCTTCGTTTGGATAATGTGTTGTGCTTAATAATCAGGTTGATGTTTTCACATTTGAGTCTCATGTTAACAGTGTATTAGATCAAACTGTTATAAAAGTCTCCACAAAATAACGCCTCAAAATCTCTGAATAATAGTGTAATCCTCATATTTGTGGATTGTACTAAGATTTACACAAGTGTACAAGTATTATGCGCTCATATAAAAACATCCACGTAAGTGTCTAAAAATGGTGCCAATACACATCTATGAAAATTGGTATAGTTCTTGTAAATTTAAGGATAGGAGTGATTTAAGGTGTAATGTCCCTCTGATAAGGGAGATAACTTTCGAAGGAAATTATTCCTAGCAATCCAATGAATTGTCTTTCCAGAGTTTACTTATAATAACCATTATATAGTCAATTCAATCAATTCTAAACTATGTTACAGATATTTATTTCCATTTTCTATTACCAATATTGTTGTTGTTTATTGTTTACCTAAATCATTTATACTCAGCTCCTTTAAACTGTTAAATTTGACTTATTTCTATCTCTTAACATATAATTCTCTTAATTGTTACAGGAATTTTAGATGCAATATTTCTATCATCAATTAATTAATTTTTTTTCTCTTAAAAATAATTTGAAGAAAGATAACTCCTGTATATGGAATGATGCATTTTTATTTTACTAGCACAGAAAACAATGTGATATTCTGATTTAAAAAGCAACGCTTTATTATGTTTTCTAATATGAATCAAATAGATATGACAGTAAATATTATTTTCATATATACCTCATATTTTTAATTTTATGCTGAGATAAAAAAAAATATTGATTTTTTTATTCACCATATCAAATTTTCTTCATATCATGATTATACATAAAACTCATTTCTGAAAAAGTAAGCAACGCTTCATTCTTCAAACTATTTTCCATTGGAATCTAATGTTAATGTTGTTGATGAAAATCATTATTGGGAATTTAAAAAAAAATTGGTAAAATTTAGAGCAGAGGGATATTTCACCTTAAAGCTGCAAACCTGGATCAGCAAGTCAAAATGGGAGGTGAATAAAACATTTTTAAAAATTCTTTTTAGCTCACCGGAGTTAAAGTGTGAAGCATTTGTCTGTCTTTCTGTCTGTCTGTCATGTTCCATGTGTAAACTTTTCACATTTTCGACTTCTCGATAACCCTGGATCAATTTCAATCAAACTTGCCAAAAAGCATCCTAATGTGACGGAGGAAGTAAATTTGTTCTCAGGAAATGCAATACCCTCGATCAAGGGGAGTTAATGAAAAATTCGTGAAAATTTGGCGGCATCATTTAAAATTCTCAGGAACATCTGGGTAAAAAGGTAAAACGTATATGAAAGCTTCATTAAATACTTTAGGCTCAAATTTGTTCAAATCATGACTCCCGGAGGTAAGGCGGGGCAACAGTAGTACGGCAAGCCATTATTAGTCATATTAATAGAAAAGCATCCTCAGGTAGTGTAAAAATTATTACCACCAAGGGTAGGACGTGGCCACAACAAAACAACGAAGTTTTACATAGTTATATTTATATAAAATATCTTTAAAAACCTTCTTCTCAAGAACAGCAAAACCACAAAATCATCTTTATATAGAGGCTCCTTAGAAAGTGTAGATCGCAGTTCATTCAAATCATGACTTCTGGGGTAGGATTGGGCCGAAACAAGTGACCAAACATAGAAATAGGAATTTTTTTTTAAAAAAATCTTCTTCTCAAGAACCATGATCAGTCATATTTACATTGAATAATAACCAGGTAGTATAGATTGAAATTTGTTCAAATCATGACCCCTGAGTTTAGGGTAGTGCAGAAATGGAGGATCAAAATTTTACTTCGGAATATATTTGAGAAGTCTTCTTCTCACGACCAGCAAAGCCATGGTTATTCATATTTATATGGAAGCATCTTCAGAAAGTGAAGATTACATTTGTTTAAATCAGCACCCCTTGGGATAAGAATGTATTGGTTTAGGAAAAAGAATCAACGTATTATGAATAGAAGAGCCAAAGTTACTTAGGTGAGCGTTGTCGCCTATGGGCCTCTGCACTTTGTGTTTGTTTTGGAAATATACACATTTTTTCTGACATAGTGCACTGTGAGCAGTTTCACAAAATATGAAAAAAAAAATTCATACACCGAAAAAAGGACAAAAGTAACATTTATCGGTAAAGTAATACACTACAGACAAGACAGAAGTATAGACTGAAGAACTTGAAAGTTCGTCTGGTCTTGCGGAACCAGGTACACGTTTGTTTACTTTTTCATTCATGTAACGAAGAAAATAGTCGTATATGTACATGATTTATTTATTTCTTAATGTATCCATAAAAACCCGTTTTCCCAATTTATTTCTATGGAAGTGCGGCATAAATTATTCTTTCAAAAATTAACTCCATTGCTACAGAAAATATCTTACAACGTAATAATATTTAACTTTCATCCCAGTCAAAACTGTTTTTCACACGTTGAAAGGATTGGCATGATTAAACAAAATTAATTTTTAATGATATCTTTTTGAAAGCTTCTTCGTAATTTTGAACAACTTCCAGTGACGTATTTATAATTTTTTTCTATGAATATTCTTATATGACTTATATTCTCAAATGACTTTAAGTTCTTTTGGCAAAAGGAAACAGGGCTGGTAAGTTAATATGCTATTCAAAACATATTATTCAGTTGATTTATACAAATGTACAGTAAGGCATCTGTAGAATATTTTGTGCTAGTGATAGCAACACATCTCATTTTATATCATATCTGTTAGGTAAATACACTTGGTAATTTTGCGATGATCGCCAGCTCTGGAATTCCCCGGGTCTATGCGGACTATCTCTTGGTATTTCGTAATATTCTTTTTCCTCTCCTGGCATGTTTTGGTTATTTTTTTCTAAACATTTTCTCAGCTGTTTGTTTTTCTTCCACTGACAAACACCTCTAGAGTTGATCATACAAAAACCATGTTCTTGGAGGCAGTCTGTGTACATTTGGGGAATCCATTCGCATTCTTTGGGACCGGGACCCTGGCAATAACTTCCTTGACACCAGGATACCTGTAAAAGTAGTTCTTACTATGTCAACAATCACAATAGCAAGAAAAAGCCATGCATTTAATAAAAAAAGTGAAACAAAATGGAAAAGAAATAAACAAAATCTTGAAAAGTTTCATCAATCATTGTACAGTGAAGTATCAGTTGAGGAAAATAACTTACTGAACATTTACAGTTTCTCTTATAGAAGAATTTGATTCCTTTAAGCTGATGTCGATTCAGTGTTTTGTAATTTTGAACCCAGTCACACATACTTGACCAGATTTCTCCCTGTCTTTGTATCCTGGCTGTAAATCAATTTTATACTATGTCTTATCCTAATCCTTATCCACAAACACAGAATTCAAAAATTTTAATACTAAAATGATAAATAAACCTTTTACTCCAATACTATCAAAAGCTGACCTGACAGGATATAGGTTTTGCCTTTGTTAAGTGTAAGTCCACAAGCAGCCCCCGAAGCCGAGGTATGGATGTATTTTACTTTCTTTCCATTGTTTCCCAGCAGTTCTTTGCCCTATGAACATTGATGCTTTATCAACTACGTGCATATTTCTATAACGTAATCACTTGTCCGAATGACAGTTTTACTCATGTAATGTACCTTAAAAAATCTATGTATCCTGACTTTATACTTCCTTTCGACTGGCATTCTTTCATATGGATTTTCCGGATTCATCATGTTTGGCGCCTTAATGATACTATTTTGATAAACGTCTTCGGTATCCTTTACCGTAGCGACCAAAACTAAAAAAGATCTTTTTTTTTTATAAATACAGAATTTCTCTCTCTCTCTCTCTCTCTCTCTCTCTCTCTCTCTCTCTCTCTCAGTATGTTTGCATTACAAAAACGCAAGTAATATGAAAGCTTTGATGTTATAATCAGTAGCATTGTTTGTAAATAAAAAAAGAGTTGAAGCTTTGAATAAATGTACTCACTTAACCGAGCTTTACAGTAGTGGTTCTGAATGTGTGTTGGGAAGCATGTGCATGTCCATACTTCTGTGACAACGGTACATAACACAAACAAAATGTTAAGGAAGATCATGTTCTGCTGAGATAAAAAAAAATTGTTATACATCAAAGAGTGTGTACTAAGTGTTACAAGACTACCGCTAGTTTTTCCAAATCTGAACGATGTGTATTTATTCTCTATTTTATAAATCCAATTTATTTATGTTCATTTCCTTGACCCATATAGACATTTATATTCTATCATTAAACTAATTTTGGTGCAAACAAGTACAATTCAAATTGCCAAGTTATCTTACGAATGGCTTCAATATTCATTCCGGTTCTTTGGCTTTAACAAAAGACAGGTGCCATTTATCTTGTCAGTGAAGGATCTGATATGCTCTATACATATCTGTATCGAAATCTTTTGTCTTGTCTCAATACTATTGTCACTCCTGAAAATTCCTGCAGTGCAGCTCTCTTGGTGCATCTTCTGCTTACATTGTTATTGTTTTATAATTGAAATTTTATGATAATTTTGAGTAATTTTGACTGCTAGAACAAGAATAACGTAACTTTCAAATGCTACGCGCATTCCTCTGTGCTTTTAAGATCTCTAATTGTCTACGGAAAATAATAGATTTAAAAGTTATATCTCTCCAAGATGCGGAAATTGATCATGATCGTCTGTCTTCCATGCGAATACATGTATTCGTATGTCCGATGGCCTCTAAATCTTGTTCAGGGTATAACGCTGAACCTCTTGCAATAGATTCGACCTTTCTTTCGCCATTTCTCATGACGTATAGAGGTGTGTCAATGTCTTTTAGGAAGGTCACAAACTAGTATCAAAGTTCAAAATCACTGGGAATGAATTGTTTAAATTGTATATGGGCTATAACTAGCATCCTTGACTTAAATTCATTCAGACGAGAATCGTATTATTGCCTAACAAAAGGAAAAGCTTTTTACCCTTGGTAATATCTCAAAGGTCAAAGTCAATGATGGTTTGTTGTACAGGCTGTATCGTAAGGTTAAGGTCATTCAATGATGGCATATTGTATAGGCCCTATATCAAGGTCAAGGTCACTTGATGTTGGCATATTGTACAGGCTGTGTCATAAAGTCAATCAATGAAGACATATTGTATAGGTTTATATGAAGGTCACTCAATGATGACATATTATACAGGCAGAACTTAAGATGGCATATTACAGAAGCTTTATCTTAAGGTCAGTCAATGATGGCGTATTGTACAGGCTGTATCATAGGGGACCTTAAATAAAATTGATTCGTGACTAAGGATGCTATTGCCCATCACATAAAAGTACACCGTAAGTTTAATTCATATCATAAAAAGGGGTCAACGAATTAATGTTATTAACAAATCTTGTTGAATAAATATCTTTGCAATTGTTTAAAAACAAATCCATCCCTTGTATATTGATTACCATCCTATTAGCAATACTTTCAAATTTCTTCAAAAACATGTTAAGAGCTAATTTAGCGATAGTCAGGGGATATCACTGAAGAAACATGATCGACTGATTAATGATATAGTTATATCACTAACACTGTTCATTAAGGATATTTGACTGTTGGTTGATTAATGATATAGTTATGTCACTAACACAATTCATTAAGGATATATGACTGTTGGTTGATTAATGATATAGTTATACATTTAGATATATCGACGACGTATTGTCAATTAACAATGGCTATTTCCATTCTTATGTTGATACGATATATCCCGGTGAGCTTGAGATAAAAGATACCACAGAGTCTGGCATATGTTGTTTCATATTCAGCTGTTTCATATTTGGATATTTTACTTGAAAAAGACGTTAATGGTAATCTAACAACCAAGCTTTATGATAAACGTGATGACTATAACTTTTCAATCATCAACTTCCCTTACTTAAGCAGCAATATACCTTCATCACCTTCATACGGGGTAGATATCTCTCAGTTGATTCGATACGCAAGAGCATGCTCTACGTATATACAATTTCTAAAACGAGGTATATTATTGACAAATATGTTGAAACAAGAATATCAGCTGTCTCGTTTAAAGTCATCATATCGTAAGTTCTATGGTCGATACAATTTATCATTGAGTCAAATGCTGACTGACGTTTTTCATACTAATTGTTAGGCCATTATTAACACAAAAAATCGTCGACGATTTTTTTTCGTTTTTCACGATCATGACAAGGAGCACACGGCAGGGGTGACCGGTCGGCAGGGGATGCTCACTCCTCCATGGCACCTGATCCCACTTCTGATGTTTGGAGATCCGTGTTTGCTCTGCTCCTATTTTGTATTGTTTAATTTACTTTTGAGCTTGAATACTGTTCGTTATCTCCATATATTTCTTTATATCACTATCACTATTCATTAAGGATATATGACCGTTGGTTGATTAATGATATAGTTGTATCACTATCACTATTCATTAAGGATATATGACTGTTGGTTGATTAATGATATAGTTGTATCACTATCACTATTCATTAAGGATATATGACTGTTGGTTGATTAATGATATAGTTGTATCTCTATCACTATTCATTAAGGATATATGACTGTTGGTTGATTAATGATATAGTTATATCACTAACGCTAAATAGGAATATATGTTTAAATAGTGAACATAGTAGTTGATAAATAATCTGGTTGAATCATTAACACTTTCCATCAATGATATATGTATCATTAGGGGGCATTGTAGTTGATAAATGATATAGTTATATCATTAACACTTTCTATCATTGATATATTTATCATTAAGGGACATTGTAGTTGATAAATGATATGGTTATATATCACTATCCATCAATGATTTATGACTAGAGGTTGATTAATGGTATTCCGGGGGTAGTTATATAACTTCACGTGTAATACTTTCCATCAATGTAACAAGCCACTAGCTGGATTAAACATAAAAATGTTAATATTACTGAACTTGTTAAATAAATTGGCACTTTTTTTTTCAAGAAATGGCAACTTACCCTGGTATTCTGACAAAGAGTGAAGCCTTGACATTAATATTAGCGGACTTTTCGAGTAAGAAACGTAATTAAGTCCTATATGTAAATTATCTGAACTATTATCCCGTTTACTTTGTGGATATACAAGTCAATAAACATAATAAAAACTATGATGAGTAATCCACATGCAACCCTTACTTCAATCATATTTACTTGAATACTGTAATGTAGTAAATGTATGCAAAGTAAAAAGAATATACTTGGTAAATAATAATAAAAAAGAAATACTTACATCCGGGTCACCAAGTGGATTTATCCTTCATACATGACTATGGATAGGTACAGACTACAAAAGATAATTTACTGGAATTCAAACACATAGACACATTGTTCTCTTATCTGTCATTCATTGGTTATTCTAAAGTCTTGGTTGATTTAAATTTAATGTTAGTAAAGAACAACACGATCATCTATTTGGGGAGGAATACTCTGCTCATGTACTTGACATACATTGACTTTTGCCGATTTGAAATGTATTTCAGCCACGATTATATAAAATTGTACACACAACCCATATCAAATATTTCTGTTTTATTATCATGAAAAATTCATTGTTTTATTATTTAAATTGGGGGAGGGTGCATTGGAAGGTTAGCGTTCATACACACAGTGTTCTCACCATTATGTGGTACATGTGCGTCTTCAAATTTTCTTCATTATATGATATGGTTTTGTCGTTAAATTTACATCCATTGAATATTATCGCCTTTTTTCTTATTAAAAAAACTATTGGTCAATATTTTAACCCCGCTAATCACTGTACAGATTTCTTAAGCATTGACCCTTCTATCAGTGGAACGTATAATGACTTACATGTCAGTAATACAGTATTTATCTACTTTGTGTGATAAGTTTCATATATATTTATTATTCCCTGGCCATTTTATGGCCGGGGGCTTATAGTGTTACCATGTTCCATCATTATGTCATTCCGTCATCATTGACTTTCCGTTCATTATCTCGTCAACAGTTGCACACATTCAACTCAAATTTGACATATGGATATTTGAATTTGGAATTTGGTTATGTGTTCCGATGATTTTTCAGAGAAATTATCATGCAAGTATTTTACCAGAAAATGCAGTTCAGGTTCAAATTTGGTCGTGATCCTGTCATATTGTAATTTTTGAATTTACCGGGTGGTAGTAAATACAAAAATTACAAAATGACAACTTTGTCAATAGACAGATTCATCCCTCTTGAACTTAGAAAAAAATAAGAAATTTTCAGTATTCGCTCTCTTACTTTTGTAGGAATGTATGTATAAGGTAGGAATTGCATATGCAGGTATTTTACCAGGAAATAACGGTCGTTTGAATTTAGTCGTGGTTCGATGATTTTTAACAGAGTTATCCCTCCTGAACTTAGAAAAAAATAAGAAATTATCAGTTTCCGTTCTCTAACTTATGTAGGAATGTATGTACAAGATTGAAATTGTATGTGGAGGTATTTTACCAGACAATACGGTCAAGTTTAAGTCGTGGTTCTATGATTTTTAATAGAGGTTTCCCCCTTGAACTTAGAAAACAATCCTGCATTAACAACACCTGCAACCTTAAATCCCATACTTACGACCATACTTATGACCAAAGAATATCATTTTATTGTTTCATTATATTGTACATTTATCATTGGTTCTTTGAATACTCCATGTAACTGTTCATGCATTATATGCCGTGAACATGACAACATTATATGCCGTGAACATGACAATATGTATCTTTTAAATATCATGAATAATGCTTCCTTTAGGATGGTAATGATAATTTTTATAAGTCGCGAAAGTGAGTGATGCTTCTTTCAGGTACTAGTAGTTGTTGATAACTTCGGTCCTCTCTTTATGATTTTTAAATTTTTAATTTGGTTTCCTTTTTAGCTCACCTGAGCTGAAAGCTCAAGTGAGCTTTTTTGATCACATTTTGTCTGTAGTCCGTTTGTCTGTCTGTCCGTCTGTCTGTAAACTTTTCACATTTTCGACTTCTTCTGCAGAACCACTGGGCCAATTTCAACCAAACTTGCCACAAAGCATCTTTGGGTGAAGGGGGTGTAAGTTTGTTCAAATGAAGGGCCACACCCTCTTGCAAGGGGAGATAATGAAGAATAAGTGTAAAATTAATAGCATATTTTAAAAATCTTCTTCTCAAGAACCACAGAGCCAGGAAAGATGAAACTCATGTGGAAACATCCTCAGGTAGTGTAGATTCAAATTTGTTCAAATCATGCATGACCCCCTGGTGTAGGGCGGGGACACAATGGACAATTAAAGTTTTACATAGAAATGCAATGTATATAGGAAAAATCTTTAAAAATCTTCTTCTTAAGAACAACAAAGCCATGATGAGTCATATTAATATGGAAGCATCGCACAGGTAGTGTAGATTTAAGTTTGTTCAAATCATGACCCCCTTGGTTGGGGTGGGGCTACAATGGAGGATCAAAGTTTTACATAGAAATATGTAGGAAAAATCTTTAATAATCTTCTTCTCAGGAACAGCAAAGCCATGATGAGTCATATTTATATGGAAGCATCCTCAGGTAGTGTAGATTCAAGTTTGTTCAAATCATGTCCCCTGGGGTAGGGTGGGGCCACAATGGAGGATCAAAGTTTTACATAGATTCTGAAATATATATGGGAAAAATCTTTAAAGAACAGCAAAGCCATGTTTGACATAAGATCATATAGGAAAAAAATTCTTCTCAAGAACAGAAAAGCTATGTTTAATCATTGTGATATGTAAGCATCCTCAGGTAGTGTAGATTCAAGTTTGTTCAAATGATGACCCCTGGGATGGGGAGGAGCCACAATGGGGGATCAAATTTTTCCAAAGTAATATATAGGAAATTTTTTTTAAAAATCTTCTCAAGTGCATCAAAGCCATTTGTTATATTGACATGGAAGCATCATCAAGTAGTTTAAAATTCAAGCCCCCCCCCCTTACATAATCTTTTCAATACTGAACTGATTTACTGATTTGTGCTTTTGCCTAGCCAATGTGCTCAGGTGAGGATGTGGCCCATGGGCCTCTTGTTGTAGTTGTTATTAACTTCGATCCTCTATTTAGTAGTTATTAATTTTGTTCCTCTCTTTAGTTGATGTTAACTTTGAAAATGCATCATATCTTAGGAATTGAACATAGATCTAGCCCCATTGGTTCCATATACAAAATGTAATTTTTTTCAATAACGAGATATCGTTCCGACTTTTCTCCACGAATTGAAAAGTTACTAACGCTGTATATTTACATCAATCAACGATTTTGCTGAGAAATCGTTTATGACAATCAGAAGATACCATGGATCTGAATTTAGGAGTTAATGTCAGTGTCATTGTGTACAAGTTTGTGTTGTGTATATTTGAATATGTGTTCTTTCTGTTACATTAGTCAACTTTTTCTAACAAACGTTAGCAGTGATTCACTGTTTGTTATTTTATATCATGATATCTAAGTAAGCTTGCTAGTCATATTGTAATATGTTTGAATAACTTTCTATCACTTTTGTCATTCTCAGATTTTTTTTTGGTCCACGGATGATCTTGTATCTAAAGCAGAACGCAAAGTTATTTTACTATCAAGGTACAACTCATGTTAAGCAGAACAGCAAACTTCTAATCAGTGTACTGGTAATTAATTTTAAAGAACATATTCGTTGTAGGTCTGTAGCTTTATGCATGCTGTAGTCCACAGGCCCTAATATCGCTTTAATCCGAACAAATACAAAACGGAGCGTTAAAAAAGTCATACCCTAATTTTGTCAGTCGAACTCAAGCGATCAAAAGACCTGTGCTATGGTCATACACGTAAACATTTGATTAACCAAGTAAAAATTTCAAGCAGTCGTCTATTATAAAGCTTTATTCAGAAAGAGAATTTGAAACATACAATTATATACCTAATATAAATAACTCAATTTTTTTTTATATAGATTTGTTTCCTTGTTTTCCCCTTTATTTTCGTTGTTAATACTGTTTTTGCTGTCAATAAAATTTTACACCAAAACTCCCGAAACCAATCTTTGTTTTTAAACAAGAAAAAAAGTAGGTGCTACCAGGTCGACGTCGGAGGACTGACTGTGTGTGCCGTCGGCCGGGACATGTCAATATTTAACTCTTAATTAGTCCCATTTCCTTAGATCTCTCATTTATCTCTCTACATCAAAAGATACTTTAGATTAAGAATGGTCATTTCTGTCCATTACAATTTAGAATGGAAAGGATATTATTATATATTGTGTGTTTTCTCTATCCTATTCAACTTTTTGAGAGAAAAAATTGAAGAATTCTTCCGATGCTATATATTTTCTGTTTACATACTAACAAATTATATCAAAGACAATCATATGTTAATAGGCAGAAAGACAAAATCTACAGGTAGTAACAATAAAAATCAGAGAGGAATATTGCTGAAAGATTGCGTATACTTACAATTATACTTATGAATCCATCTGATTACAACAAATTTTCACAAACCAATATCTTTAATCAAAATGCACCAATTTACAGATCTAAAACTAATCCTCAATCACATGTTTTTATTAAGAGTATCATGAGCTTTGGAATTCCTTTTATGTGTAATCATTAACTCATTGAATGGGCTTTATCAGGTTTCCTGCTCTCAGGGGTAATGATTCTTTGTGAACATAGCTTTGAGATGTGTTGAAAGAAGTACTACTTTATCAAATAATCTACACCCATGACCACAATGCATCGCACAGAAGACTATTGTGCCCAAACATGTGCTAGAGCCAGAGGTGCGGAGGGCTGATATTAAGTTGCGTTTCCACGTGTTTTAAACCGATTGCTTAATACTGCAAACCAAGTAGAGAGTTCTAACGTTAATCTAACTAATAAATAGAAATTAAGCTGTGTTTTTTTTATTTAAATAATGCAGTAAGAATATTTCCCTAACAAAGTTTTGCTGTTTTATCAAATTTCATAATTATGTTTTTTCTGACAATACATTTTAAGCAAAATATGGTACATTTATTTCAATTAAAGTGCAGATAACTGTAAATTTCATTTTTAGTTTCGAAAAGTTTTAGGCGTCCGTCTGTCTGTCTGTCTTGTGTAATCTAAAAAGTTTTCTTTTTCTCAATTATTTGGCTTCTCCTGAACCATTGGGCCAATTTCAACCAATCTCGAAACAAATAATCCCTGGATAAAGGGCCACGCCATTTTTTAAGGAGAGATACTTATGAATTAGTGAACATTTAAGGGTATCTTTCAAAAATCATCTTCTAAAGAACTACTGGCCAAGTAAGATATACATATTGGGAAATCTTTAAAAATCTGCTTTCTCAAGAGCACCAAAGCCATGATTAGTCATATTTATACAGAAGCATCCCCAGGTATTGTAAATTTATATAAATTCAAGTTTGTTCAAATTATGATCCCCTGTGGGGTAGGGTGTGGACATAACAGGTAATCAAAATTATTCATAGGAATATTAAGGAAATATCTTAAAAATCTTTCTTTTAAGAACAACATAGAAATATATAGGACTTTTTTTCAAAATCTTCTAGAGAAAACACCTTCATTTAGTGCAGATTCAAGTTAGTTCAAATTATCCCCCTTATATACCATTAATTCATTTATAGAATCTTTTCAATACTGAACTGCATGATTTCTGTTTTCTCTAGCCAAAGTGTTTAGGTGAGCGTTGTGTCCCACGGACCTCTTGTTTTGATTTTTTTTCCCTTATTTCAGCTTATCACACCTAAATTTCCAGCTGTCGTTAAAATAGGACATGCCCACTCTGGTGTTGGAAAGGTATGTTATGAATCTACTATAATATTAGAAGTTTCTACTTTACATGTACGCACAATGGAAAAGAATTTCACCCCCCCCCCCCCCGTTATTAGCTTTTAGTATTTCTAATCCCTGTAATTCTATATCATAAAATTGCAATTAGTCTATTTCTCCAATAGATAATTACATAACAAAACAAATCAAGGGTTAATTTTAAAACCATGAGATTGAAGGATGTTGACTCTGTTACTTCTTACCGATATTTAAAAAAAAAATTCAAGGTGATTAAATGGTGTTCATAATTGCTCTCGGATCCACAAAATCAAAGTTATTTTTATACCATATATAACGTATCTGAGCTAAAAAAAAAATAATAATATGAGATTGAGTGGAAATATATATGATATATTTTATGTACGTTCAAATTAAAATTTTTACCGATTTTGAACTAATTTCTTGAATAACTTCAGGTTTCTGTATTTAAATTGACTTCAAACTTTGTTGTAATTGTGTTGAATATCAATCAGATCCGCCACGCGCGTTGTGGAAAGAGGTATAAATAAACAGGATATTGTTAATATAACATCATTTTCTCTTTACTCCTCATCTCTTCCTCACTTTTCTCTCTGAATCTCCTCGTTCCTCCTTCTCACTGTTCGCCATTATTGTTGATTGTATAGATATAGTGTCACGCCATCAAATTAAAGAGTTTTCAAATTTCTGTTATTTTTATGGAGTCGGTAAATAAATCAGTTATTATTTTAAATTTTTGAAAAACGATTGATTTAAATTGTATAATTTACAGAAAAGTCGTATATATATATATATATATATATATATATATATATATATATATATATATATATATATATATATATATATATATATATATATAGTAATAAAACAAATAGATTTTTTTAAATTTTGGTTATCTGAACTTATCAAGAATACGCCATATGTGCCTTTAATCTTCAAAAATTTCCAATTTTATGCGAGAACTTATAAATATTTGAGTTCCCGACTTTTCTCAGTGTTTACATCATATTCTTGTTTTAGGTCAGAGTAGCAAACCACTATGATTTCCAAGACATCGCAGGCGTGGTTGGTGTCAGTCATTGTTACTCCACAACAGAGCTGTATGTGGATACACTCTATGACATTCATATTCAGAAGATTGGCAACAATTACAAGGCTTATATGTGAGTGTAACATAACCGATTTTCTGAATGAATTAAAGCAAGAGAAGTTTCATAAATACATATAATTACAATGTAACACGGTGATTGTGTTCAAGGTTCTTTATTCCATATAGAAATAAGTTGACAATGTTTCTGAAATGATATTATTAAAATAAAAATTTCTGTACAATGCTTACAAATCTTTGAAATAATTCATATGGTTGTCAATAACCATTTTCTCTAAATTCATTACTCTTTATTTTATTCATTTCATAATAAATATTATAAAATTATAAAAATCTATACATACAGCTTTCATATATAATAAACCAACACATACTCTAAGCAAGGGGCATATGTGACGTTTACACTTTACAGCATATTACACCATCTGGCTCATTAATGAATCTATTCAAAAATAAAAACACACAAATATAGATATCTACATATTGAAAAACTTGTATGATATTAGTTTAACCTCATGAGTAGACTGTATTCTCACATGTAAATAATGAACACTTTTAGACTTCAATGGAGAGACTAATTACCAATTAAAAATATCTTTTAATTAAGTTCAAAATACTTTTACATGCATGCTTATAACATTTGCATACTTATTTACTTAATACATAATGCTAGTTGCAATTATGAATAACAAATTTTCACAAAGGAGATGGGCGAACATAGCGTGCAGAAAGCCTATAGCTTCAGATATATAAAAATCATGTTCAGTTTGTGAATTTAGCATTTAGAGTAAAGTTCTCGTTATTGAAATTTACAAAACTATGATAAACAACACTTTTCTGAGGAAAATTTTCTCGACAAAATTTATTCTTTTATTAAAAAAATAATGTGGTATTCGTGAGGCTCGAACCCTAGCAATAAAAATCCTGAGGATCATTTTCTTTCAAGACTATCGCGCTAACCACTAGACTACACAAGTCCTGATGAACAGTGGCATTTAAATCATGTTTGTGATATGACCCTCGACTTAATGGACTTCAAGTATTTCTCGAAAAGATGCGAATGTTATGTCATAAAAGTATATTTTTAAGGTATAGTGGGTCTTTGCTCCATATTTTTGTTGACCAAAAAATGTTTAATTTTATGCAAACTATGAAGATAAACTTTCAAAAAAATGGAGCGAAGACCCACTCATATCGAAAAATAGTGTAATAGTATGAGAAAATGACTCTTTTTGGCATCTTTAGGGTGTGTATAATATTTCATAAGAAAATAATTTCAATCCTTGTGAGATTTTTGCCAATTGTAGAGATTTTACATAAAGTATATTTTAATGTTAGATGACATATCAAGGAAAATTTTGATATAATTGAGATTTAATTTTTCACCTTCATGTTTGTCACACTATAGGCTTTTTGCTCGTCATGTTCACCCATCTTCTTCTACTAACATTCATTCTTGATAACTTGCTGCCAACAATGGCTAGGAAAGCACGAGAAATGACCAGCATGCAACAGGATATAAATCATGTGACATCACAAAAAAGTATTTACAATTATTTCAGAGCTTTTCATAATATAACATTACTTTTAATTAGGACTGAAAATAACAATTAATAAAAAAATAAATCTTTTCAGTAAATACTAGAAATTTAAATCCCATGCTAATTCCAGTGTTATGTAAAATAGTACAATGTAAACAAACCACGCTGGTCCAATGGTAACACTACTAAATCCCGAAAAATCCAATACTTATTTTTTTCATATTAACAAATAATAAAATTTTAAATATAAATTTTCTCCCTCTTACAACAATACAATATATTCGTATATTATACACATACACGTATATAGTGTAGGCATCAAAGTGGAACAACATACAGGTGTACTGTTAATACTGTTAATAGTATAGGTCAGAATAATCAAGACATTTGTGAATCAGACAATAAACTTCTTAATTAGTTTGGAAAATACCATAGAGTTTAGTTTCGTGATGTTGTATTTTGTGCATTGTGTGTTTTTCTAGGTATGTCTGAATACATTCATTAAGATAAAAATCAACAAGAGGCCCAAGGGCCTTAACGGTCACCCGAGTATAAAACAACGATTTAGAGGATAAAAAGAGTATAAAATAAACTGCTAGATTAAGCTTTGTTGCCCAGAAGCAAGAGAAATAGGATGATCAGGATCAACGAAATAATGAGTCTAGTGTTTAGAAACAACTCGTAAATTCAGTTATAATCTGTCCCCCATTTATCATTATCACCATGCAGACTATTAGTAAACTATTAGTGCTTCTATACTATTTTCAAGCCTTATTTATAACCTTTCACACTGGTTTCTCTTGGTCTTTGAAGAACTATTTAATGAGTTATTTTTGTCTCATTTTTATTTATATTATTTACAAGTCTACCTGATCATTAAAACTATGAAAGTACTTTTTGTATTATACAATAAAAGTTTTTGCATAATTCTCTTATTGTATTGACATTTCAAATACATTATTTACAGTGATTAGTTATCAAAGTGAATGGGAAAGGGGAATAACTTCTCTCAGTAGAATACAAGTTAATAGAGCACTGGCCAGGGCCAGGACACTTGCCCATATGGTCCAGATGTTAAAAAATCTGGTAAAAAGCCCTTGCTTATTAAAACTTTTACTCTGTTTGCCCAGAAGCAGGGAAGATTTTCAAAGAAACAATGCATTTAAACTACAGATTCATCACAGCCCTACCCTAACATCAGAACCCATGACCCAGGGTCATGAAATTTACAAATTTGGAAGGGTACACTCTTCACCACAACTATGCACTTAGTTGAAAATTTTCAAAAAATTAGCACATTTTCACTATATTTTCAATAGACCCCCTTAAGAAACACCAGAAACCCCGACCCTGAGACCACAAGTTATAAAAACTTTGTAAGAAGCACCCTTGTTCATCATAACTATGCACTTTGTTTATCAGCACAACACTAAGGAGCAGACATGGATGTCAACGATTTCCCGGTTAACCGTGTACTTGATTGAACGTCCGAGTATCGAATACTAAAATCGGTACTCAGATGTATATATATTTTTTATATTTCATAGTGCATATATTTATTAAAAACTTGTCCCAATATGTGATTTAAATATTCAATGTCCATGTCTATATAGTAATTAAGGATGTCAACGAATATTCGAACATTCGAATATTCATTTGATGAGTTGATATTCGAACATAAATTTAAGATTCGAATATTCGGTGTTTTACAGATTTCGTAAAAAGAAGTACTGTGATTAATAAATTTTGATTAAATGAAAACCTTCTTAGAATGTCTAAAAGACGTGAAGCGTATACTTTTCAGAATAAATTTATTTGATCATTGAATGAATGTCTGATAGAATTTATCTGTAATTATTATTGTAAAGGGCTCAATTTCAGAATAAATGTGTAAATTACTTGATTATCTTGGGTTGTACATAATCCTGAACTTTATATTCATTATCGGTAAGTTAATTAATTACCTAGGAAAATTGTCTATGGAAATATTTGTTTATATTTAAAAATATTTTATTAAAGATTATAATCACATCTCTTATTAGATTGATAATTGTAATTAATTACACGTATTGAAATCTAAACAGTATACGACTATCCTGCCTTTGGTAAGACGATTGGTTCCTCAGTTGGAGCTACTATAAATTTATTAAATTTGTTAAAATCATATTTTTCTACGTTTAAATCAATTATTTATTTCAAACATTGACAAATATCAAATGGAATTCCTTATGGTACATCTACAAAAGCCTTCACACAATTTTACTTCCAATGTAAGAATACCTATACTAAACCTTTCTGGCTTTCATGAGAGTAGGATCATACATATTTAAAATAAACCAGATTTGATTTATTTTATCGAATATTCGAATATATTCGAATACTTTCATTGAATATTCGAATATGAATTATTGACAAAATTGACATCCCTAATAGTAATTAGCGTCACCTTCGCCAAGTTAATACCCGTTATCGCCTTTGGCTGTGTACTTGTACGTACAGTACTTACCGTGACCAATACACAGCTGTTCTCACCTCTTGTGACCCTAATTTTTGGATGTCTTTAATGAACTTATGAATGTTTAATTATGATCTACAACTTATCCTTAAATTAGATTATTTAATTAGCATACGGTAGCGAAATCGGACATGCATAGAATAATCGCTACTAATTCAAAAGAGAATAATTATTTTAGAATAACCGAAGATTAGTACCCTTGCGCTATGAATTTCACAATTGTGGTAGAAGGATTTGATTTAAATATATTTTATTGAACACAATCAATGGGATTGGACACAAGTTATACCAACTTAGATTGTCCTCTCCAAGAAGGTAGAAGGATCAATGCTTATATATTACAATCATGCCAACAGTTTGACTGCTTGATATCCAAGAGTAAAGAAGATTTTTAAAGATCGTCTTAATTTTGGTGGTTTTAGCCCCACCCCTCAGGACCCAGGGGGACAGGGACCATGAAATTTATAATTTTTGTTCCCCTTCACCGGGCTTGGGGTAATGCTAAATGTAATGGTTATGCATTGCAATGCATTACTTGAACTCGAAGTAATGCTAGTAATGTGTAATGCCAAAAAATCTGCATTACATGCAATGGTAATGTAATGCATTACTTTCTCAAATCGAAAGTATTGCTAGCATTACATAGCATTACAAAGCAGTATTTAGAAAATTAAACATTTACATTTAAAAATAATTAAACATTAAACATTGTTTGATGGACTTTGATCCTGAATACTGTTCGTTATCTTCATATATTTCATTACATAGAAATGGGCGTTTAGATAATTTTTTTTCTAAATGATAGAAATGAATGAAAAGAGTTAACCTATTTAAATAAACTCTCTGACAGGTGTCTCTTTAAATACACTTTATATTCTGTTGAAAGTACAATTACCACACATTTTTCATACTTATTTTAGATAAGATTTAATTTCAAAGAATATTTAAATGTTTTTTTTAATCCAATAAAAGAATAATTAAGGTGTTAGGAATATTAATTGAGCTTGTCTTGCTTGAGCTGACCATGGCAAATCAAACGGATTAGAAAAGAGGCATTCTACTTTTAGCGTAGCAAAATGTACATACTGTCCAACCATTTTTACAAGTTTGTCAATGTATTTACTTTTTTCCATAAGAAATCCAAACAATCTATTTCTTATAAAGATAGCTCTGGGGAGGGGTTAAAGTGCCCCAAAAGTTAAACTGCTTTATGACATCAATAATTACACAGAAAGTGGATTTTTATTTATGTTTTTATCTAATTGGCAGTTGAAAAGTTTGAACTTCTTATGAATAATAAAAAGATATGTAAGTTATTTACAGTGAAATAAATACACTACTAAAGTCACTTGATATCAAATTTGAATTATCATTTATAATGTATAGTTTTGAAAGGGGTGGAATGCATGTTTATGAAAATAGTTCCACAAGTTTTGCATTTCTATTTTTTGAAAAAAAAACCCCAAAGTAATGGTAATGGTAATGCATTACTTTACTAAATTGATGGTAATGTAATGCATTACTTGAAGAAATTAAAGTAATGTGATGGTAATGTAATGCCCAAATTCTTGAAGTAATGGTAATGTAAAGCTTTACTTTACAATGGTATTTGCCACAAGCCTGGCCTTCACCCATAGGTGCTATATGCCAAAAATCGGTTGAAATTGGCTTAGCGGTTCCAGAGAAGAAGTTGAAAATGTTCAAATGTTTATGCACAACGGACGACGCACGACAACAAACAAAAACGCATAGTAATAGGTCACCTGAGTGACTCAGGTGACCTGAAAATCGCTAAAATTAACACTTTTTAAAAATTTCATATTATTGCATATAAAAAGACTGAAGGTAAGACGCTTGCCATCTTGGATTTCAGGGGGTGCACCAGTTCACACCATCGTCGAAACCCACGGGTTTTCTCTGCGTTACAATACATCCAACGTTGTGTAACGGAGAGAAAACCCGTAGGTTCCGACGATGGGTTCACACTTGATTTTATATAATATCTACATTTTTACTACTGGTGTCGGGTGAGATCTAGCTTAAAAAATGACAAACTAACTTTTTTTCTATCGTCTGCCGATTTGCACTGGCAGTAAACCAAAATGTCCTCGATACCTATCACTAGTACTGAAACTGAAAGCAACGGAATTGACGATTTCTTTGTGTAGAGGCGTCCCGAAATTGTAGGGAGAGTATAGAGAGAACAAGTTTGACAAGGGCCAAGGTGTCTGACCTCTAGACGTTCCTTGCAATTTCGGGATGCCTCTATATTTTAAACAATATTTTATTCACAGAAGTGAATGGGATTGGGCAGCAGGCCCAGCCTAATTTAGCCCTCTCCCTGCCTCTATACTTTACAAAGTTAGAAATCGACACTTCCGTTGCTTTCAGTTTTAGTGCTAGGTATCGAAGACGTTTTGGTTTACTCATGTTTTATAAGGATTTTTATTTTAATGGGTGTATTCAGACATACCTAGAAAAATACGCAATACACAAAATGCACCACTCTGAAACCAAGCGCCTATTATATGCGGGAGTGCAACAGACTTTGACAGTAAAGAGAAAAGTTATTTAGTCGAACAAAAAAACACGTCTACCTCTAAATACAAAATGTTAGTTACGTGAAATTGCTCCTGTAAACTTTGCCGATTCAGATCGCCATCTTTTATGCAGCAGCAATAGCAACCACCTGCGTGAAGACTACGCATTCAAGCGCAGTTTTTCTCTAGCTCTGGTTTAAGACCAACTGTTTTCGATAAAAGGGAACAACCAACTCCAAAACATTTCTACGACCACGAATGAAGCAAATAATGTAGATAAGAAATCTTATTAATGAATTTACAAACAACCTGTAAGTATTACCTCAGTTGGTAGTTGAATCAGCTTTGTGAATTTTTATTTTCAGGAGAAAATCCATATCTGGAAATTGGAAAGCGAACACAGGTTCTGCCATGCTTGAACAAATAGCAATGAATGAAAGGTAAGGGGAGCTGATAATAGCACGTCTTGTATTCGTCAGAACATTACAACGACGGGCAATTTTCTAAGATCGCACTGAGTATGAGGTGTCGTTTTGGTATTTTTTGCCATTTAGTGGTATCACCTATTTGAATAGGCAATATAACCTATAATAGATGATATCACTCATTCAAATTGATTAGGTGTTATCACCTATTCGATTAGGTGGTATCACATATTCGAATATGTGATACCACCTTTTCATATTGGTGATATCACTTATTTTTGGGAGTAATAATTATTTCATACATAATTTGAATAGGTTATATCACCTATTCGAATAATTGACATCACCTATTTGATTTGAATAGGTGATATCACCATTTTAAATCAAATAGGTGATATCACTTATTCGATATGATTCTCTGTGAAGTCGATATGTCTATGGATTGACCGAATGAAAGGCCTACATTTGTTATATTATTTTTCACACAAATTGACAAAACAAAATTTGAAAATAATGGGAACAAACCACAAGTTTTCACTCTTGTCTTTTTTCAACACACAGACACTAGAGATCAAGATGAATTAAATTGTTTAGTGTAATTGTGTTTGCTTTATACTGATAGAGTAATCTAGGGAATGTACTAATTTAAAAGTCCACATTTGTTTTATTATATCAATTTATGAAAAACATATCTAGCATGTTTTGATCCTTTTTCAAGGCATTGTTACGTATTACCAATTATTACAGAACATCACAATTATAAATTATTGGAGCTGAAGTATTTTTTTTTCAGAAACACCAAGTCATACAAGCTATAATTGTGAAGTCATCACTATTACTGTATACAGGGAAATTTTCGCCCCCGTTTTAATTTCTCCTCTTTCACCCTAGACACAAGTGGGCGAATTTCAGACGGGGCGAATTCAAAGAAAAAGTATAATTTCTTTAACAAAACTGTGGCTGGGCGAAATTAAAATGGGACAAAATTGTTTACTAGTGTGAACAGGCGAAAAAAAACACGGGGCGAAAATAACCCGACTTGTGTACAGTATTATTTAATAGCAGATTATTTCCATTTTTAGAAACATCAAGTCGATATGCATATCAGAATCTTCAAAATAATAACAAAGTCTATATGCTGTTATATACTTGATCATGTGATCAGGTTTGAGCCATTCGGAGAGCTTGGAATAACAGAGAAAAATAGCATTAGGTGATAATCACCATATCACCATTTCAAGTCAAATCTTTTAAGGGACTTATTATGTAAAATGTATTTTGGATACTAGTAGTTCAAAGAGCACATATCTTTTTCAAAACAAAATTAAATATTTGATATTTGAAGGAATTCTTACATGTTATTGTTGATAGATTTAGATCGTGGGTTGACGAGTGTAGTTTAATGTTTGGAGGACTGGACATGTTAGCGCTAGAGGCAGTACAAGGAAAGGATGGAAAAGAATACATCATTGGCGTAAATAAAGTGTTTGATTTGTGAATTCTAATGCTTAACAATTTTTTTTAAAACATTTTTTTAAAAATCAAATATACGATCTGTAAGAGAGAGAGAGAGAGAGAGTTTAGTTTGCCTTAAGATTTAGAAATTCTAAATAGGTTGTACGTTAATTGTCGATAACATTGATTAATATTATTATTAGATATTTTAACTAACAATACTGATTAATCCTTTCATTTTTCAGCTTAATGACTCGGCGATGACTTTACTTGGAGAAAGTCAGGAAGAAGATCGAAAACATATAGTAGATTTAGTTCTGGCAAAAATGCAACACTGTTTAAAACCTACTCCGTCTCTGAGGGCTGTCAGGTATATCATCAGGGAGAAATTTAACACACTCTCAGAAAATATGTGTATCTGTAGTAAAAAATAATGAGATCGGAGTTGTTACAAAGCACTTTCACGCTTGTGTAAAAAGCTCAAACGAGCTATTTTGATCAAAGTTGTCCAGTGTTCAACTGCATCCTTAAGTTAAAAAGATTCCAGTTCAAATTAACATGTGATGTTTTGTTTTAATGAGATAATCATGTAATTAATCAATCACAAAAATTAGAGAGGTCAAATCCACTTTTTCAGAATCATTGGGTCCGAAAAGTAATTAAAACATTTTAAACCTTTCTGGCAGAGTGTTTCTTCACTTGTCAACATTTTTCTCAAAGCACTCTCAAGAACAACTAGGTAATTAGTGATAAGAACGTCCAAGCCTGTCCTACTTCTTTTGTCGTTTATTTATTATATTGAAGCCGAGGTAGGTATTCGGATTTTTATATAAAAAATGAAAAAGAAAAAAAAACTTCAAAAATGTCATTTTACAAAATACGTTATACCGGTATCCCCTCCATGTTGTGTAGGGTTTGTTCAGTTCTTGGCTTTATTACTCAGGGCATTGTCAATTGATAATCTTCTTTGCTAACATTCTCTAAAGAATGAAATTCTTCATAACAAAAAGGCAATAATCTTTACTGAAATTCTCATAGACATAAGATTGAGAATTCTTCATAAAAAGGGCAATATTCTTCACAACAATTTTCATAATAATGAAATTTCTTCATAACAAAAAGACAACAATTTGTGAAATTGATATTTTAAGAATCCCAGTGTAGTATAGATTTAAGTTGTCAGGGTGTTCAGAACGCAATGTTACAACCAAATTAATTTACAAAGGAATTTTTATTGAAAACGAATTTAAAGTGGTCACAAGAAAACCCTACAATATTCCATATTATACATTTATACAGACACTTTTTATTTTTAACAGGAAATATACTCTTTTAAGAAGAAACAAGATATGTTTGTGAAACATTGACCCCCCATGGCGGTGTAAAGACGAATAATGACCCCCATCGAATAATGACCGGGGTCATTATTCGCCATCGAAGAATGACCCCCGGTCATTATTCAACGGCGAAAATGACCCCCGGTCATTATTCGACGTCGAAAAATGACCCTTTTGCCCGTAGAGAAAGTGTCATCACCCTAAAAATCTGCATACCCCACGTGAAGAAAAATGACCCCCGTAGAATAATGACCCCTTCTGGATTAAAGAGGATTAAAGTTGAAATTTTTAGGGGGCAAAATAAAAATAATAAATCAAGAGACCTGTTGGCCAAAATGAGCTAAATTGGAAATAAATCGATGATACGCTGATCTCATTACATGTACATTATACAGTTATTGCTGTTTTAAGGTCAATGCGATGATTCAGAATCTAGAGGAGTAAAAGATTTATCGAGCCCAAAGGGCGAGGTGAACATTGTTTTTCGATGGTGGAAAATCATCGTACTGACAGAAAAAACAGCAATAATTGTTTTATTATATGATTCAACGATTAAATTGATACAAACTGATAATTAAGCAAACATGTCAAGTTTCTTGTTTACATTTACATTTGTGAGAGAATCGGAGTTAAGCATAACCAGTATTAATTTTGCATTTGAAATCTAGTTTTGGTGCAATGTATAGAAAATATAAATGTCAGGCATAGCATCGAAAGGGGGAAATGGGGCATTATAAGAGGCAAAATGACGTTACCTAAGAAATATCTTTGATGAACCCCTCAAAAGCTCTATTGATGTAAGAGGAATTTCCTTTTACTCTACTGTATCAAAAAGTTGGGGGTAGGGCAACCAGACTTGCAATGACCATTTTCAAGCGAAAAAATAAAAAAAAATATTACGTTCATGGAAATGGAAGGGGGAGGACACTCCATCCCATCCCTGATTCTATGTGCCTGAATGTTATGTTCACCTTGTCCACTCAAGTAGGAGACATTTTTTTACTATACCGTATAAAAAGAGGAGGTGGTTACAAGACTTTCAATGAACATTTTCAAACTAGAAATTGCTAAAATTTACATTCTTTGAGCCTGAATATTATGTTCACTTGAGTGGAATTCGGATGCAAGTGAAATAACTTTTCAGAGTTGTTTTCAATCTATTTTTAGTTCAATGTAGGAAAAATAAATCCTTATATTCACCTGGAAGGTCAATAAAATGGTCTGTCTTTAATGATAAATTGAAAACATTTATCTACTTCAATATACACTGTATTGAAATGTTTCCATATTGATTTGACAAATGTATCACTGTTTTAAAGTGAATTTCTAAAGTAAATTATTCCTCTTACATGTATGTATCCTATTCTCAGACGACCATGTTAACAGACTTGAATTTACATACCCGGTATGTACAGTATACTGGGATTCTTTTTCCAGCTTTTTCCATCGTCAACTTTCCTTGTTTATATAGTAATATTCCGCTATCATTTGCATATGATGTTAACGTCTACCAAATTATTCGATACCCAAGAACACAATTAATTTTTAAATCGAGGCAGGCTTCTGACAGATACATGTTGCGTGATGTTACAGGGGTTTCAGCAACCTCGTTTAAAGTCAGCATTTCGTAAATTCAATGGTCGTATCAATGACCCTATCAACAAATATAACCTATAATTGGTCAATTGTTTGGCCTTTTTTCTATACTAAATTCGACAATGGAATTTCCCCTGATTTATTCATAGGGCTCGATCACGGCGGGTGTGACGGGTCAACAGGGGATGTTTACTCTTTCTAGGCACCTGATCCTACCTCTGCAATTTTCAGGGGTCTTTTTTTATACCCTGTTAACAGAACTATATTGTTTATAGATATTTTAAAACCATCACTGTTCGTTATTTTCACCTTTTTTCATTAGGAAATATATATATCCACAGTATGTCGTTCGCACGAGATAATATGTCATTTGCGATACATTCTACCTCATTTGCACAGCTTTTTATGTCATTCAAAAATATAAATATAAATATTACATTGCACATTTATTTCCGAAAACTTATTCAATTTTTTTATTCACTTTTTTTAAAAAAAAAAAGTTGATCGTACTCAAAGCATGCTTAATACCTTGAGAGACATGTTTACCATTGAAAAGTCAGTACATCCTGCTTGTCTGTTATTTAGCTTTGAATGTCTATAATCAGTCAAATATCCAAATATGAAACAAATGGAATACAGTCATAAAAGGAGGTTACTTTAAGAGTTATAACCAATAGTAGCCATTTTGCGATTTGCTGAGAACACAATAGGCTTAAAAGATAGAAATATGCATGTGAATGTAATGCTGTTTTATTGTGCTTTCGTCCAGTGTTGATCAAAACGGGCATAACTTTAGAAGAATTAAACATTGAGGTTCAAACCTTGGCATCAATCACCTGTTATAAGTTGTGTATCACTCTGTTGGAAAAGGGGTCATTTTCAAACGGGGGTAAATTTTTTTTATAGGACACACATATAAAAATATAACCCCTAGGGCTCTTTTTCTACAAAAAATCAATTTTTTCTACGGCTGGTGGGTCATTTTTTGTCGTTGAAAAACGACCCCCGTCATTATTCTATGGGGGTCATTATTCGTCTTTACAGCGGCTCATGACCAAGGTCATAGTTTTTTAAAGGTCAAAGTCATAGGGAAAATTGTACCAAAAAAAGGTATTGACACAAGAAATATACACGTGAAACATGAAACCTTTAGTACCAACCATTCAGAAGATATGACAAAAGTCAAAGTTTCACAAAAGTCGGTCAGACTCCTAGGTCAAGTTCAAGAGTTCAAAATTGTGGATGCCCAAAGAAAGGCCTTTCACAGGAGAAATAGACATAAAAATATGAAAGCCCAGACATCAACCATTCAAAAGTTATGGTCAATGTTAAAATTCTACAAAAGTATGCCAACATTCTGCAAAAGTAAGTTAAACTCTAAGGTGATGAAGTCAGAAACGCTGGTAAACAAAGAAAGAATACATGTGAAATGAAGAAGCTACACCCCATCTGTTCAAAAGTTATGACCAAGATTAATATTTTCCAGACAAACAAATACATAGACAGAACAAAAATTATATGCCCCCAAGTCTCTGATTACAAGGACATTGAAAAATGTAAATGTTGTAAATATCATCATGTAAGCGTGTGATGTACAGTCAAGTTTACGCAGGTTGTAGACCCTTAAAGTCAGAGCTGTGCGAAGTTAAAAACTAATTATACAGGCAGCCATATGCTTATAGTTAGATGTTTAAATTTGGTAGCATGCACAGCGTTTTATTTCTTCATCAGGGGATAATAATCAGGTGAGTGTTGTGTCCTTTGACCCCTTGTTATACGTCATCATTGTCAGCTCAATATGAATATCTTTAATTCCAGTCGAGCTATTAGTACAAGCGGTATTATGCACAATTACATGAACGGAAATAGGGAGACACCATCCTCTACCCAAAACTCGCCTCCACCACGACCCTCACCACCGCAGTCTTCCCAGACTCAGCACCAACATCAGCAACATCAGCAACAGCACCAACAGCAAAGGCATAATGGGTAAGAGTTGTCATGTCGAGTTAGGAATTGTTATTCTAACAATTCTGGAAAATTGTATCAAACCACTCTCAGTAAAACACGGATTAGCATTAATTTTCATTATAATATTTGATATCAAAAAATAATATGCAAAGTTCATTACTTGATATGAATGTCGTTTACTGATTTTTATTTGGAAATTAAAATAAGTACACGATACTTATTTGAATTTGCAAATAAAAGTCAGTAAACGACATGAAAATGTAACGTACAAAGTTTTTTATTCTAATGATAGAGTATTAAAAGAGGAATTTTCTTACAGATTTCTTACAGATTTATTCTCTCCTAAATACTGCGGAAAAAATGTTATAAAAATACCTCTATACAATCATCATTCTTTAGACACATGTGGATAATATATTGAATTCGCTGAGAATCTGATATTTTAAATGTTTTTGCAGACCTACGCCACAGAATCACCCAGCCCAGTTTTCTATTGGTGGAGCCTCGGCCAGGGGAATTTCCACCGATGAAGAAGACACCATGAAAAACCTAAGAAAAACGTTTGCAGGAATATTTGGAGACATGTAGTTCAAAACTAGCAGTAGTCGTTTTAAAATAAGCAAAACCTGTAACATCCACATTGAATAGCAATGTTTTTACGAGTATACAAATGCGCAGTAAAGAGCAGTGCCACAGTAGCGTGATGTTTTGTAGTACTGTTGATGTGGGTGTCTGACACCTCTAACGCTCTCAATCAGTGACTTATTTACAGGAATTTCTTGACTTTATACGCCTTTTACTGTGAAAAATAGTCCCTTTTAAGTTTTAATGCGATATTTAGTCATTTTAGTCTTAAAAAACTTTGTCTTTACCGTTAGACCAGCTTAAAAACAGAGTTCTTAAAACTTGCCGGCAAGAAGACAAAAAACAATTTCTTACAGTATGTTATTTCTGCAAACAATATCTGTTGTGGAAGAGTCGTATTTTCCTTCCTAGCATAATGAGAATAATACCACAGTCTAAAGTAGTGTAGAATTTTAGCTGAAAGACTTTTCTAGCATGAATGACTTTTTCCCCTTCATTTTGTTGAGTTGTAGACTGAGTGTTTTTCAACTTTTTAAATTTCTTACAGAAAGGAAAAATCATTTTAATTTTAGGCAACTATTTTTATTTCGAGAAATTGAAAAAGAAAAATTTCGGAAATACAATACTGATTTTTAGTGAAATAAGTCTCCGTTTTGTAGCCTGACTGATTGACATCCCCCGCGATGACATAAAATACTATTGACTGGTGGAAAATCTTCATGTTCGTGAATGGAATTGTACAGCAAATCGTATCTTTTTCAAATATTGTATAATGACATTATAAAACCTGAATAGAGATAACATTTAAGTGTTCATTATTATCAGTGATGAAAACTAATGCTATCACATTTAGTAACCGGTCACTCGGAGTCGCTTACTTTTCTGATCGAGTACTTGGTTACTCGGTTGGTTTCCGTTACATCTTTTGACATCTGCAGTAATTTTTTTATTGTAACTGTGATATACGTGCATGTAATGTTTTCACACTTTCTATATGTATACCGGTATGAATACACAGTAACATCGTCGCAAACCACGGCCAAAATGTAGGATCTTCTCCGAGGGAGGGGGGAGTGGACTCCGGACCGGAAACGATGACACTATATATAAACTTTATTTCCAAAAAAAAATCTTTCTTCTACATAAATTTGCTCTCAATTAATACTCAAACAAGGGCAGTTTTTTGTTCAAAAGATATCCCGTATTTTACACTTTAAGGCTTTAAGATTTTTTTTTTTTAAATATTTCTATGCTTTTGATATGTAGGTCTTTTGCTTAATTATGAACTGTATATAAGACTTGTTTAAAAGTAAGATATTTACTCTATAAAATGTCTTATCAGTAACCGATCAGCAGTTTTACTAACCGATATCCGCATAGTCCGCCGGTTGACCGGGTACTCGGTTACAACACTAATAAAAACCTTTTACATATACATTCTGCTTATATATGCTCAAAGCAGCCAGTTGCTTAAGTTGATTAAAAATCTTAATATTTTAGTTCTTTCATTTCATTGTTACTCATTTCAAATGCACATAACTTTGTATATGTAATTATAATTTGTGGGACCAACTTCAAAATAATGTTTGTTTGCCTTCTCCCGACTATCGTGGAAAAATTTGGGTCAGTAGGTAGGCGCAAATATTTTTTCACAGAAAATGTTCAACATCAATGCTGAATTTTCAAAATCTATTTTCCGGAATGCATAAAAATTGTTTTCTGGAGGTTAAAAATGATTTGAGTCAGTCCATTTTTAACCGATCGGTTGGGAGAGGACAACCAAACATTTTTTTTCTCCAAAAGATGGCCTGGTTGTAACGCCTTTTCTAAGTACCAAATTCTCTAAAATATCTTACGTTGTTTGAACTATTGCTTGTAGTTCTGTCCGCCGTCTTCATTTCTCACACATTAATAAACTTTCAAACTGGCGATAAATAAACTCACATTTAGACCACTTGGGCCAACTCCAACCAAACTTGTCAGATATGAATGACATTGATATAACTTTTTTCGATATGTAGTGAAAACTCGAACCCTGGTCCCAGGTGTCGTGATGGGATGATAGAAGGGGTCAAAAGTCTTCTATGGAACTATGTATGAAAAATCAAATAAAAATCTTTACAAGTACTACAAGGATATATACTAGCATACAAAATCATTCAGTTTTAACAATGACCTTGGATAGGGAAGAACCGATGAGAGTGTCCTTAACTTTCCACTGAAAATATTCATTGGCTTGTTAGGGACTGAAACGCCACATTTTGTCAAATACTCATGCAATTGTAGAATTAAGATTGTCCAAACAGGACTCAGGAAGAGGAACATAACATTGTAAAGGAAAGAAATATTTAAAAGTCTTTTCCCCCAAGATTTACTGGGTTACATATTGCTAGGTGCATATGTTTACATGGAGCAATGCACAGGTTTACATGGAACTTGAAGAAAATATTTATAAACTTTTCTGAAAACTTGCAAGCTGTCGACATATTAGCATTCTCCTGTAAATTTATTCAAATTTATGTTTCTCCAAGGAAGGAAATGGGGCTACGGGAAGTAATCGGGCTAAAAATGAAAAATGGTTCAAAATTTCAATATACTCAGTAGGTCTTTCCGACAACTATGAGCAATCCAGTAGTAAATTTCATTCGAATACACCCATATCATTTAAGGTGTTTAAAACAAAACAAAACAAAAAAATCTGACTCCGAAATTTTTGACAAGTAAAAAAAGTCAAAAAGTAAAAAAATGCATGACTTTCCATATTATTTTACATGGGGTCCGTGTATGATAAGTCCTTTGTACTGAAGATTCATATATGACATATTATTTCCTTTTGTATAGGTAATGGCTCTTAAGTTTACAAAATAGATAAGATTTGGCCCATTAGAACTTGTGTTGTTCCACTCAGGTGACCGTTAAGGCCAATGAGCCTTTTGTCTCTTGAGGAGGAAAATAGAGGGTGATTCTGTTTAATCTGCGGTTAGTTATCGCTGTTCATTACTTAAAATTTTTCTGTGAAATATTTAAACAAAATTGTAATTTTCTGCTGAGTTTATGCATCACCCACTGTATGTGTTCAAATAATGCTAGGTATATATAGACAGTAGGGTAGTGTGGAATTCTTGTGTTCTAGAGGAGTAGCTGTAAGCAATACAATTGTGTAAACTTAAATATTGTGTTGTTGTATATATTTAGACCAGTCATTAAGGTTCATCAACCCTCTGTTCAATCATATAAAATGTTGCTTTAAAGCTTATGATTTTACAAAAGAAATATTTTTAGCCAACTTCGACAAAGTCGAGATGAACTTATGCTATATCGGCGGCGTTGGCGTCAGCGTCCCGGATAAAGTTTTAGGAGCAAGTCCACTTCCAGATCAGCTTCGGATGCTGAATTTGACCTACATTTCTAGATGAGTGACCCAATGTTTTAGTAGTTCTGTTATTATATGACCTGTTATGATCAAACTTGCATGGACGAAGCATCTATAAGAATTGATACTTCCAGACTTGCTTCGGATGTTGGAATTGACAGACATTTTCTTTAGTTAGTGAACAGGTTCAAGTTTTTGGAGCAGGTCCATATCCGAGTAACTATAAGTCCTACTTAAGCCAAACTTGCATGAATATTGATATCGGGATGCAAACTAACTAGAAAAAGATATGATGTGAGATTTGCCTTACTTATAGATAACATTCGTCGAGGTGGGCTATATGATTTACTAGGATAAGTTGAATGCAAACAATTTTAGCCTAGTTTGCAAAGTTTGTCAAAAATGATATTTCATCTTGACAAGATTTTAATGGAATAATAGACATTCTATCCCATAAAGACTTATCTCCCTTATCAGAGTATCAATGAACCTTAAGCACTGCGATCCATAAGATGCTGTGATATACTAGTGATCATTTATATTCGGGACAGTGTGTCAAACAAAGGTATAGAAAGGTTAAAAAAAATCAGCAGTCTGTCATCTGTCTTTTTGTGAAATTTTTCTTTAAAAAAAATTCTTAACCAGAAAAACAACAGGTTATATTTGGATGAAAGAGATTTATTCTTCCATTCAGGGTCACGCCTCTTTTAAAGTACACTGTTTTTATTAACAATAAAAATCTTCTCGAGATGAACTGCTTCATGAAGGAAAAAAATGATGAAATTCCCAATAAATATTCATATTTCAACCAGAACCAGTAGATTTTCACAGCATCACTAAAAAGATGGGCGAACAAGGCGTGCAGCACGCCTAAAGCTATAGATACGAGTATATGAATTAATATTCAGTTTATGAATTTAGTATTAAGAGTAAAATTTTTATCATTAAAACATGAAATTATAACAAACAAAACTTTAATGCAGAAATTTTTATCGGCAAAAATTATTCTATTCTTAAAAAATAATGTGGGATTCTTGTGTCTTGAATCCTAGCAATAAAATCTTGAATATCATTTTCCTTTGAGACTATGCTAACCACTACGCTATACAAATCCTGAAAAATCATGTTTTTAATCGTAAAGTATTTTTCGGAAATATATGAGTGCTGTGTCATAAACGTATTTTTAAGATATAGTGGGTTTTTGCTCCAGTTTTCGTCAACAAAAATGTGTATTTTTTACGCATACTTTTAGGATAAACTTTCAGAAAAAAATGGAGCAAATACCCACTCATATAAAAAAAAATGTTAAAATATGAGAAAATGATCCTTTTTGCACTCTTTGGTGTGTATGCTATTTCATAGACAATTAATTTCAATCTTTAGGAGATTTTTGGAAATTGTAGAGATTTTACATCAATTTGTGTTATTATTATTATTATTAATTTTTTTTGGTATACTTCTGTCCAAAATACAGGTACAGGTGTAGCTGCGTACTCAAGTGTGTACACATCAATTCCCCCCCCCCCTCCCTTTTCTGATGAATTTGAGAGAGAGATAGTTATTTGGAGAATAATCTACCATCCAGCAAACATTTGTGTTTCAATTACCACGGTAATACGTCGAATTCAAATTATTTTGTATTATATTAGAAAACTCTTAGAAAATTTGAAATCACAAAATTTTATCTAAATCAATAATAATTATATCAAAACGTACAATTTTTTAACACTTTATAAACCATTCTCCACCATAAATTTAAGTCCCGACCTTTTGAGATCATAGACATCTTTATCTGAAAATGGAACTCATTAATTCTCTTACCTTGTCATTGGTCATTTGAAAAATTATTTTGTTAAAAACATTATGATTGTACACACAAGTACTTCGAAGTTGATATTCAAAAGATGCTTGAGTTTCAGATAGACAACATCTTTGTAGTTTTTGGAGATCAAATCTTACAACAATCTGTCAAAATTCTCATTGGTACAAATTGCACCACAATCTTAGGCTGGCCTATTTTTTGCATTCATATGAAGCAAAATTTATTCAAAAACTTCTAAAGAAGATGGGTGAACAAGGCGAGCGAAGTGCCTATAGTGCGAAAAACGTGAAGGTGAAAAATTAAATCTCAATTATAACAAAATTTCTTTGATATTTCATCTAACATTAAAGTATACTTAAAGTAAAATCTCCAAAATTTGCAAAGATCTCACAAAGATTGAAATTATTTGCCTATGAAATAGCATATACACACTAAAGAGGGCAAAAACGATCATTTTCTCATACTATAACAATTTTTTTTAATATGAGTGGGTCTTCACTCCACTTTTTTGAAAGTTTATCTTCAAAGTTTGCGTAAAAATATAATCTTTTTGGTTAACAAAAAGATGGAGCAAAGATCCACCATACTTTAAATATATACTTTTATGACACAGCATTCGTATATTTCCGAGAAATCGTTGAAGTCCGTTTAGTCAAGGGTCATACCGGTATCACAAATGATTTAAATGCCACTCTTTATCAGGAGCTATGTAGCTTAATGGTTAACACGTTAGACTTCAATGAAAATGATACTCAGGATTTTTATTGCTCGAGTTCGAACCCCAGGTGGACATGGTATATCCCAGAAAACTTGAAATAAAAGATACCACAGAGTCTTACACATCTGTCTCATATTTGGATATTTTACTAGAAAAAGATGTTAATGGTAACTTAACAACAAAACTTTATCATAAACGTGATGTCAAGTTTCGTCAACTTCCAATATATGTAGCAATGTATCATTATCACCTACACATGGAGTTTATGTCTCCTAGTTCATTCAATACGCGAGAGCATGCTCTGTTACGAACTGTTTTTGAAACGGGAAAAGCTACTGACAAATAAGTTGATGAAACAAGGATATCAACAGTCTCGTTTAAAGTCAAAATTTCGCAAATTCTATGGTCGATACAATGACCTTGTCAACAAATACAATCTATCATTAAGTCGAATTTTAGCTGACCTTTTTATACTAGTTGTTAGGCCATTATTTACACACTGAATTGTGTACATTTTTTTAATTACCCAATCATGACAAGGAGCACACATCGGGTGTGACTGGTCGACAGGGGATCCTACATGACACCTGATCCCACCTCTGATATTTTGTTTGTTCTGCTCCCGATTTGTATATTTCAATGGAGTTTTGAGCATTATTATTGTTCGTTATCTTCATATTTCATTCTTCCGATTTAAATTAAATACAATCAACATCTTAATTAGAAATGGTAGTAAAAAGTCCGGACAATGCCGTGTGCGGAGTTAAATGTCGCACTGTTCAAAGAAGATGGGCGTATTTGGCGTGTGATCTGCAGGAATCATGTGTACGAAACATTAATAGTTTAATGTCCACGATTTGGTCGGTTGACCACAGCTGGACAAGCTTTACAACGTTACGCACATAGGGGAATGTTACATTTAGTTTGAAATAACCTGTCAAATTGTAATACCGGTATTTTATAGGTCCGCTTATCTTAATAATCAAATTATAACAAAGTAATGCTTCACATTAATGATAAACACCTACAAGACAATAAGGGTTTGGTTAAATGCAATTACAAGCACATATGTATATTAAAGTATTACTAGGTTGGAAGAAATGCTTTCGCTCTCGATGCAAAAGAACCAGAATTTACCCATTTTAAAATAATTAAATCAGTACAAAAAATTAAACTGATAAAAGAATTGATTGTTTGCACAAAAAACAAACTAATTCAGAGAATTTGTGTCCCCCGCTTAGGGGAAAAAGAAGAGCATGCGCAGTTCGGGGGGAGGGAGGGTCGGACCCCCCCCCCCCCTTGATTTGTAGAATTATTAAATGTATACATGTATATTGAAGCAAATAAAAAAAATGCCAATATGGATATTGTTGACACCATGTATTGTGTAAAATTTTGACAATATCGAACGTGAATATAAATATATGTGACCTAATGTTTGCATCTAATTCGCTGTATATTCATGTGCTTCCGCGGTCTAGGGGTATGACTCTCGATTAGCATGTGAGAGGCACCGGTTTCAAATCCCGGTCGATCTTCTTTTTCTTTTTTTTGAATTTTTTTTTTTGGATTTACTATATAAATGATAGTATTCAGCATGTGAAATGAAAAAGTTATGACGTCTGGCTTGTACAAATTCATAAAATCATTATTACAGTGTGATAAATATTCTATACAAAAAGAATCTTCTATACACATATTAAAGAATAAGCAATCAAATCTTTATATCCATACTGGCATTTTTTATTTGCTTCAATATACATGTATACATTTAATAATTCTACAAATCAAAAGGGGGGGGGGGGGGGGAGTCCGACCCCCCCCCCCCATCCCCCGAACTGCGCATGCTTTTCTTTTTTCCCTAGGCGGGGGGCACAAATTCTCTGAATTAGCTTGTTGCATAAGATGTCAAACAAAATAAAATGAATGGGCAAGAATTATGATAATCTTTTACCTGTTTTGAAAATGATGTGTAGGCTTCAGCCTTTTTGCCAATATGGAATATACGCCACTGGTTAACTTTGAAGTGACCTTGAGACCAAGTCGTTTGTCCAAGGGAAATGCCTTAAACAATTTAATCTAGAACATATCCTAATCCTATGCACAAGTTCCGTAGTAATCTGCCCGGTAATTCTTTGGAAGTACATTAATCAAACATTCTCTAATTATCTCCCCTTGTTCAAAAGTTATCTCCCTATTTTTAGTATAAATGAAAGCCCTTCAGCCAAGGAAACTCAATAAATTTGACATAAAATAGTCTAGAGGTTCTGGTCTACATTCTAAAAAGTTGATACACAAATGGCAATAGCATTTGAGCCTTTGATTCAGAAGAGCTAAAAATAGAATATTCTGTGAAATAAATTCGTTCAAAGTGCTACTCCTCCAACAATTTCAATAAGACAAGTACAATATAATCAGATACATAATTCTGTACATAGGTCAATCCCTTTTTTGAAATGAAACCGTTTGAGTGTATTTAAGGTAGTACACAATAGATAAGCCAAAATTCTCCTCAAATTCATTTTTTTAAACTTTGAAATTTTGTTATACATGTAGGATACAAAATCTCTCTTTATATTTAATTTGAAAGAAACTCAACCGAAAATTTTTCCCACATAGTGTGGAATATGGCCTATCAGCCCCCTGTAAGAAGATTGTGAAATCAGACATTGCACTTTAGAAAATGCATTTTTTTTTTAAAATTACCGATCGATCTATTGCTTTGTATGATGCATTTTATAAATACCTTTCTGTTACTAAACTATATTGATATACTGGTATATTTTAGTAAAATGTGATGAAAAAATTGAACATACATAGCCCAGGAATTGAATATTCACATGTAAGCATGCTAGACTTTAAGTTCTCTTAAGAGAAAATGTATGATTCAATTTTTACAAAAAATCATCAGAATGATTAAAGTGGAGCCCATATTAAAATGTGTCGAAATGAGGAACATTGAACCGACAGTTTCGGATATTTTGGTGACTTAAAAAAATTTACGAAGAATTAAAAGAATCAGTAGGTAACGTCACAATATTTGACCTTTGACCTCTAAGAATGACCTTGACCTTTTTTGTGTATAAAGAATGGAGACTCCTTATAAATATGTCCAAATATCAGGTCTCTACTAAAAATGGATCAAGAGTTACTTTTGCATTTAAAAACAGACTGTCATGTCGCATGAGATTAAACACATTCTAAAATGTAGGGTTTCAAATAACCGATATATAGGATCCTCTAATTTTTTTATTTATTTATTTATTTTTTTTTTTTTTTACAAAATACGGCGTAAAACATGGCGCAACATATGGTATATAGTTTCTGCCCTGTCCGTCCGTCTGTCTGTCTGCAAAAACTTTAACAAGTTACTTTTGATTGGTTGGAGCTTTGGCTTTCATATTTCACTTTGTATTCCTTGTGACAAGACCTTTGTTTGGGTACCATCATATTTGACCTTGGAGTTTGACCCAATTTTGCAAAATTTTAACGAACTTTAACCTTGGCCATAACTTTTGAACAGTTGGTGCAAGGGCTTTCATACTTCACATAAATAATCCTTGTGACAAGACCTTTCTTTGGATGCCAACATTTTTTACCCTTTGATCTTGACCTACGATTTTAGCCTACTTATGAAAAACTTTAACCTTGGCCATAACTTTTGAACGGTTGGTGCAAGGGCTTTCATATTTAAATGTCAATTCCTTGTGACAAGACCTTCCTTTAAATACCAATTGACCTTGGAGTTTGACTTACTTTTGAAAAACATAAACCTTGACCATAACTTTTGAACGATTGGTACTACGGCTTTCATATTTCACGTGCATTTCTTGCGAGAAGGCCTTTCCTTGGGCACCATTAATTTTGACCATTTGACCTCGATGTTTGACTCACTTTTGAAAAACTTAAACCTTTTCCATATCTATTCAATGGTTGCTGCTAGGGCTTTCATATTTCACAGACAAGATCTTACTTTGTGTACCAACATATTTGATTTACATTTGAGAAAGCTTAACCTCTGCTATAAGTTGCCATACAGGGGCATCAGTGTTTCACAAACGCATCTTGTCTTAGAACTACTGTTATAAGAAATGAGTTGAAACAAATTTCATGGGTGTTTTGTACTACCTTAATCCAAAACTATTGTAGAGTGGTAAAATTAACTTTTTTAAAATCATGTCCCCATGTTGAAATAGCATTTCCTCCAACCTATACTTCCATGAATTATTTATAATGTTTACTAAATATACTAGTTTTTATGCCCCAAAAGATTGGATATAAAGGGTATCATATTTTTCTTGTCTGTGCCTCTGTTTGTGAAAATTTAAACTTTTGAACTGTATAGATCAACTCCTGAAGTCTTATACATGTATATTATAAATATTTGACAATATTTAACAATTAACCCCTTTCAAGAGTAATGTTATGAAACAAATGACATTTTTACTTTATTTAATAACAAATCCAATGAAACTGATGTTACAATCTTCTCAAAATGCATCATCATGCCTCTAAAAATGTTACAGCTTACATCAATATAATACTCTATACTTGTAGTATAAATAACAACACATTTTTGTAAAGACAAACAACAATCCACCATAAGCATTTTTTCCTCATCTCTCAAATATTTGTACTTACATAAATTCTTTACACAAGACTTCTTGCACATCTAAATTCTTACATAATACTCAGGACCCACACTGACTCTATACATACATAAAAATCATACAGGTCACTTCTATGAAAATGAGCCAACATAACTTTGTTTTTATCAATTGAAAAAATACACTGATTATTTTTTGTCGAAGTGTCAATTTAATATGCTTTCCTCAGAAGAAATAAGGGAAAACTAACCATTGGACAGACAGAAAGATAATGGGCAAATGGGGAAAAAACTTGCATATTAGAGAGTTTTAATAGCATATTAAAGTTTTAATAGCTAATGCAAGCAGGATGGGAAAAAGGATCTTAGCTGTCCCAATTTAAAATTGACCCCCCCCCCCCCCAAGGTAAAATTTTTCAAATTGACAAGCAGATTGAATTTTTCAGTGCTTTGTTTTTTCAATAATGTTAAATTGCAAGATATTGGAAAGGCATGCATTGAGGAAAAACCTACATGCTATTCATTCACACATGTATGACATTGATATTTTCTATTTTTGTCCCCTTTTTTCTAGTTTGAAATTTCCAGATGAAAATATACTGGACTTTGTATAAAAAAGGGTTATTTAAGTTCTGAAGTCATCTAACATTTGCAATTTTAATAAATGAGGACTTAGTTTTTGTGCTTCTGTCCTGGAAGATTCTATTGAGTTTTCTTATGGAAATAGTCATTATCAGTATTGATATATGTACCTATTGTACTCTAAATTCTTAACAACTATAATGTTACATTTCATCAACCTCTCCTATTCCTCACATTTATTGAAAAAAGTAATCAATGCAAAAAAAACTGATAAATACATTATCTGATGACACTCCTTAACAACTATTCATGACATGATGTAAATTCAGTTTAATGTGATGGTGATATGTTAGGCTGGTCTATAATTCTTCTCGTAACTTTGCTGCTTCTGGTGCATATTTTGGCATAAGTTCTTCTACTTTTTTGATGAAGTCTGTTTTTTCAGCACATCCTTTACAAGCATTATCCTCTCCCCAGTCAGACAAGATTTTCTTCAGGTCCTTCACTTTTAGTTTCTTCAAGACCACTTTTGTTAAATCTATTTGTTTGTCTAAAATGTAGAATATTAATTGAGCAGTTAATTCATATGAAATTAAAGTTCTATAAATCTTCAGTTCCAGCAACTTCTGTTTTCACTCAAAATTAATCGACTTTCTCCATGAAAAAGTTCATGCAAGACAACAGAACAAGATTACTGAAAAAAAATATTTTACTCAACTGATACATGTATCACACAATGTAATACAATCCTCTTCTAAACCAATTTAACAAGAGGTCCATGTTCCACAAAACTTACCTGAGTTACTTAAGCCCTGCTGTTCCTCAGAATATTTTAAGATTTTTATATAGCCTTGAAAAATTATGACCCCATTTGATGGCCCTACCCTAATTCTAATGGGTCTCTGAATCAACACACCATGAGAATGCTTCAATATCAATATGACTGACATGGCCATGCACTTATGGAGAAAAAATTCTTTTCCTGTATACATGCAGTAAGCAAAACTTGATTCTGATTTTAGCCACTCTAACCTGGGGTCCATAATAAACAAGAGGCCCATGGGCCACAATGTTCACCTGAGTAACTTTGGCCCTGCTGTTCTTCATCTGATTTCCCCCCTTGTAATACCTATTGTGGTCCTGCCCTACCCCCCAGGGGTCATGATTTGTACAATTTAGAATCTACACTACCCAAGGATGCTTCCACATAAGTTTCAGCTTTCTGGCCCTGTGGTTCTTGAGAAGAAGATTTTTAAAGATATTTTCTACATATTTCAATGTAAAACTTGGGATTCCTTATTGTGGCCCCACCCAACCCCCAGGGGTCATGATTTGAACAATACAGAATCTAATATGGTCCCTTCCTAACCCTGGGGGCCATGATTTGACAAATTTACAATCTAAACTTCCTCAGGAAGCTTCCACATGAGTTTCACCTTTTCTGGCCCAGTATTTCTAGAGAAGATTTATAAAAAAATTTCTTATGTGTTGCAATGTTAAACTTTCATCCCCTAGTGTGGTCCAACCTTGCCCCTGGGGTTATGATTTGAACAATTTAGAATTTACACTATCCAAGGAAGCTACCAAATAAGTTTCAGTTTTTCTGGCCTAGTGGTTCTTAAGATTTTTTAATGACTCCACCTTGCCTCTATTAGGTTACCTTTGTTCGGTCAATGCAAGCGGTAGTTGTAGAAAAATATATCCCCCACGAAAACAAATATAGTCCCATAATCAATAAACCACAAGGTATCATTGCCACCATCTTAAAGGGCAAGAGCCACTTAGGGCCCTTTTTGGCCCTGAGAATTTCGAAAAAATTGAAATTGCTCAGTTTTGGTTTAAAATGCAGTATTTTTATAACTTGGATCCTAGATGACTGTGTATCTGTTGAAAATTTTCTCTCTAGTCAATGCATTATGACGTCATAAAATGTGTCATTTTTCCCATATCCTGTAAATTCCCTTAAAAATGGCCAAAAATTGAGGTATTTTTTCAATATTTCATATAGAGCACAACCTCTGATCCAAAATATGCAATTACATAATGAAAGATCTGTTTCTGAAGATCACAAAACATGTTTTAGTTTTTGGATCGTGAGCTGTGCTCATATTTTAATTCTTTGCTGAAGGTAGTCAAATATGCATGTTTTCTGCAAAATTCAAGAACACTGCATTTTCCAATACCTGGATTCTCAAAAAGAAATTTTATTACTGTATAAGAAATGAAAGCACTAAGTATCTACTTTATTTTGATATATGAAATGGGACAGCGGATGATAGTCAATTAATTGATATAAGGACAGGGCCATTTTATGCATAAAGTGAACCTAGCTCTTTTTCTAGGACAGCCACATTAACTTTGCCTGTTATTTAGTGATAAGACAAGAGACCCATGGGCCTTGATGGTTACCTGAGTATCATGAGTTTCTCTTGATATGACCAACCCTGCCTCACCTGGATCTGGAACTTTGAATACATTTGACATGATTTTTACACACAGGTGAGGACTTTACATTTTCTTTCATGCGAAGTTTGTTCCTAGATGATTAATAGAGTAACAAGAGGCCCATGGGCCACATCGCTCACCTGAGCACACTGGCTAGGAAAAAAAGCAAAAATCAGTTCAGTATTGAAAAGTTAACGGGGGAGAGAGGGGGGGGGGGGGGGGGATGGGGGATTTTAAACTACCAATGCTTTCATATCAATATAACAAATAACTTTGCTGTTCTTGAGCAGAAGATTTTTCCCATATATTCATTTGTAAAAATTTGCTCCCCCATTGTGGCCCCACCCTACCCCTGGGGGTGCTCATTTGAACAATCATTTGAACGATGCTTCCACAAGTTTTTTTCAATATACTCTTATGAAAAACTTTGACCCCCCCATTGTGGCCCCACCCTACCCCCAGGGGTCATGATTTGAACAAACTTGAATCTACACTACCTGAGGATGCTTTCATATAAATATGACCAATCATGGCTTTGCTGTTCTTAAGAAGAAGATTTTTAAAGATATTTTCCTATATATTTCTATGTAAAACTTTGATCCCCCATTGTGGCCCCACCCTACCCCTGGGGGTCATGATTTGAACAAACTTGAATCTACACTACCTGAGGATGCTTCCATATAAATATGACCAATCATGGCTTTGCTGTTCTTAAGAAGAAGATTTTTAAAGATATTTTCCTATATATTTCTATGTAAAAATTTGATCCCCCATTGTGGCCTCACCCTACCCCTGGGGGTCATGATTTGAACAAACTTGAATCTACACTACCTGAGGATGCTTTCATATAAATATGACCAATCATGGCTTTGCTGTTCTTAAGAAGAAGATTTTTAAAGATATTTTCCTATATATTTCTATGTAAAACTTTGATCCCCCATTGTGGCCCCACCTTACCCCCGGGGGTCATGATTTGAACAATCTTGAATCGACACTACCTGAGGATGCTTTCATATAAATATGACCAATCATGGCTTTGCTGTTCTTAAGAAGAAGATTTTTAAAGATATTTTCCTATATATTTCTATGTAAAACTTTGATCCCCCATTGTGGCCCCACCCTACCCCCGGGGGTCATGAATTGAACAAACTTGAATATACACTACCTGAGGATGTTTCTACATAAGTTTTATCTTTCCTGGCCCAGTGGTTCTTGAGAAGAAGATTTTTAAATGATGTCATTATTTTTTCACTAATTCCTAATTATCTCCCCTTGATAGAGGGCGTGGCCCTTCATTTGAACAAACTTGAATACCCTTCACCCAAGGATACTTTGTGGCAAGTTTGGTTGAATTTGGCCCAGTGGTTCTTGAGAAGAAGATGAAAATGTGAAAAGTTTACAACAACAATGCCAACGCCTACGCCAACGACAACGCCGACAACGACGACAGACAACGGACAAATTTTGATCAGAAAAGCTCACTTGAGCCTTTGGCTCAGGTGAGCTAAAAAAGATTTTAAAAGTTTGTATTAAAAATTTTGCATGAATACAGTGAGTACATAACTAAGAAAAAATGTGAAATTCATGGCCTTTGATTGAGGGTTCAGAGGGCAGGGTTGAGGGTTAAGGTCCAAGAAATATGATAAGTTTGTCATATAATGAAATTACATCTCTGAAAATTATTCTTTACTTCTGGGAATTTAGCAGGAAAACCTTAAACATAAATTTATTTATGTCTGTAATATTTAATCTAAAGCAAGCTTTTTTAAAGCCCTTTTCTTCAGCACCATGTCTTTTTCCCCCAGCTCCATACCCTTTTTCTAAATACATATGCCCAATAGTGGCAAGACTGACTAGCTACTCTGTTTATTCAGTGTATGCTTATTAGCCCCTTTATTTATTTAATGCACGCAAAGGTGTGTGCCACTCCTTCAACAGTTTTGTTCTGATTTAGAAAAATAATTGTCTTTCAAGAAGACTTCATTATTTCAATGATTTCATTGCACCTTGTTACCAGGTTTACAAAGAAAAAAATCAGATGTGTAACAGAGGATACATGGATGCTGGAATCCATTCCATCAGAAAAGCTCACTTGAGCCTATAATTTGCTCAGGTGAACTAAAAACTATTGCTTACAGCAGTAGAATCAAATGAAAAACACTAAACCATAAGTACTTGCCATATTTGAGGTCACAAATTTGGTTGTCTGCATCTCTTAATTTTTCACAAATTTTCGTTGCAGGCATGAAAGATTTCATTGGCTTTGACATGGTACCAAGAATGTAAGTTGCAGATGTTTTCAATCCACCGATATAATAGCACTACAAGTTAAAAGAGTAATCATTGAGACTTGTTACTGTTAAAAAGAGTAATTATTTTGACTTGTTACTGTTAAAATGTTGAATTTGTAGTATTTATTTTAAACATTAGAGCTGTCATGAGTACCCGAAATAACCGAGAACTGCGGTCCAAGTTGTTCGGTTCGGTTCCGGTTCCATTTTTCCGGATTTTGGTTTGGGTCTGGTTTATATATTAGAGTCTGTTCAATACAAAAAATGGCGTCGAAATCAAAGGGATGATGACGATAACAGTGATAAATAAACATCACAACTGAAATCTACTTCATTCCATGACAAAACACTTGTCACGGAAGTATTAGATAATTATCAAAACGAGCAGGAATGGTCAGTTTGTGGATAATAGCAGGCCAAGTCACCGATGTCTAGACGTTCGCATGGTTAAGACTAGTTTTCAATGTAAATTTAATGTAACAAATAAAGATTTTTCAAGTTAAATTCGTGAAATTAAGGTTTAAAATAGATGTAAATACCCGACCCGAAAAACCCGAAAATTTACAGAACCAACCCGACCCGAAAAATTTTGGAACCGTGACAGCCCTATTAAACATCTTTCTCCAGTTTATCAAGCATCATCTTTCAGTAAACAGACACTCACAAATCTTTCTTCTTTTGATTTAAGATGTTTGCAAAAATCCATGAACAGCTTTTCAACTTTAGTCGAATCTTTTCTGTCTTCATCACTTAAAGTCTTTTCAAATTTTTCTATCACTGTTACACAAACTGCAACACAAGAGCAACAATATTTATTTCAATAAGCAGGTCCAGTTCAAAGACTATATCTACCTACGTAGCTATTAATAGCTACCTAGGTATTTAAACCTACCCAATATAGCTATTTTTACCTACTTTTTGCATTTTGTGGCTAAATGGCCGAACGGCACAACATGGTGAGTACCACATTTCTTGATACAGTCACACTGATAATGAATACGACAAAATTTTGGCCAAAAAATGATTACTTCATAAATAAACAATTTCGCATAGTAATTAATGCAAAATTGTTAATTTACAAAGTAATCATTCTTTGGCCAAAATTTTGTGTGTTACAGCTTGGACTAGCGTGTTTACGGGTAACCCGAATTACCGAAATGCCCTGATTTACCGAAATGCCCCTGGAAATTACCGAAATGCCCTTTGAAACTACCAAAATGCCCCTTTAATTATATCGAAATAGGCATTTTATGATAATTTATGATAAATTTTATTAATAAAACTTTGTATTTTGAACACAAATGTAAAAAAAATTGTATTTAATTCGCTCAATTATCGTGACATCTAAGAACGATAACTCTTGCAACATTGTCTCAGCGGGAAACGTGTTATTGTCCGCTGTTGTAATTTTTATTATTTTATGATTTAATGATCCCTCTTCTTTTTTCCTTTTTTTTTAAAAAATTTTGACGACAAAATTTTATACCGTATGTCTTGTTAAATAATTTTTCAAAAAGGAAGAGGAAGAAGAAAACATGACTGAAGTACAAGTAAGTAAACCTGTTTAAAACTCTTTTTTTAAACCTTATATGTCATTAAATTATATGAGGTGTAAATAATATTTACACCTCATATAATTTAATGACATATAAGGTTTAAAAAAAGAGTTTTAAACAGGTTGGAGAGAATATTCGAAATCAGGTATTATCCGTGAAGTCGCGTATAGTCCCCGATGTCTGGGTATCGTTGAATCCGCGAAATCGGGTATCCCGTGCAGCTTTCTGTAAAAGCAAAAAAAAAAAAAATTAAGCAACGGCGCATTATGCCAGTTAGTGTTACATGTACATCAGTATCTTGGGGATTTATTTTTATTGAATCCAATTTATATGGTTGTCTGACAAGTTTAAAATCACACGACAAACACTGCTGGGTAAACACAGAAGACACGGTGGCATCATTATTTTTCAATTCAATTTCTAAAAACAAATAACTACATGTCGTTTGTGTTTATTTCCCAATAAATTATTCCTCAAGCTTAGTTTCCTAATTCGCGCATTATTCACAAAATGTAAAACTTTGAAGAAATTTAACGACTAACGCTGTTTTATGTATTGATATATAGGTAAATTAAAGATTATCAGTTCTTCCTATGATGTATGTATGCAGCGCAGACCTGCAATTCCCGGGGGAAAAGAGGAGGAGTAATTTTAGTAATGTTAAATTAGCATGGAAATTTTCATTCAAAGACACCGCTTATGTTTTGCTTGCATTTTGATCGATGCAAACGACTTTTTTTTAACGTGTTTCTGTCAAAATTGAGAGCAAGAAGTCATGTTAAAGGGATTTTCGTTTGGCTTGGGGGAGGGGGGGGGGGGGGGTCATATAAATAAAAAAATCCAATTCGGACGTCTTTTCATGTGCTAATTATACATTCCCTATATAGAGCCTATATTCAAAAACAAGAGGCCCATGGGCCAAAACGCTCACCTGAGTCAATATGGCCCTGCTGTTCTTCGTCAGCAGATTTCTTCTCCTATATTTCTCCTATATATTCATATATAAAGCTTTGATCGCCTGTTCTAGGCATATCCTACCCCAAGGTGCCATGTTTTGAATGAAATTGAATATAAACCTTCTGAGGATGCTTCTATCTTCATATAACTAATCATGATTTTGCTGTACTTTAAAACAGAATTTTAAATATGTCTAACACCCTACCCTGGGGGGGGGGGGGGGGGGGGGGTCATGATTTGAACAAACTTGAATGTCCACTACCTGAGGATGCTTCCATATCAATATGACTGATCATGGCTTTGTTGTTCTTGAGAATGAAGAAGATTTTTAAAGATATTTCCTGTATATGTTCTTTTGTAAAACTTTGATCCCCCTTTATGGCCCCAACCTACTACTGGAGGATGCCTTGAACAAGCTTGAATCTACAAAATTTGGGGATGATTCCATATCAATATGACTAATAGTGGCTTTGTTGTTCTTGAGAAGAAGATTTTTAAAGAATTTTCCTATATATTAATATGTAAAAATTTGATCCCCCATTGTAGCCCCACCCTACCCCCAGGGGTCGTGATTTGAACAAATTTGAATCTACACTACCTGAGGATGATTCCATATCAATATGACTAATTGTGGCTTTGTTGTTCTTAAGAAGAAGATTTTAAAAGAATTTTCCTATATATTCCTATGTAAAAATTTGATCCCCCATTGTAGCCCCACCCTAATCCCCGGGGGTCATGATTTGAACAAATTTGAATCTACACTACCTGAGGATGATTCCATATCAATATGACTAATTGTGGCTTTGTTGTTCTTAAGAAGAAGATTTTTAAAGAATTTTCCTATATATTCCTATGTAAAAATTTGATCCCCCATTGTAGCCCCACCCTAATCCCCCAGGGTCATGATTTGAACAAATTAGAATCTACACTACCTGAGGATGATTCCATATCAGTATGACTAATTGTGGCTTTGTTGTTCTTGAGAAGAAGGTTTTTTAAAGATTTTTCCCTATATATTCCTATGTAAAAGTTTGATCCTCCACTGTGGTCCCACCCTACCCCCAGGGGTCATGATTTGAACAAATTTGAATCTACACTACCTGAGGATGATTCCATATCAATATGACTAATTGTGGCTTTGTTGTTCTTGAGAAGAAGATTTTTAAAGAATTTTCCTATATATTCCTATGTAAAAATTTGATCCCCCATTGTAGCCCCACCCTACCCCCAGGGGTCATGATTTGAACAAATTTGAATCTACACTACCTGAGGATGATTCCATATCAATATGACTAATTGTGGCTTTGTTGTTCTTGAGAAGAAGATTTTTAAAGATTTTCCCTTTATATTCCTATGTAAAACTTTGATCCTCCACTGTGGTCCCACCCTACCCCCAGGGGTCATGATTTGAACAAATTTGAATCTACACTACCTGAGGATGATTCCATATCAATATGACTAATTGTGGCTTTGTTGTTCTTGAGAAGAAGATTTTTAAAGATTTTCCCTTTATATTCCTATGTAAAACTTTGATCCTCCACTGTGGTCCCACCCTACCCCCAGGGGTCATGATTTGAACAAATTTGAATCTACACTACCTGAGGATGATTCCATATCAATATGACTAATTGTGGCTTTGTTGTTCTTGAGAAGAAGATTTTTAAAGATTTTCCCTATATATTCCTATGTAAAATTTTGATCCCCCATTGTGGCCCCACCCTACCCCCGGGGGTCATGATTTGAACAAACTTGAATCTACACAATGTAATGAAGGTTTCACATGAGTATAAACTTTTCTGGCTCAATGGTTCTTGAGAAGAAGATATTTAAAAGATGACACCAAATTTTCACAAATCCTTAATTATCTCCCCTTGGAAGATGGCGTGGCCCTTTATTTGAACAAACTTGAACCCCCTTCACCCAAGGATGCTTTGTGGCAAGTTTGGTTGAAATTGGCCCAGTGGTTCTGGAGAAGAAGTCGAAAATGTGAAAAGTTTACAGACGGATGGACAGACGGACAGACAGACAGACAGACGGACTACAGACAAAATGTGATCAGAAAAGCTCACTTGAGCTTTCAGCTCAGGTGAGCTAATGAATTATATATTAAAGTTTTCACACATCTTATTTTGTAAATAATTACAAACAAACTGAAATGTATTTTTCAATCGTGTCTTGGCAAAATTCCTGGGCTGCCAGCAGAACTCGTACAGCATCTCGAACGTAATTCCTCATGGGATATTAAAATTTCATACAAATTGGAGCCACTTCCTTTTTTTATTATAATATTGGATAGATAGGGTAGATTTTCCCTTCTGTAGTCTATTTTATGGTATATAGCGTTATTATACTTTATTATAATATTTTACACAACGCGTTGTTTGGTTCTAGACAGTACGTCATGCGACATGGAAATAAAACTTCAAACCTCCCTGTCTTTTTTGTTTTCTTTTAATCATTATATTTAGCTTTTTTCAATACTTGTATGCATGTGGTAGAAAATAACAGGTTGCTATATTAACCTATTATTGTTTCGGTATATAAGCAACGGATAATACCCGATTTCGAGTACTCTCTCCAACCTGTTAAAAAGGGACTTCTGGGTAATCAAAAGCTGAATATAAATCAAATACAATACACTAGGTCAGCCACCGTATACAGGAAACGGCAAACTTAATTGCTGAACAGAGTCTCAAGTAAGCGAAGGAAGAAGGCGAATTATAACAAAAATCAATTTATATTTTGCCAGACACTGAAAATGACCAATAAACAGAATACACTTGTATAATGTGTCAATAGGTTTGAAATATACTCCGGTTTTCGCTGAGACTGAAATACTAATAACCGGATGTAAATTAAATTACATTAAAAAAGCATAACCATGTAGCTCTATTTTGTATAAATTAATTCTTTTTAATGTGACATATTTTTATTCTGATTCATTATTTAAATCTTTTAACGTAATTTTTAGCGTAACTCACATTAGGTTTATATAAAATGTGACACACCTGGATGGATACAGAACTACAAAAATGGCCAATATTAACGAGGATGACACGTACATGTCAATAGACATGACGCCAAATTTTTGAATGTATTAATGGTACAGATAATTATAGTTAACAGTAGTGGATGCAGCAGGGGAGACCAAACTCCTGGAGTTTTCAGAGTTATAAAATTTAATACAGCAAATAAACAAAGTTAAGATATCAATATGCTTATAGCATATTAAACTTTAAAGTTTAAAATAATTAGGCCTGTAAATCGACATCATTCAGAAAATAATTTTGTTAACATATGAAAACAAAATTATGTTGCTTTCAATTGTTAAAATATATATAAATATAAGTGTACGATTTTCCTAGGATCGGATTAAAATATTAGTAGGTTATTGTGCACGTACGTATCTCACTTTGATAAAATAGTTTTACAGTTTACAAATATAATATATATATTTTTGATTCTATGAAGTTGCTTAGCATCAGTATATAGCCTACCGATCTTCTTTCTCTGAAAATAATTGAAAACATTGACAACGAATTAAAAAGTGATATAAAAGATATTGTTGATTAAAAAAAACCCCAAAAACTATATTCCCGTAAAAAAGTAATAAATCTTCGATAGTAATATAACAATTGATACAATAATATATAATTTCGAAGAAATATTACACAAAGAAAGATCAACTACAGATAACAAGAGTTATCTTTCTTGGATAAACACAAACTATTTGAAAAAAAAACGACATTTGTAAATATATTTTTAAAATAAAAAATTAAGCTATATATACTAAACTCACTACCTTTCATATTAACCAAAGTATGGAAGTTTTGAAGGAGTATTTCGGTAGTTTCAAGGGGCATTTCGGTAATTTCTTGGGGGCATTTCGGTAAATCAGGGGCATTTCGGTAATTCGGGGTACCGCGTGTTTACCCTTCAGTCTGATCGGTAAAGCATGCCAGAGGTTCCGGGTTCAAATCCATTGGGAGGCACAACTATGTCTCTTCTACTTCTACCAGCATATGTATCAGGTCCGGCACAATCTCTTGATTAAGCTAGATAGCTTGATTTAGCTATATAGCTTTATTAAGCTATTCAGAATAGCTTGATTTAGCTATTTTATCACACTTTTTTCTCAAATGTGTTATTTTCCAAGTATGTACAAAAAGTCGCACATTGGTGCAGTGATGATATTCAACCTTGACCTCTTATGAAAATAATGCATGTAAAAATCACTCATCAAATTGCGTCTCCTTAAGAGACTTTGTACTCAAAATTCTAAAAGTTTTGGGGGCTATATAAAGCAATTGATACAGTTACCTATCCAATGAAATTATAAAGGAGGCCAATTATGGTCAACAAGATAATTGATTGGTAATAATTCAGAACAATGAGAAGCAATCATACTTATCCATGCCTCAACTCACACGAGGTAGTGTACAGTTACCCAAACAATGGAAATTCATCTTTTGCTTAAAAGTATTCAAATGCTGCAATGTTAGAACTATCTTTGATCTGGGTTGTTGATTTGATAACCCATATTACATATATGAATAGTCAAATACTTGTGACTTTTTGTCTATTTTGTACAAATAACATTTTTGTGAAAACCTGCATTTAAATAGCTTTATCAAGCTATTTTGAATAGCTTAATAAAGCTATATAGCTATTTCAAGCTATAAAGCTTAATCAAGAGATTGTGCCGGACCTGTGTATGGTAAATGAGTACATGTCTCTTTTACATGTATAAATATATAAATTTTGTACTTCTTCTACAGCTACTGAGAGTCTTACTGATACACTACCTTCACAGTTCTCCTTCGTGACAGGTTTCTTTGCAGAGCATACAACAGTCACATAAAATATACACAGCAAAACTGGAAACGATTTCAAATACATTTTAAGTAAACGCCCGATTTTCGTTGTGTGTTGGTCTGTCTCTAGTAACAAGCTGAAGTAACTGAGAGAAATTCCCTTGGAGTAGTCTGCTTGTGAAATGTTTACCGGCAAAACAAACGTGGAACAGAAATCACATGTACATTTGTCAGTTTGTGATTGGTCAGGGATGATGCAACTATCTGCAGTCATAAATGTATTTACATCGAAGATGTGTGGAACACCACTATAGTCAAGAAATTGACAAGGCAGACGTAAAAGAACATGAATTTATGATAGTAACGATAAAAAAGTTTTGTCAGAGATATTTTGAATAACCCAATACCCATGATAACAGAGATATATTTATAGGCTGAATCAATATTTTCGGGATAAATGGATAAATATGTAGTAATAATTAAGGGCCAAAAAATCGATAGGTACATTTTAAAAAATGCAAAAAGATATTGTAAAACATTTTAAACTATCAAACTTTTAATAAAATTACTGTATAAATCGGAAATTTATTTTTTATTTCTGAGGGCCACTGTTCCCATAAATAGACTTTGTGTGTAAAATCTCGCGTTATTAAATATGGCTGCCTTTGGAGTGCATTTTGGCACGACTTCAGCATGTCTTGCTGTGTACAAGGTAAAAATTAATAATTTGTATATATTATAGATATATAAAAAATATCAAATTGATGTATATGTTTAATTGAATGAGAATATAAATGTTAAAACGGAAGATACTTAATAAAACAATATTTATCACAATTAGTAACTGAGGAAATTCGGAAACAATGAAACGAGGGAATCATAATACATATTATATATGCTTCGTAGGATGGAAAAACAGATGTGGTGGCCAATGATCTTGGTGACCGGACAACACCATGTATAGTAGCTTATACAGATCTTGACCAGGTAATATTTATTTTAACATTTTATCTGATAAAATGCAGATTAGGCCTAATTCTGGGAACTTAATTGAAGGAATCAAACAGTAATGTGTATTAGATAATTGATATTACGATGATTAACTCTTTCCTTTCTCTTATAAACTTCTTAATACAGTCACACTGATGACAAATACAACAAAATTTTGGCCAAAAAATGATTACTTCATAAATCAACAATTTTGCATAGTAATCAATTCAAAATTGTTAATTTACAACGTAATCATTTTTTGGCCAAAATTTTGTTGTATTCATCATCAGTGTGACTGTATTAAGAAATTTGGTACTCACATACATGCCAACTTTTGAAAATTTCCTTGGGGGAGATTGCGCGTAACAACATTTTTCAAAGTTCTAAATTCGTGGCATTTTGTCGTGAAAATAAGTATTTGTTGTTTTTTTTTTTTTAAATATCAGTCTAATACCTTGTATCACATATTATCACTAACTTCATAGTGTTTTCTTCTCTATCAACTTCAACAAAAACACAATATTATTTAAAATTTAAAAAAGAAAATTTTAATCAAAATTATTTAATATGTTAATATAAAGATAAACATAACCCCCCTGCCATAAGCAATGTCATACACATACAGATTATTACATGGATAAGGATGTTAAACTTAATTACAAATAAGCTATTATGCAAGTTACTAAAAGAGTTCATGCAGTTACTGTTTTTGTCTATTGGTAAATTACACATTGTATAAAGCTACTAAGTCACAGACAAATAATTTGTAATTTTTTTAAATCAAAGGGAATACTAAGAAGAAGTCACTTTTAATGTTTTCATACAAAGTCTGTAAAAGGCATGGTACGTCTTCTCCTTTCAAACTTTTTGTGTACCACTCCAGGAATTCTGCTTTAAAAACCTAACGGTTTGTACTTGCAGACCATAGTACCTATGTTGCAGACGTATCTTTTCAAGTTGTATTTTGGCAGTGTCTTTTCCATGATCAATGACGTAGTTCGTAATTATAGTGAGAAATGCCGTATTTCCTAAACTTGAAAACCTTTTATTAACAGCTTATACGTATATTGTCAAATTTTGCTGTAAAGTGTGATCTCATCATAAGTTTGTATCCTGTCGTGTGTATTTCTAAATTTTCCACATCTGGCATGATTGTCTAGGTTAATATACACTGTTAATGAGAATCGGGAGCGATTAAAACCACAGTAATGACTGGTTGCACAGTTGACACCTTGTTGATTACCTGTTATCAGCGGCAATAAACAGATATCTACTGATAAACATTCGAACTGCCATCTTTTTTCACACGGAAATGCGGTATTATTCAAAGCGGATAGGTAAAAAATCCGGAATTCCTAAAAATCGGTAGAAATGGGATTAAAAAAATAGATCTGTAGACAAACGGTAGGTAGGGTTAAAAATCGGTAGACTCCCGAAAAAATCGGGAAAGTTGGCATGTATGTACTCACCATGTTGTGCTGTTCAGCTGTTTGTCCACAAAATGCAAGTAATGCAAAAAGTTGGTAAAAATAGCTACTTTGGGTAGGTTTAAATACCTAGGTAGCTATCAATAGCTACGTAGGTAGAAATAGTCTTTGGACTGGACCTGTTCATACCGCACATGACATTTAGTACGTCAAGACTCTGACGTCACATGACGTCCCTTGTAAGTTGCATTACCAAAACAAAATCTGAACAGTTCTAATTTTAATAAAGAAAGTTTAATCTACTATTTATCTGCTATATATCCATCAAATCAAGGTGAGTTATATTTTTCGTGGAACTTCTTGTTACTGCGAGAACCTTGTTTGCAGCGAGATGCAATTCGCAAAGCATTATGGGACCACAGGTTACTGAGGAATAAAATTGATCTGGATCAATGTGCAAAGTCCAAATTTTCTCTTCGCCCAGGCGTTGCTTTAAGAGCTCTTTGTGACGAGCGGCACTTCACACCGCTTGCTGCGCTCGCTGTTAATTCTGACTCCTGAATCTATTGGTTTTCTATTGATATTCTTCTTACAGCTGTACAGAATCGCTTCATACTTCTTTACTTGCCAGGCACATTTTCTGCGTTGAAATACATTCACATATGTACAAATATATCAGTAATATTACATATATTGTGATAAATCAAGTACTTTTGATATCCAACTCCCAATAGTTCAGATTGTGAGGCAAAAAAAAAATATATATGTGTTTATTATTACATGAAATTTTAACATTGGGTAAGTAGGTGGTGCAATTTTTTTTTTTTTACGATATATTGGTGGGGATTGGATGGAGATTCAATATCTATTGAACACAATGAATGAGAAATAAATCTAGGTCTAGTCAAGGTCTATCCTAGGCCTAAAAGTTAGGGAGTCTTTAAAGGACTTATCGCATGATTTTTCAAAAATCTTAATTTTATGAAAAATATTATCTTGTTTATTAAAATTCTGAATACAATAAACGTTGTTGAAAGCATATTTTAAGAGATATTGAGAGTTGAAATTCAAATACGGCAATATGCATATTTCAGTCGGATTTCGGCGAAATACTGCTCTGACGTCATAGGCGACAATTCAGTGATAGAGAGATGAGAAGTTGCACACTATTTACGGAGTTATCAATGACAAATTCAGCTTAATTACGAAAAATGCTGAAAAAATTGATTCCTAACGTGATTTTCAATTAATATAAAAACATTAACTAGTTCTAAGGTATGAGGCTTTTGAGATATTTTCGTTTTTTATTCCAAACATTTAGAATCTGTAGGTCTGATTACGGCAATGTTTCGTGATCGGAAAATTATTTTTCAAGACTGCCATCCTTTACAAAACATATGAAGGCATACTTGCATAAATTAATATTATGTTAAAAACGTAGAATAACAAAGTTATATAATAATAAATTTGTGAATCAAATAAGTTTATACATGTGATATGATGAAAAATCAAGCTGTATTTTGATGGCGGGTTTCTTCGTCTTCGCCGCGTCTCCCTCGCTATTGTCGCTGTTATTTTTACACTGTTAACGGATTTTCAGATTATTTGTTGCTGACATATAAGGTTGGATATTAAATTTCATATCGATAAAATCGGTGATTTGGTCATCCCTAACGCAGAAAATTCAGGTTGTATCGCGTATATTTTAGTAAGATTAACGTTAGGAGATGATCAGCCATTGTCGCCTTTGACGTCACAGGGTCACGTGATCGCTATCTAATTAACTTAGATTTTTAATTCAAGGGTTTTCATTTGAGTCAATAATTGGTTAATTACCGCGGTTTATCCTCAGTAAAAACACAAAATTTATAAACTGTGGTCATAAGGAACGTTTTACACTTTTAATTTCAAATAATTTAGAAACATGCGATAAGTCCTTTAACTACTTCAAACAAATTAGGGAGAAGTTTTAAAAATTAAGAGGAGGAGGGGGAGGGGCTTTAACTACTTTTATTTCCTTTATTTTAAAACAAGAAAACCCCAAAAAACATCAATTATTAATCAATATAAATTTAAATAATTTTGTAATTATATTCTAATCTACCCCCCCCCCCCCAAAAAAAAAATCAATATGCTTAAATGTTTATGATTAGTAACATTAAATAAAAACAAATGACTAATATATTTCCCTTACCTTATTGATAGAATTTTTTAAAAATGATTGGATGACATTTTACTGTTATTAGTCTAACCCATATCTATTTACGTCCGTGATGTATACTATAAACAGTAAGTTCATTGACAATTTCATGATATCTGTAATTGTTTTTGAGATAAGTATAGCATTTAGTTTCTTAAATGGCATGAAAATAATTTGATAAATAATTTCAAAACATCAGTGGTCATTTATCAGATGTATGTTGCATTACTAATTTGATACAATCCCATGTTCATTCCAGCTAATATTTACAGGACTGCTACTTTGAAAACGGCTTTACGGGAGACAATTCATTACATTTTCCTTTCTAAATAATTGAAAAGGATGATTTTATGATTATATTATCGACATGAAACAGCAACAGACATGGATTTCTTGCAAAGTACCTCGCCATTACGATTTCATAAAAAAAGAGGAAGTCACGGAAACTCGAAATTTTCCGGAAAAAAAGCGTAGGGTCGGGAATTTGGCCAAAAAATGAGTGGGACGGGTAACTGGAAACAAACATATTTATTTTTTTTCCTGATTTTTTGTTAATTTCGTCATCTTTCTCTCTCTCTCAAAATAAAAATTGCTTTTAATTTCTTGGTCATGTTTGCTACATTAAAGTTAATTCCCCCATACATAATTATATCAACAATTTTACATATTATAATGTCATCTGTCCAAAATCAATAAAATTTAGTACAGAGTTATGAAAAAACAGATACCTGTTAATTTACTCCATTATTGCCACCATTTGTTACATTCTTGATATGTTTATGTGAATTTATGTTTATGTTCAACATAGTTAATGTACCTGAAAAGTTTGAATCAAATTTGTTATGTAAAAAAAATATGTGGAGAATATCAGTGAAAACATTAGTCCAAGAGAATCAGGAGTTGAGATGGGCAGTACTAAATTTACAGCCTGCCTTTTAAAATAAATTCTCATAGAACTGGTCTTCCATGAAAACCGCACACTTTTATACTATTAATTACAATTGTTGTCAAGGTGTGAATACCTGCTGTGGTCAGTCTTAAATATTATTCTAAGTTGTACACTTGATATTGCCTTAATACAGGGCCTGGGAAGGGACCGTTTTATATGACGAATGATTTATGAAGTTCTTAGGCATGTTAGGAACAGAAAGTCACTTCTACTAGTCAATGTCATATGATTTGTTAATTCCTATGGGATTTTAAACAAAAATTCTTGAATTTTTTTTGTCAGAGATATATGCATTATCATAGCATGATACTATGATATATTTTAGAAAGGCCTGAATGTATTTCCTCTAGGCCCCTTAAATTTCAAAATGGCCCATCCATTTTATAAATAGTGGGGCCATTGCCCCACCTGTTGTTTGACCTTCCCAGGCACTGTTAATACCTTATTAATTAATTATTTTAGTTAATTTGATATCACATGCCAAATTATAACTAGCTTGTGATTTAAAAAGAGTTCTTAGCTCACCTCGATGAAGTCAAGATGATCTTATGCTATACCCTCAGCATTAGCGTCGGCGTCCCGGTTAAAGTTTTAGGAGCAAGTCCATTCTCAAGTAACTATAAGCCCTACCTGGACCAAACTTGCATGGATGATGCATCTAGGGATGGACACTACCACACTTGCTTCAGATGCTGGATCTGAACTAGATTTTCCAGATGAGTGACCAGGTTTCAGTTTTTGGAGCAGGTCCATTCCCAAGGAACTAAAAGCCCTACCAGGACTAAACTTGCATGGATGATGCATCTAGAAATGGACACTACCACACTTGCTTTGGATGATGGATCTGACCTAGATTTTCCAGATGAGTGACTAGGTCAAAGTTTTTGGAGCAGGTCCATTGCCAAGTACCTATAAGCCCTACCTGGACCAAATTTGCATGGATGATACATCTAGGGATAGACACTACCACATTTGCTTCAGATAATGGGTCTGACCTAGATTTTCCAGATGAGTGACCAGGTTAAAGTTTTTGGAGCAGATCCATTCCCAAGGAACTATAAGCCCTACCCGGATCAGACTCTCATGGATGATGCATCTAGGGATGTACACTAACTAACCTGCTTTGGATTCTGGATCTGACCTAGATTTTCCACATGAGTGAATTTGAGCCATATTTTAACCAAATTAGCATGGACGAAGATGTATCTAGGGATAGACACTTCCAGACTTGCTTTGGATTCTGAATATGATATTGATGGATATTGATCATGGGATGTACACTAACTAGGAAAAAATATGATGTGAGATTTGCCTTATTTATAGATAACATTTGTCTAGGTGAGCTTAGTAATCTTTGATTACCTATGTTTGAGTACTACTGTAACAATGTTTGTAGAACAAATTGTAATCTGGTATTCTTAATAATTGTTTTGCCAGAAGTGGCTAAAAGCTTATCTTTCTATTTTACAGCTGCTAAGATGTTTAGAGCTCTAAATTGATCCCTCCAATATCTTCCCAAAACTTTTTCATAGCAATAATTATTTTGGCATAATTTCCAAAATAGATGTGAACTTTTGTGATTTTCTTTATGAACCAACAATGCTTTAAAGAATCAGCATATTAAAAATGATTAGTGGTGCTTTAAGTATTAATCCTTAAAATTTGAGCCCCAAGAAAATACAGTTTAATTAATTCTGGTATCTCAAACTTTTATTCAGAGGTTACAGTCTTGTAATTATGTATTCAATTTTAAAGAAAAATGAATAGCCCAGACATCCTAAAAAAAACGATCTTCATTCCAGCGCCAGCAGATACTTAACCATTAACTTTAAAAACCCATCAGTTTATTTTATTATTCAGGCTGTTGGAGTTGCAGCAAAGCAAGGGAGTATAAGGAACACACAGAATACCATTAGTTTTGTCAAGTGTGTATTGGGAAGACCATGGGAGGATCCAGTCACCCAGGAATATGTAAAAAAATCACCTGTAAAGGTAGATAAAGTGATAGTTTCCTGGGTCTTCATTAGTAATGTGTCTTTATGTGAGTTGGTCCTCGAGCTGTCAAATTTAATTAGTTTTTTTGTCCCCAATTTCATTGACAGTGGGGGATATTACTTTGGGTCTGTCTGACGATATCTAGAGAAGCCTTTGAGCTTTTGCAATGAAATTTTATATCACAACTTCCTATGGCCTAAAGAAGACCTCTATTGATGTTGAGGTCAAAGGTCAAGGTCATCAATTCATTCATTTTGTTTGTGTATAATACTTTTGTTTTCGGGCAATATCTTTAAAAGTCTTTGAGGTTTTGCAATGAAATTTTATATCTCAACTTGTTATGGCCTAAAAAAGATCTCTTTTGATTTTAAGATCAAAAGGTCAAAGATCAAGATAAATATTCATACATTACAAAAAACATTTTTCAGATTAGCTGCAGAAGATTAGCATTACGGTTTTATATTTTAGTCTTTGACCATAATGCAACAGATCCCTTAATGCAAATATTGTGCAATATACAGTGCAAGATTTTCTGCGCACTTTTGGGGATGTATTTCGCCACTTTCCAGCATTGGTCAATAATAGGGGTGCAACGATACACCAACCTCACGATATGATACGTATCATGGTATTCAGTTCATGATATGACACGTATCACGATACTTGACAAGGTTAAAAAGCCTTTCAAGGTTGTCATCATATTTTTTTAAAACTTGACAGGGTTATATCAAATGTTCAGATTTTTTGATAATAATTAAAATATCATTTTGTTAACTTGAATTGGATTGATAGGTAGATCTTTGAGTTGTGACAAAACCAATTATGAACATTTACAAGGAACTACAGGGACCTTTCCTAATAATCTTCCTTTCAGATTGAAATGAAAAAGGAAGACATTAATTCTTTTATTCCTTTTATTTACGTACAAAACCAGTTGTCATATTTCTCGTGTTAACACGTTTTAGTCAACAAGACAGCGTATTTTCATTGAAATACACTCGTGATGAGATATCGTGTATTACCAGAGAATACGTTTAGATCTAAAGGGTTTATCATTTATCTTAACATCTATAACTTTTAATCACATTAAATCCCTCTCCGTGTTAAATCTGAGGTCTGTAAGGTGCTGGAAATAAGTTTAACTGCTGTTTATGGGTTATCATCGACCTCACCATTTGCGCAGAAGCCATTTTGAAATTGTAAACAAGGAAACAAAATCTGGACCGATTGCACCGAACCGCGATATCAGTTTAGCATATCAAGAATTGAACCCTGGAAAAATATACCACGATATACCATCATTGCACTCTTAGTCAATAACTAACTTTCATTCCCTAATTCTAGACATTCTACAACCAATCTGTATATTTTGTCCATATCCTTACCCTTTCTAGTCATCTCTACGGCCAATAAACTCGCTTTTTGTGAATTTTATGCCATCCGACAACAAATTCACAACAAGTGAGTTTATTGGTTCATAGAGATGACTAGAAAGGGTTAGGAGGTGGAAAAAATGTACAAGTTGGTTATAGAATATATCTAGAGTTAGGGAATGAAAGGTCGTTGATTGACCAGTGCTTGAGAGTGGCGAAATACATACCCAAAGTGCGCAGAAAATCTTTTGCCGTAAATTGCTCCATATTTGCTTTACGTGATCTGTAGCGTTAGTCAAAGACTAAAATATAAAACCATAATGCTACAGTTCTGCAGCTATTTCCAGATGATAAGTTTAGTTTTTTTTTTTAACTTTCTTCAATAAAATTTAATATCACAACTCCCTATGATCTAAAGAAGACCCCTATTGATTTTGAAATCAAAAGGTCAGAGGTCAAGGTCGTAATTTCATACAATCTGTTTGTGTGTTACAATTTTTTTTCCTGATCTATATCTTAAAAATACTTTAAGATTTTGCGATGAAATATTACATGTGTATCACAACTCCCCATGGTCTTAAAAAACTCAAAGGTCTAAAGGTCAAAGTCAGAAATATATATTGCATATACCGGGTATAGTTTTCAGATAATACTTTTATATTTCCTGTAAGTTTTTGCAATGAAACTTTTGGTCATGAATTTCTCAAACTTTAAAAACACTCCTATTGACTCTAAGGCTAAAAGCTGAAAGGTGTAGGTTGACCTTTCTTCTTTCTTCATCTGCAAATTTTTCCAGTTCTTCCACCCTCTTCTTTTTAACCCTAAGCTGGGACACAAATTCTCTGAATTAGCTTGTTTTCTTTTAGATTGAGAATAAGAATGGACAGTTAGTCTACCTGGTTGATTTCAAGGGAGAAATGATTAATGCAACTCCAGTAGATGTGGCAACAGCTATTTACAAACAAATGAAAGGTAATATATTAAGGGGTTTCTCTGCAGCATGCATATATTAATCAGTCCCCAACAGTGCAAGACAAATCCTCAATCCTTATGGAAAAAGGTAGAATTCTTGTAATTTATTTGTTTATCAAAACAGTTTGAGCTAAAAGGCTTTAGTGAGCTTTCCTGATCTAAGAGCCTCTAGCATGCATCTGTTTTCTAGTCTCTCTGTCAGTAGGGTAGCTTGGTGTCAATCAATGTGGAAGCATAAAATGGCAGTCCAGCATAAGGCTTCAGTGAGACGAAGGTCCTGGTGGGACTTGGGGTACGAAGCCCCTGGAAGCTGTTGCATTAGACAATTGACGATTTTTAAGTCATTAATACATATTATCCTTCAATTTTTAGGTAAACTCAGGTGACCTATTGCTATCTGTTTTTGTCTTTCGTCGTGCGATGTGCGTTAACATTTGAACATTTTTAGCTTCTTCTCTGAAACCGCTCAACCAATTTTGGCATAATATAGCACCTATGGGTGAAGGGCAACAAAAATTGTGAATTTCATGGTCCCTGCCCCCCCTCCCCCTTGGGGCCTGAGGGTTGGGGCCAAAACCATTAAAATTAATGCAATCTGAGTGACTCAGGTGACCTAATAAATCTTTAAAAATCATCTTCTCAGGAACAGCAAGGTCTTGATTAGTCATATTTATAATGGGCGATCAAAGTTTTACAGTGTAATGCATAGGGAAAATCGTTAAAATTCTTCTTCTCAAGAACAGCAAGGTCATGATTAGTCATATTTAGAAGGAAGCTTCATGATGGAGTTTAGATTTAAGTTTGTCCAAATCATGACCCCAAAGGGAGTAGGGTGAGGCCACTATAGGGGATCAAAGTTTTTCATACATGTAGGAATACATAGGAAAAATCTTTAAAATTCTTCTTCTCAGTAACAGTAGAGTTATCGTTAGTTATGTTTATACTGAAGCTTCTTCAGGTAAGGTAGATTCTAAATTGTTCAAATCATGACCCCCTGGAGTAGGATGGGACTACAATGACCAATCAAAGTTTTACATAATTATAATAAAAAAGGAAATGTCTTTTAACGTGTTCTTCTTCAAAACAGCAAAGCCATGATTATTCATGTATGGAAGAATCCTGAAATTCAAGTCTGTGCAAATCATGACACCTGGGGGGGGGGGGGGGGGGGGGGGGGTAGGACAGGGCCACAATATATATTATCTTAATTTTACATAAGACTTTATTTGGGAAAAAAATCTGCTGATAAAGAACAGAAGGGCCATAATTACTCAGGTAAGCTATGTGGCCCATGGTCCTCTTGTTGACATTTAGCAGTCTGTTTAACTGATTAAAATGAGCAGGTAGCCCATAAAGTTTGTAATTTTATTATACCCCCTGCAAACCAAGGTTGGGGGGGGGGGTATATTGGAATCACCATGTCCGTCTGTCTGTCTGTCCATCTGTCTGTACACGAGATTTTGTACAGACCTGTTCTCGGAGACTATTGCATGGATTTGTCTGAAAATTTTTACACTTATTATACACCATATGAAGGTGTGCACCTGGTATTTTCATCATGATTGGGTAATTTTTCTGCATTTTACAGGTGTTTAATTCATTTTTAGCTCTTCTGAGCCAAAGGCTCAAAGAGCTAATGCTATGGCCATTTGTGCGGTATGCGTAAACTTTTTAGAATATGGGCCATAACTCAAGAACCCCTTGGCCAATTATTGTCCAATTTGTCACAGGGTATCCTTGGCCCAAGGGCTCTTGTTTATACTAAAACTAGGGTTGTGACCCTTAAACAAGGGGAGATAATTAGGAAAATAGAAACAAAAGTACTGGTTGCTAAAAAATCTTCTTCTCAAGAACCACTGGGCAGATTATCACCAAACTTACACAAAAGGATGAGGATATGTTGTAGATTAAACACGGGGATTTACCCTTGGGCAAAGGGCATGGTCTCAAGGTCACTTCAAAGTTGATCAAAAATTACATTTTATTAAAATGTTGATATTTTGCTTACTATAGGGACTAGGATCATCAAATCTTGTCAGTTGATGCATCTAAGGACCTCATATCATGTTGACTCAAAAGAAGGTCACGTTGACCTACTTTTAAATTTTGTGGCCATTCTTTTTCAAAATGATTTAGAGGCATATTTTGAACAATTTAAGGCCTATGATCATCAAACTTTGTCAGTTGATGCATTTTGGGTCCTCGGAGTATGTTGATTAAAAAGTAGGTCACCTTGACCTACTTTTTTAATTTTATGCCTAATCTTTTTCAAAACAATTAAGATCATTAATTCGAATACAGAGAGGTTTAGAATCATTAAATCTTGTAAGGCCAAATAAAAAAATATGTGTGGTTCCGGTTACCCGACCGTCCCTATTTTATACCCCCGTCCCTAAACTTTTTTCTGGCAATTTTTCATATTTTTCTGGAATTTTCCCCACTTTCCATCATCAGCTCCGGTATTAGTTTTAGTTTCAGCAATGGCAGCCACCTTGCGAAACATCGTTTCAACACTTATTGCAAGTGTTCAATTAATAGTGTTAAATCTAAAGCAAGCTAGCATAGCGTGGAAACATTCCTTTTTTCCAGCACCATGTTTTTTTTGTTTTGTTTTTGCTTGCCAAAATTAAATAAATGTGCGTTCACAGCTAGCTGGCCAGGTAATATGCCTTTAGGAGTTAGGGAGAAGATAACATGAGAAAACATCATTTGATTGCATTGATTACGCAAGAATTAGTCCAATGTGTAAGATAGATTAACTTGTAAATTATTAAATAATTTATATCAGGATCATTTCTTTTAAACCGAAAGTAGGAAAAAACAGTTGATGAGGAAAAGTGAAAAACAAGACAGCTCATTTTACCTGAATTGGAAGTATAAAGTCTTCAATAAGGTAAAAAGTTTTCATCTTAAGAATTTCAAATTTTAACAATATTAAATATATTTCCACTGACAGCTCTTAGCAGTACTCTATGCCTGTTTTCTAGTTTATCTATCAAAATTTATTATTAAATAAAGTAAGAATTGCTCTGGATAAAATCATTAAATTCATTTATAAACATGGATTTAAAAAAAGGATGTTCACTTCCAACTTTTTTTACAAAAAGAAATTAATAAGATTATTAGTGTGTTTCTTATTTTTGATTTAAAAATATTTGTTTCATATTCTTAACTATCCTAAGGGTGCCCCCTACCAATGTTGACTAGTATATTATCACATCACATCTAAACGTCACTTGCAAAGCAGTGATAGGTATTATTTAGAAAAATTTAGAAAATCATTTTGTAAAAAAAAAAAAAATATCCCTACCTACCTACCCTATTTTTTTGGAGTTGTAACCGGAACCACACATATTTTTTTTGTTTGGCCTGAGATGATGCATCTTGGGGCCATAAAACATATTTATTAAAAAGTAGGTCACGGTGACCTACTTTTTGAACTTTGCAGGCATTTGATTACAAAGCGTTTCAGAGGCATAATTTGGACATTTTAAGGCATATGATCATAAAACTTTTTAAGTTGATGCATCTTGGGTCCTCAAAAAACGTCAACTGAAAAATAGGTCACCATGACCTACTTTTCAATTTTTATGACTATAATTAAATATTTCAGGTACTAATTGGCTTAGAATGATCAATCTTTGCCAGTTGATGCATCTTGGGTCTTCGGAGTAGGTCGACTGAAAAATAGGTCACCGTGACCTACTTTTGAAAATTTATGGCTTTAATTAAATATTTTTGGTACTAATTGGCTTAGAATCATCAAACTTTGTCAGTTGATGCATCTTGGGTCCTCGGAGTACAACAACTGAAAAGTAGGTCACCATGACCTACTTTTGAAAATTTATGGCTTTAATTAAATATTTCAGGTACTAATTGGCTTAGAATCATCAAACTTAGTTGATGTATCTTAGCTCCTCAGAGAATGACAAGTGATAAGTAGGTCACCATGACCAACTCTCAGGTACTTATTGGCTTAGAATAATCTTGGGTTCTCAGAGTGTTTCATCTAAAATGTAGGTCATGATGACCTACCTTTGGAATTTCAAGGGTTTATCTAAATATACAGGATACTTAGAGGCTTCAAATAGAAGTGATAGGTTGTACAGTTTATCAGAAGAGCAATTCAAGGCCCTTGGGCCTCTTGTAATTACATGATTTTGTCCGGACCTATTCTCAGAGACTATTGCATTGATTTGTCTGAAAATTTGTCAGCGTTTTTTTTCCCCTTATATAACTGGTACCAATAAACGGTACCATTCCCAATGCCAAAAACCGTTAATATTTCCAATTTTGAGATGAAAAATTCCAAATTCAACTGCCAAGCAACAGACTTCGATGACATCGTATTTCTTTTTAAATGAAACATTGTACAAGTTGACTAGTTGTTTCACTTCCGCTTAAATCCAAAGTAGAGATTAGTCATAATATGGCGGGACCTGTGGTGTAGACAGCGTAGTGTCATACATTTTGACAAATTGAAAGCATAATAATGCGAAAACAAGGGACATTGATATGAAAAACCATAAATACTTGTTGTTTATTCTTTAAAACACGGAGTAATAGGTAATGAGGTTGGAATAAACGCAAAAAACGTTTTCAATTGTTTAAATGACAGAAAATTCTCCTTTTTTCTACTTCGATGCTATTTTTCCCAGTTGAACTGGTACCGGACCCAATGGGTAGAAAAAAATCGCTGTTTGTACACTCATTATTTGTCATATGAAAGTGTACACCTGCTATTTTCATCATTATTGGGTAATTTTTCTGCATTTTACAGGTGTTTTTTTTTCATTTTTATTGACTTAGTCATTATGGATTTATATAGGTTTGAGACATGAAATCTAGAACTGCCAGTTGGTACATCTGTACAAAAATGTGAACTGCAGCTTAAAACTACTCATTAAAACTAAATATAAAATCACCAAGTATTAAAAAAGTTTTTTAATAGATACATGTAGTCTCTACAAATCCAAGAGTCATGCAGTACCCTTATTAAAAAATGTCGGATCAAGATTACACAGTTCTTTTTTTTATTATATAAAGCTTTGTAACAAAATTAAAAGAAAAAATTCTTTGTTTTCAACAGAATGGCATAGATATGCCCTTTCTATTGTACACAGTGCATTACGAAGCAGTTAGCGTAAATCCATTTGTCTCTTGGGAGTCATGAGTGGACATGCATCCAGTTAATAATGAGTTCAGTGTGGGAAGCTGTTAGAGCATCTCTGATCAAGCAGGTGTTATCTATATCTCCTGAGAGTTGGGCAGAAAGAAATAAAGATCTCTGTTCTCTAACTTTCTTAATTTTAATTTATAGTCTGTCAAAATACATAGTTACTGGATGACCAGCCTTTTATTTTTAAAATGAATTTGATATAAAGTTATCAAGATTAATTTGATTTTGTATAATTAAATATGATTTTTTTTTCAACAATCAATTTGCAGAGTGTCATTTCTCACACAGATGACAGATAGTTGCAATTTATTTTTTCAATGTAATAAAAAAAACAATGTAAGTATTAGTATTTACCAGTATGTTTTATTAGCCTGTGCCTTAGTTTCATTCAATAAAAAAATATAATGAGCAATTATATTTTCACTCTAAATGTTTAAGCAAATTGTAAACACCTTTTAAATCCATAAAATATTAGTGATTTGGCATCTTCTCTGAAAAAGCCAGCAGGGGGTATTTGTCCCTTTTGGACAGTTCTAGTTTTTGTCAAAGAAGTCAATTCGAGATAGGGTTGAATTGGTCATACAAGCTTGAGAACTTGATTCACAGTTGACAGTCAAAACCCATTGACATTTTGTAGAAGGATATAATTAATTCTTTGAAGTATGTCATTTAGTTAAGTACTAGGAATAAAAGTTGATTAGCTTTTAAAGCAATATAACTCAGATG